GATGTAGATGTTAGTTGACTCAATTAATATGTCATAATTGGATTGTGGTAAGTTTTTGATTTGTCCGCATAGAAAGGCCATAATTTGGTATTGGGTCCTAGATTTTCCAATGAACTGCATTTAGAATCACTTGAAGAACCTAATTTTGTGATAACTTACATGCACCTCGACTAATCACAGCGTCCTGAAGTTAACGACCGAGCAAACCCCGAGTGCCCTTGCAGTGACTCGAACTCGAGAACTTAGATCTTATCCTCAAGTTAGATTTTTGGAATTTTGTTTGTACAATAGAGTTGAACGAAGAAAATTAAAATGGGCCTGGACCACCCCATTAAAAACCAACTGGAAACTAAATCGTGGGCCGGGCTAGTTGTAAGCTCTGCATTATACTATTGGGCTGGGCCATTAGCAAGTTTTTTTCAAGATAAAGAAATCCAAATTCATTATCGTACGACAGAGTTTATTGCAGACTCTCTCTCTCTCTCTCTCTCTCTCTCTCTCTCTCTAGTCCCATAGTCTTTCGTCAATTAACGATTTACGAAATCGAAGCTCGAATCGACAAGCAGCTTCTAGAGATTCAAGGTTATCTTCTCTAATCAGTATGTGTATAATGTCCTATTTATAATCTTCTTTTGTTGTTGTTCCAATTCTGTTGTATCGTTCGGATTTAGATTTTGCAGACGAAATTAAAATTACGAAGGTTTACGATTTGATATTGTAGTTTCAGATCGAATCATGATTTTGATTTCTTTAGTTTAGATCGAATTTGAATTTAATGTTTTTTTTGTTTGCAGAGAGGTTTCAATTGGTGAAATCAAATCAAATCAAAATGGGGTTTTTGGTGACAACCCTAATTTTTGTTGTGATCGGAGTTATTGCATGTCTCTGTACCAGAATCTGCTGCAATAGAGGGCCTTCTGCAAATCTGTATGTTTCAATTCAACCTCCTTTCAATGTCTTCTTAATTATTTCCAGATTTGTGTATTGAAATTTTCATCTTTAGCAAACCCCATTTGGTGATTTTTGTTTTAAGCTAAATACTTTGTTTGATGTAGATGTTAGTTGACTCAATTAATATGTCATAATTGGATTGTGGTAAGTTTTGGATTTGTCCGCATAGAAAGGCCATAATTTGGTATTGGGTCCTAGATTTTCCAATTAACGGCATTTAGAATCAGCTGAAGAAGCTAATTTTGTGATAACTTACATGCACCTCGACTAATCACAGCGTCCTGAAGTTAACGACCGAGCAAACCCCGAGTGCCCTTACAGTGACTCGAACTCGAGAACTTAGATCTTATCCTCAAGTTAGATTTTTGGAATTTTGTTTGTACAATAGAGTTGAACGAAGAAAATTAAAATGGGCCTGGACCACCCCATTAAAAACCAACTGGAAACTAAATCGTGGGCCGGGCTAGTTGTAAGCTCTGCATTATACTATTGGGCTGGGCCATTAGCAAGTTTTTTTCAAGATAGAGAAATCCAAATTCATTATCGTACGACAGAGTTTATTGCAGACTCTCTCTCTCTCTCTCTCTCTCTCTCTCTCTTTTCGTCGATTAACGATTTACGAAATCGAAGCTCGAATCGACAAGCAGCTTCTAGAGATTCAAGGTTATCTTCTCTAATCAGTATGTGTATAATGTCCTATTTATAATCTTCTTTTGTTGTTGTTCCAATTCTGTTGTATCGTTCGGATTTAGATTTTGCAGACGAAATTAAAATTACGAGGGTTTACGATTTGATATTGTAGTTTCAGATCGAATCATGATTTTGATTTCTTTAGTTTAGATCGAATTTGAATTTAATGTTTTTTTTGTTTGCAGAGAGGTTTCAATTGGTGAAATCAAATCAAATCAAAATGGGGTTTTTGGTGACAACCCTAATTTTTGTTGTGATCGGAGTTATTGCATGTCTCTGTACCAGAATCTGCTGCAATAGAGGGCCTTCTGCAAATCTGTATGTTTCAATTCAACCTCCTTTCAATGTCTTCTTAATTATTTCCAGATTTGTGTATTGAAATTTTCATCTTTAGCAAACCCCATTTGGTGATTTTTGTTTTAAGCTAAATACTTTGTTTGATGTAGATGTTAGTTGACTCAATTAATATGTCATAATTGGATTGTGGTAAGTTTTGGATTTGTCCGCATAGAAAGGCCATAATTTGGTATTGGGTCCTAGATTTTCCAATGAACTGCATTTAGAATCACTTGAAGAACCTAATTTTGTGATAACTTACATGCACCTCGACTAATCACAGCGTCCTGAAGTTAACGACCGAGCAAACCCCGAGTGCCCTTACAGTGACTCGAACTCGAGAACTTAGATCTTATCCTCAAGTTAGATTTTTGGAATTTTGTTTGTACAATAGAGTTGAACGAAGAAAATTAAAATGGGCCTGGACCACCCCATTAAAAACCAACTGGAAACTAAATCGTGGGCCGGGCTAGTTGTAAGCTCTGCATTATACTATTGGGCTGGGCCATTAGCAAGTTTTTTTCAAGATAGAGAAATCCAAATTCATTATCGTACGACAGAGTTTATTGCAGACTCTCTCTCTCTCTCTCTCTCTCTCTCTCTCTGTCGATTAACGATTTACGAAATCGAAGCTCGAATCGACAAGCAGCTTCTAGAGATTCAAGGTTATCTTCTCTAATCAGTATGTGTATAATGTCCTATTTATAATCTTCTTTTGTTGTTGTTCCAATTCTGTTGTATCGTTCGGATTTAGATTTTGCAGACGAAATTAAAATTACGAGGGTTTTTAATTTTTTTTAAAGACCTGGATACTCTTTGGACACTTGGAGGACAATGTGTCAATTACTTAAACACACGTGTCTATCGATTAGACACATGTGAAACTAGTTATAAGTTTGAACAAAATAATTTAAGATACAATAATAAAACAAAAATCATATAAATTTAGAGGAATTAGTGTCATATTGTATTTTTTATTATCTTTTAATGATATATTTATATATATAATAGATATTATATATAATAAATATATAAAATTATATATTTCATGCGTGTCCCCCACGTGTCGTATCCTGTATTTTTTAAAAATTAACTTGTCGACATGTTCGTGTCGTATCCGTATTGTGTCACGTGTCTGTGTCCATGCTTCTTAGGCTGCAACCCTACAATTTCGATTTATGTTTATAAATTTCCTACTATATCTTCAGATTCCAAAATTTGTATATGGTGAGGGAAGTTCTATGGACCAGCTATTAGGCCAGCGATGTTGTATGGGTCGGAATGTTAGACAACTAAGAAATAACATGTAAATGAGATGAGTGTTGTTGAGATGAAAATACTAAGATGGATATGTGGCAAGATTAGAAAAGATACAGTTAGGATTGAGTATATTCGAGAATGAGTAGGAGTAGTAGTACCAATAGAAGATAAGTTGAGAGAGAATAGATTGAGATGGTTTGCCCATATACAACCGAGACCAATAGAGGCAGTAGTGAAAAGATGCGATATAGTAACGGTAGAAGGAAGTGTTAGGGGAAGGGACACACTTAGATTGGCGTGGACTAATGTAGTAAATAGAGATATGAACCTCCTTAATTTGACTAACGAAATGGCCTTGGATAGAGTCGAGTGGAGAAAAAAGATCCATGCCGACCCCATTTGATGAGACTTAAGGCTTGGTTTGGTTGGTATTTTTTTTGCAAACTCAAAACGAAAACTTGTTTAGTATATTGTTTTAGTTTTCAAAGAAGTAAAATTGATTCCAAAATATTTGAAAATGAAAAAAAGGTGTTTTCACTTGTTTTTAAAAAAAGTTTTCACTCTCCTCCAGCTACCCTCTACCACTGCCGCCACCACCACCACCGGCCACCACTTAGCTGCACCGCCAGCCACCGGCCAAGCGACTGCCACTGACTGGACGGTCATTGCCGAAGACCTCCAGCCACCCCACCCCCACTGCCAACCACCACATCTGTCCACCCTCCACCTTTAGCAGCTCACCAAACATGTTGATGTATCTTTGCTTTCAAAATAGTTTTGTACACCAAACAAGTTTTTTTTTGTTTAAAAAATAGGAAACTGACAACATTATCAAACGACACCTAAACTGACAATTATTTTTTGTTTCTTGTTTTGCAGATACCCGGGCTGGTGAATGTGGATTTTGCAGATGTAAAGGCAGTCATGAAGGACTCCGGAACTGCAATGCTTGGAGTGGGTGTTTCGTCTAGCAAGAATCGTGCTGAAGAAGCAGCTGAACAAGCAACTCTGGCACCTCTGATAGGATCATCAATTCAATCTGCTACTGGAGTTGTGTATAATATTACTGGTGGAAAGGACATAACTTTGCAAGAAGTGAATAGGGTGTCTCAGGTACTCTAAATTTTTCTGAGATTTCTATTTCCATTTCTTCTCACTTTTGGCATGTTTGGTAGGAGGGGGGAAACAAAGGAAGAAGAGAAGAATTTTAAAGAACAAAATTTCTCTTGTTTGGTTGTAAAGAAAAGAAAAGAATTTAGGAAAGAAAGTTTTTAATAATATTTCCCTCATCTCAAAATTCTCGTTACACGAAATTTTGGATGGAAATTTTAAATTTGAATTTTGAGTTGAGATACAACAAATTTAAAAATCGCCCCCTTTGCTTTTTCTCTACCTTTCTCTTGCAGCCAAATAGAAGAAAAGAAACCTCATCTTCTTCTCTTTTCTTCCTTCCCAACCAACCCTTTTATTCTCTGTCCTTCCCCTTCTTTTCCCTTTACCAAACATAGCACTATAGATTTGTTGATCAAACAAGTTACACTAAAGCTTTTCATTTTTTATACATAACTACTTTTGCCTGTTTGTAGCTGTAGACCATAATTTTCAATCTTTGAATTGCAAAACAAGAAAAGCAAATTCAACGTCTCAATAAGCTAATCGGAGATGTATAGTTTTTCTATATAGCACCAGTGAAACTTTGATGGTTTTACTTGAATGCAGATCCAATTTCAAAAACAATCATAATAATTCAGAGCATACCGCCAGTGTTTTGAATCATGCTTGTCAAAAGTTTGTTCATGTGATTGCTTCCCCCCCCCCCCAGGTTGTTACGAGTTTGGCAGATCCTTCTGCTAACATTATATTTGGAGCTGTTGTGGATGAGCGCTACAGTGGGGAGATTCATGTGACTATCATCGCAACTGGTTTCACACAATCGTTTCAGAAGACACTTCTAACAGACCCCAGGGGAGCAAAGCTGGTGGAGAAAGGAACAGGAAGCCAAGAAGGTCAGAAATTATCTGCCAACCACAAGTCATCAACCTCACCGTTTGTAGTTCCGTCTCGACCAGCTACAAGAAAGCTCCTGTTTTAACTTCTTATTTTTTTTTTTTTGGCAGTTACTTTGATTTCCAGTTTGGGGTGTTGCTGCATTTGGCTGTGTAATGATCTTGATTCCTGTGTTAGATGTCTTTTTGCTTTTGTTTTTTTGTTTTTGTTTGTAGAGTTGTTTGTTTCTTCAATGTAGGGGCTCCCTAACTGCGTTCGAGCACAATCTTAATGAAGATCAAAATTTTAGATAATTCTCCTAGACCACCATATCAACTTTTGGTCTTAAATCATGATCTGCCAAATTAGCAAAATTGAAGCATGAGATCTTATTTTGTTAGAGCCCACCATTTTAGGAAGATTGAAAATTGGTGTTCTGAAAGTGTCACCTTTGAAACATTGAGCTAAATCACGCAAGGCTCCCAATGCTAAAAGGTGGGAAAAATACTCGCCCAAAAAAAGGTAGACAACGGGAAGAGAGAAAATAAGGGATGGAGGAGAACATTGATGTGTATTGAATTCAGAGGGTTATCGTGTAGCAGTGAGTTGTACTATGGAGCTGTTTTGGATAGAACAATAGTCAACTTTGAAAAGTTAGTTGTACTAATTGAGCTGTTTTGGATAGAATATAAGTGAACTTCGAAAAATCTCTCCCATCAATATGTATCTAACATGAAATACTTGGAAAAATCTCTCCCATCAATATGTATCTAACATGAAATTTTGCTACATAGTCCGGTATCAAATTCAAGATCTGATTGAAGTGGGGGAACAACTGAACAAAATTACTTGATTACAAGCTTTAGAAACCTAAGCAGTTAAGTTTGGCAGTCAATATATGATTGTGTGCTTGGACATTTTAAGAAATTGCAATCGAGAATGAGAAGCAAATTGGAACAAGATAAATAGTTCAGTGTTCAAGTGACACTTCGTCATTTGTTGTAACAAATTCATTTGATAAAACACCAGAACATAAATATTGCACCAGCAAAGGAAATCAGAAAACACATAATAAAAAAGTTTTTAACAATGCAATCACAAAAGCCACCCTCCACACCAAGACGCACAAACACATCATGGGAAAGATGTTTGTGTATTGTTTGTATTACAAGTATTTGACCAGCAAATATATGGTGGCGATCAGACCCACAATCCCAGCAACTGATAAAAGGAGGCACAGACACGAGCAACCACCTTTGGTGCGTTTATTTAAAATTGCCAGGTTCTTCTGTACTCGCTGTTTCCATGATCAAAAAGAAAAAGTAAGTTCCCAAATGGAATATTTTTACTTCATAAGAAAATAAAGCAATGCTCATCAAGATGCAAGTCATGATTCCAATAAGTATAATTTGTTTTTGTTCCCCTTCATTTTTTCAACCAAATGGAGTATGCATAGCCTGATTGTTTCAGAAGTCATTCTATAGTCTTCCCAAACTGTTAGCTGCTATGATAAATATTATAAAAAAATCTGAATTATTCATAAGATCACAAGTTTACTTAAATCACTTATAAAATATGATTATTCTTCATTTTTATGCTGAAGGCAATTGTTTTTCTCCACTAGGATTTGTTTTCATGTATTCCAGTACTGCTCATGATATCAATTCAATCTATTCCCAATTTCCAACACTCTCCCTGCCGAATTGAACTTATAAAGTCCCAATTCCATTACCATACATTGAACTACTAAAGATGCTAACAAAATTTCACCTAGGAAGTGCATCTCTAAACAGAAAGGATACGCATGCTAAACAAGGTTAGCATGATATTCAGAAAGTACATCACTAGGATGAGTATTACCTTTAATCGGGAATCTGTAACATCCACATGTTGGTCCAGGTTATCCTGCATGATGGGATAGCAAGTATCAACTTCAAGATCACAGTTCATTTCATTTTATTAACAAATCACTTCTGAGGGGAGGTCATGGATGAAAAGAGGCATGTACATAAATGAGCAAATAATAGAGAAACATACAATTAGTCTAGTGTGTAGGTCAAGTTCCTCATTGACCGCCAAAGCAATATGTTTTGTACTTATCACCGTCTCCTCCAATTTATCAAGGCCCTCATCTTGTTCTGCTTGGAAGACATACCAACAAAAATCTCCATGATACAAAAGCCAAATAAAATATCCAACAAATTTGATTATAAAGTAAGTTACAACAACTTGCCTTTCATTATTTGCCTTTGAAGTCCAACAACGCCATGGTTATCCAAGCCAGTTGTTCTGCTCATTGCATCAGCTGCCTTACTATCTGGCCCAAGCAAGCTGTCTCTGTTTGCAAAATTTGACATGTTCAATGTGGAGGCCATCTGATTTACTTTTGATCTCAAGTTTGCAAGCATATCCTTACGGCGATTCATCTCTTTCTCTGTTCTGTGTACAACAATATGAAGATTCAACAAAGATCCAAAGGCAACAATAGAAGCAACAATAACTAGACATTATTATACAATCACCTAATTTGATCAACAGAATATAAACATAGCAAATGAAGTGTAGCATGCTGATTACTTTAAAGGTTTTTTCAGAAGGAGAGTGCCAATCTAATCTTTCAAATTATTATACATCAAAATATCATCAGTAGTTAAGTAGTTTCAACCCATCTAAGGACCAATATCCATAAAAACAGCCCAAAATACTTAAAAGTACATATAGTTGTATAACATATAATGAACAAAAAAATAAAGATAAACAATCGACAGTGTTCATAAAATGATTCTCTCAACATTAAACTACCTATAGTGGAGGAGCCTAACGAAATAAGAGATACTTAATTTGTTGGCAAAGTAGGGCCTCATTTTCCTGAGTGATTTGTAAAATATTTAAAAAAATCCATTTGCAAAGTACATAGATTCCAAAGCATCAAATTCTTGAAACCTCCACAGGTATATAAACAAAAACCAGCAGCAGATTAAAAAAACTGCTCAACCAACACCTGACACAATGGAGGATCACATAAAAAACCAGCAGCTCAAAGGAGAAGCAAAGGTATATTTATCAAATAAATAAATAAATAGAGTAGAAGCAAAGGTATGTAGACAAAATGACTGAATATATTAAAGTTCCTGAAGGAAACTAAGGTGGATAAAATCCTTGCTCTATTGGGTTGTAGTATCAGGTCTTCCCTTAACTATGCCGATGCAATTATAGATTGAAGGCAACTTACAGAGGCTGTTTTCCAGGAAGCTTTCCAAGAAGGGACTGCAAGCTGTCAAGTCTAGTTCCCAATATTGTAATTTTTCTCCGTATAGCAGATGCATAACGTTGCCCTTCTGGTCCTGATGCAGATAAAGAACTCCTTTCGGAAATCATGCCATTTATATCATCCGCAAGTCTTGCTGCTTCATTATATTCCCTGACCCATGGGTCTGCAGAAGATGCCATTGATCTGAAAGAGACAAGAAAAATTAGTCTACATCTGATTTAATTGGAAGTACCTCAAATATATTAACCTTTTCTTTTTCCTTTTTTGTCAGGCTTGAAAAGAGAAAAACCAGTTTAATTGGCTATGGTTACCTAACACAGCCCTTCTCCTTTATACAGTCATGAAAAAGGTTATATGAAAATATTAAACACTAACCAGTGGATCTTGGCTCAGGTGATAAAAGTGGAGGCAGGTCTTAGGTTCAATTTTCGCATAGCCAAAAGTAAATAAAGAATAAACACAATAACTTCAACCAAACAAACAAAAAGAACAAAGAAAAAGTAGGACATAAGCCCAGTGTAACTACTCCAAAACTAAAATAAGATGAAGCAAATAACATGTAAAACAATAATGGAACAGAATTCAAGAGTATTTGTCAATTGTAATCTGGCCAATTCAGACATCATAATAACCTGATGTAAAAATCTTTACATGCATTTTTCCTGTTCTTATTTTATCAAAATACAAGTGTGCATATATACATATCCATACACATATATTTGCATGATTCCTTTATAAAATCAATGCCTTTGTATTTGATTTTGAATATCTAATAATGACTTCACTGCAAAGCAACACAACAAGAAAATTAAGAACCAAACAAGATAATTCACCAACAAATACAACCCACTAGCTTTAACCCAAATTGGGATCCCAATTCAAACTTCTATTAACACAAATTACAGCTGACAAGATATAGAATTTAGCTCTGAAACAGAGCAAATCAAACTTATCCACCAACCAAAAACAAGATAAACAAACAGATACACAATCTAAACCTAGGTTTCATCAATTCACATACCAATTACATTCACAATCAAGCTAGCATCAACCTATACCTTGAAATTGTACGATAAATATTGATGAAGAATAGATCGTTACCTCTTTGATTCGAATCAACAACAATTTGAATAGTGAAAATTGGGAATTGATGAGGATCGAACTAGGGTTGGAGAAGATTGGGGTGGTTGCGTTTTGAAACTGAATTTTCAGAAAAGGAGGATTAGGACGGAGGTGACAACACGGCGCCACTATTAACAGGCGGAGTTTGTCCGGACACCTTGTCTTCTAGTAAATAAATAACAATCATTATAATACTCCAAATCCAATAAAAAATAGGATTAGACTTTTATAGTATCTAAAATAGTACTGTAGTAATAATAATAGCATGGGATCAGACTTCTATCTAATGGTTTAAGTTTTTTAGATTAAATTTTTTAAAAATTGAATTTTTTAATTTTCATATTTTTTTTATTTTTTGTGAATATTTTTTAAATTTTAAATACAGGCGGAGTTTGTCCGGACACCTTGTCTTCTAGTAAATAAATAACAATCATTATAATACTCCAAATCCAATAAAAAATAGGATTAGACTTTTATATCTAAAATAGTAGTAATAATAATAGCATGGGATTAGACTTCTATCTAAAATTCTAATCATTGTGTTTGGTTTAAGTTTTTTAGATTAAATTTTTTAAAAATTGAATTTTTTAATTTTCATATTTTTTTATTTTTGTGAATATTTTTAAAATTTAAAATTTTATTTTTACTTTTTTAGATGCACCTTAGATATATTTAAAAAGTAAAAAATTTATGAAAAAATATTTTAAAAAATAATAAATACATAAAAATATAAAAAATGTACTGAATTCTTGTATTTTTTGTATTTAGTAAATTTTTAAAAGATTTTTTTTACTTTTTAGGTGTATTTATGTTAGGTGTGTCTAAAAAGTAAAAAAAATTGCTTAAAATAATAAAAAAAATTCAGTAAAAACAAAAAAACACAAAAAATAAGAAGGTAGAATTTTTTAAAAAATGTTTTCTGAAAAATAAAAAAAAGCAAGCTGAATAATAATAACAATCACCATGTTTGTTTTTAATTTTTTGAAAATATTTTTAAAACATTTTATTTTTTTGTTTTTCATATTTTTTTTATTGAATTTTTTTTGATATTTTAAACAATTTTTTAAATTTTTAGACACACCTAACATAAATACACTTTTAAAAGGTATAATTTTTGTGACAAAATTTTTAAAAAATTCACTAAATACCAAAAATATAAAAAATAAAAATAAAAAAAACGACAATTCAATATATTTTTCATATTTTTGTGTATTTATTATTATTTTTAAAAAAAAATCACAAATATTTTACTTTTTAGATGCATCTAAGTAAGTTGAATTTAAAAAAAATGCTTAAAAATTTAAAAATATTAACTAAAAACAAAAAAGCACGAAAAATAAAAAACTCAATTTTCAGAAAACTGAAACCAAACACACTGAATGCTACATTCATCAAATTTGGTACGACTTTAATTACTTGAATTTGTTCATGCCGGCCATCCGACAAGTTGACTAGTCTATCGTCCAATCGGTGGTCTGTATGACAGGGTGTTGACCAAGGTAAGTAAAGGTGACAACCATAATTTGTTTAGCATAAATTCGGACAATTCAAACGACAATAAATTCGGTGGATAAATTATTTCTCTAATAGTAAATAGGATTATAGTCTTGGGAATTTTTTTAAAGTTTTCAAAAGTTGTTTTTAGTTTTAAATTTATATTTTTTCATTTTTTTATAAATTTTTAAAATATTTTAATCATTTTATTTTTATTTTTTAGGTTCATTTAATTTTTATTTACTTTATATATATATATATATATAATTTATACACAATTTAAAATAAAAATAATAATTGAAAACAAAAAAAAAATCACGAAAAAAAAAAATATTTTCTAAAAACTAAGTTAAACAAAACAAGATAATCAATTTTTTTTTTCTAAAATTTAGAGAAATTACATTAAGTTCTCTTACAATTTTAATTCACAAAATATTTATTTTTCATCACACATTTGTTAGTTATATAGATAGAAAATTAATATTATCATATTTTTACACTCAAATGTAGATTTTTTAGTGTTTATTGTTGTATATTCACACAAATTGTATTAGTTTCGGTTGTTTTATCTTTACTAAAAGAGAGATCAAGATAATTATATTAAAATTATGAAACGTTTTATATTTTCTTTAAACCTTAAAAAGAGATTAGTGCAATTTATTCAAAATTTTAATACAAATTGGACATCCTTTTTTCCCCCTTCTTCAACAAGGACAACGCTGCTGGTGAAAATATACCTTTTTAAAAAAAAAATTATAACTTATTTTTTAATGTAGATACTCTATGAAATTTTTAAAAATAAATAAATGAAATTTTAACACATAAATTTGGTTATGTTAACACTAGTTTAAATAATAAAATTTCACTGTCACTGAGACTAATCACAATCACAAGGCTTTCCAAACTTTCATATCAAAATCGTTATAATTTTAAGGAAAACTTGGTCAAAACATTCCCGTAATAAAATTTTAATGTATCAAGAATAAGTACAAAAAAAAAATTCTTGAAAAGTCCAACACATACCATATTATCAAAATATTAAATTTTAAAATAATATAACTTTTGATATAGATGTTATAAAATTAATATTTCTAAAATTCTTTCATTAAGATCTATCAAATAAGATCCATATTGACTATGAAATTCTTTAAAAAAAAAAATATTACCGTCAAAATTGATGTAAATAGTAACATGTTACTCTGACAATATTCTCTAACAAAAAATATATATATATTTTACTTTATCCTTAATTATGTGTTTTCTCTTTAGGAGAGTTTATGAAACAAAATAAATTGGGCTGTCATTTTCACCAAACAAATGTCCAATGAAGGGATTTTGGCTAAATTTTTCTAATTTTAAATATGAAATCAAGTAAACAATAATCAAAATTGATATTTAAAAACTCAATTTACTTCCCCAAAAAAATGTGAAGTTAATTTTAGACCTTTTTTAATATATGTCAATCCATATAAATTGTTTTCAATATTGAAGAGGGGGGAGAAATTAAGACACTAACTTAATTATTAAAGTCCCTCAGTTAGGCAAATTTTGTCATTAAATGAACATGGGTCAAAGCGTAAGGAAAATAAGTCAACTAGAAAATCAAACCAAATCCGACATGCTTTGGGCCAAATGGGCCAAGAGCAAAGTATCAAAGAGAACTCGCTGAGGCACTACTTACCAAGGCCTAATTACTGAGGCCAACTCCACCTCAGTACCGCCATTTTTGTTATAGCGCCGCCTTTTACACTTACTGAGAGGAAGAGAGCCGAAACAACTTCAACCTCAGCAACTACCTATTGAAGTGTAGTTCTTCGCGGTGATAGCAACCTTTAAGGGAGATCTCCTTTATACAAAGTAATGTACAGATAATTGGCATTGATCGCAGACGTAAGGCATTAGTAGCCTAGAGATTATAATAGACCTAAAGCATGTATAGCTTGGCACTGATAGCAGGTCCCAATGCTTATTGGTTGGAGTTGATAGCAAACGTTAGAGGTACCAGTATATTTGTCACGACCCCAAACCGCCCCTAGTAGTTTGGTGCCGTGATGGCCAGTAATCCGTAATTACCGAAGGCCAACTTTTCAAAACTCAATACAATCAGAGTACAATAATGATCGGGGCTAACAAATGCGGAAGCGATAATTTAAATACAAGTGGTCCATAGGAGCTGTGCGTAGATCAAAGCAATGCCAAACATTTTCAATTAACTTACGACTTGAATACAACAAGTAAAATTACATATCACATCTTGATCAAAAGGCTTCTCGAGCCGACATATACAAAATACAGTTAATACAATTCAAGAAGCATGATTTTCAAGATCTGCCGACATGCAAAACAAGGCATCGCCGACGTAAATACAAAAGTAAGGCCGACATATACACGCATCCAAAACAAGCATCCAAAACGAACTAGGCGTCGCCGCCGTCCTGCTCATCACCTACATATATATAGAGGGGTGAGTACAAAACTCAGTGAATGGTACTAAAAATAAAGGTTTGCATGAATATAGCCGGAATCCTTCCAAACGAATACATCAAACTTAGCAAGGCAAGGGATGAACCGTATTCATCAGCTACTCGCAAGTAGGCTAAAACACGGATTTCAATGAGCTGTTCCAACTCAGACAACCCAACCTTCACCTACAGGCATTCAGGCAATATATATCACATAAGCAGCTAGCCACACGAAAACATCGGCTAGGGAGGACGACACTTGACTAAGCTGTGCCACACCTTGGCCGGGGTGCGCCACATCTCGGCCTAGGCCATACCTTCCTGCGGACAAGGTTCAAGTGCGGGACATCTCGGCAAAGAATGCCCGAGGTGAAGATGGGGTTGAACAAGACCTCAAGATAGTTCTAAGTACAAAGGGTCAAAGGCGGACTAAGCTCAAGATGATCTCGGCTACGCACACGCAATAAGCAAGGAACAAAATCACGCAAGCAACTTAAGCAAATCAAGCCAAGATAGAACCTTCAAATTAACATAACAAGCAAGATCATGCAAGAATGTATGCAAGTATGGCAAGAGTAAGGTGATGGTTGTTACAATATTGCAGCGACCCCGCGAAAATGAAAGCAGGGTAGCCTGAAAGTAAGAGACTTCATTTCCATTTACCTAGGTCAAAGACTTGCCTTAATTGCACAGGCAAAACCAATGAAGCCCTCTTGGACTTGGTACGAGACGTAACCTTTGGTCCATACCCTGGGAAGCTGGGGAGTTTGTGATTAGGTGACTAAGGGTGAAGGAGCCATTAAGATAGACACAAATATGGTTGATAGCAGGTCATAAACCCTGAAAATGCATGTATTGGGTAACCAAATTGAGAAGGCAAGTTCCGCAGCAACAGTAACACCTATCGAGGTTTATACCAAAAATATATATGTTGAGGCTCGTGTCAAACAAATAGTACAGTGGCACTTGTTGAGATTTTGTGCCAAGTAGATAGTACATATCAAAGGACACATGTCTACCAAGGCCTAGTGATTTAGGACAGAATATCCTGCAACACATGTTGTTGCACTGTTTGACCACTTGGTATATTTTGGCACTAGGCAAAAGTCTATAAATATAACCTAATTCCCAAGATCTAATGAAAGAACTTCTTGGGATTTGGAAGGATATGTTGCTCATTTGCACTGTCACATTTTTTTCCTGAATCACTTGCTCCACTCTCACCTGATTACTCATTCTCTAACCTTTTCATATTATTAACTCGCTAACATAATTTTGTCTCTCTAAATGATACTATTATTACTATTCATTTAAAACCCTATAGATATACATAAAAAAAATTGTTTGTGTAACCAACCTTTACTTTTTATATTCCACAAACATAAAATATTTGATCAACCTCCAATACGATATTGTTATTACCCTCAATCACCAGTACCACAACCATTGTCCAATTAATAAACTTGGAAAAGATAAAAAAATTCCCACAATTTAGCTTACTACTTCATTTACTAAAATACAATCTTATATAATATTTGAATCTTCGTTTTTCTTTCAATTTATTTTTTTCATACTGTCACACCTTGTCTCCACTATCGACCACCCATTATCTTCCACCATATAGTTGAACCACCTTCCCTATTATAGCTCACGATTATTGGTTTTTCATTCTTTCAAAATGAAAAATCTAGAAATCCCCTAGATGTTGATTTGTGATTATGTATCAATTTTAAGCAGTATATAACAATCCCAATCAAACAATCAAGACAAATCGACACAACGATTTTACGTGAAAAAAACCACAATTGGACACCTCAAATTGTGAAAAAAAACCATGGGCAACAGTCACAAAACAATCCACTAAGAAGATATAAAGGAATTACACATGTATACTCTCAATTACCTAGCGAATCCACGCCCGAATTGAACCAACCTCTATGTATCTCTTCAAACCCCGTCTTCGCCTCGGAATTGTCTTGACGATGAGCCACTCCGGAATCCACCAAAGCTTCAGGCTTGAATTCTTCAGAATCCACCGAAGAACAACTCTCTCTTTTGTGTAGAATAAACAAACAAACCTTTGATGTATGCTTTTTAAACCATGAGTTGAATACTCAATGAAACATCAAAGAAAACTAGAAAATATCTCCAGATATAAACCCTAGAACCCAAGAAGAAGATCTGGAGAAGTTATCCTAGATTTGGACTGAAACACGTATTTATAGAAAACTGTCCCGCAATCTCCGCTCGAGCTAACCTACGCTTGAGCGTGGAAAGTTCCGCTCGAGCGGGAAAAAACAACATCCAGTATTTTTGCAGGCGAATAAACTTCTGGAACTCAGCATTCTCCGCTCGAGCGGACAGGTAACTTGGAATGCATTTTTGTATTTTGCTTCGGGGGCGCTGCCCCTCGACCCCGCCGTGGTGCTGCCTCGGACCCGCCAAGGGGCGCTGCCCCTTCGACCCCCGCGAACTGACCAGGTGGCTCAATCCCCGTCATAATCAGCAAAGTGGCAATCTTGAAAGTATTAACATCACAAACTGCTCTACAAAGCACAATTCGGGTTGGATTCGCATCTAAAAACTCATAGCCTTACTGAAATAAAAAGTACGAAAACAAAGACAACTGAAAGGAGTTTTGTCAAACGGGATTGCCAAGAATAAAAACCTAACACAAAATATTTCCAACACATAATTATTCAGGTAAACTACTATCACATGTCACAAATCATGGCCCACCATATTTCTATTCACTTTTCCTTATTTCACATACCGTAAACCATTGACATTGACCACCTCTCACGACCTATCATTTTATCTCAAACTGCTCTTCACTCCTTACAATTCATAGCATACTATCTCAATCACTATATTTCCTTACAATTGTCATATGTCTTTAACAATTACTACCTCTCATGACCCATACTTATTTTCTACCATTCATCTATACCATAAACTACTACTACATTCTCACGATCCATTATATTCTCATTCGCATAGTTTTTACTCGCATTCATTTTACAAATAACCTCCCCACCACACCAACGACGCATACTCATTATAATTATTTATTTTCATTCCAAAAATTGAAGTTTATTTTTTATATTGGTTGGGCTTTGATATTGTTTTAGGATAATTTTGAGATAGGCACGAATTAAGGAGCAAAGTATTTAAATAAATAAATAAAAAAATGCTTAAGGACTAAGAGCATCCCCAGCAAAGTCCTTAAATCATTTCCTTACCTATTTTAGGGGTTGGATCTCTCTTTATACCATCCTATCGGCTCCTTTATAAGCCACCATAAACTAATATTTGCTACAGTTACTCCTTATTTGTAGGGAGTCACTGTAGGTCCCTTATACCTAACAGTGGTCGTCTACCTCGATGTCCTAGATAAGTAATTTGGGCAAAACTTGCTTCCCTGATCGTTTACCCGGATATCTGGCCGGTTGACCACCTAAACATCCGGCCGGTCGACCGCTCCTATCCTGCTTTGTCTCCTCTGTCCATTCTCAATCCTTGAATGTCTTCTCTCTCTCTCTCCCTATATATATGTTGAATGATTTGGGGTTTGAATTTGGACGTGTTTTTGGTGGATTGAGTTGAAATTAGAAGAGATGAGACTGGTTTGTTTTATAATCTCAAGTTTAGACAACTTCTGATGCATTTACATACAAATAAAATGGATTTCTAACACTTTCTCATTTATTATTCTATTATTAAAAAAATATTCAAATTTAAAAGCAATTGAAAAGATTTTAATAATATTTTAGAGAAAGAATATGGAGTTTGATGGAAAAAATAAATGAAAAAGTAATTCTTAAAATAGAGAATGAATTTTTTAATAATATTTTAGGGTAAAATTTAGGTACACTGCTGGGATGCTCTTATATGAGAAACATAATTTTTAAAAACTATTGGATAAAGTGAGAAACTACATTAGGATCAATGTTTTGTTTAAGGACCAAAATGAAAAATAGACTATACTTTAGGGTGGAAAATGTAATTTACCAAAAAAAAAGAAAAAAAAAAAAAAGACACCACAGCGCGGGCTAGAGAGCGCGGGTTGCGAAAACCTGAGAGTATATATGCAATGGCTGTGGAAAAAAAATGGCTTGAAATCCAACTGGGCTGGTTTCTATACTCTCCCAGGAAGAGAGGGGTAGTGAGAGAAACTAGAGAGAGAGAGAGAGAGAGAAAGGTGTAACAGAGGAGACCAAACGAAGACGAAGATGTCAGACCTAGACAGTCAAATTGAGCGGCTGAAGAAGTGCGAGCCTTTGAAAGAGTCCGAAGTCAAGTCCCTTTGCCTCAAAGCCATGGAAATCCTTGTCGAAGAGAGCAATGTTCAAAGGGTCGACGCACCTGTCACTGTAAGGGTGATAAAAAACATGCTCTTTTTTATACTCTGCTCGTGTATATATGTTAATTGCCCTTAAATCTTAAATGGGTTTTGTTCTGTTTGGCTTATTGTAGTTGGGCTAGTAGTGAAAACACGTATTTATAGAAAACTGTCCCGCAATCTCCGCTCGAGCGAACCTACGCTCGAGCGTGGAAAGTTCCACTCGAGCGGGAAAAAACAACATCCAGTATTTTTGCAGGCGAATAAACTTCTGGAACTCAGCATTCTCCGCTCGAACGGGGGAATGTCCGCTCGAGCGGACAGGTAACTTGGAATGCATTTTTGTATTTTGCTTCGGGGGCGCTGCCCCTCGACCTCGCCGTGGTGCTGCCTCGGACCCGCCAAGGGGCGCTGCCCCCTGGACCCCCACGAACTGACCGGGCACCCGCCAAGGGGCGCTGCCCCCTCGACCCCCGCGAGTTGACCAGGTAGCTCAATCCCCGTCATAATCAGCAAAGTGGCAATCTTGAAAGTATTAACATCACAAACTGCTCTACAAAGCACAATTCGGATTGGATTCGCATCTAAAAACTCATAGCCTTACTGAAATAAAAAATACGAAAACAAAGACAACTGAAAGGAGTTTTGTCAAACGGGATTGCCAAGAATAAAAACCTAACACAAAATATTTCCAACACATAATTATTCAGGTAAACTACTATCACATGTCACAAATCATGGCCCACCATATTTCTATTCACTTTTCCTTATTTCACATACCGTAAACCATTGACATTGACCACCTCTCACGACCTATCATTTTATCTCAAACTGCTCTTCACTCCTTACAATTCATAGCATACTATCTCAATCACTATATTTCCTTACAATTGTCATATGTCTTTAACAATTACTACCTCTCATGACCCATACTTATTTTCTACCATTCATCTATACCATAAACTACTACTACATTCTCACGATCCATTATATTCTCATTCGCATAGTTTTTACTCACATTCATTTTACAAATAACCTCCCTACCACACCAACGACGCATACTCATTATAATTATTTATTTTCATTCCAAAAATTGAAGTTTATTTTTTATATTGGTTGGGCTTTGATATTGTTTTAGGATAATTTTGAGATAGGCACGAATTAAGGAGCAAAGTATTTAAATAAAAAAAAAAAAGAAAATGCTTAAGGACTAAGAGCATCCCTAGTAAAGTCCTTAAATCATTTCCTTACCTATTTTAGGGGTTGGATCTCTCTTTATACCATCCTATCGGCTCCCTTATAAGCCACCATAAACTAATATTTGCTACAGTGACTCCTTATTTGTAGGGAGTCACTGTAGGTCCCTTATACCTAACAGTGGTCGTCTACCCCGATGTCCTAGATCAGTAATTTGGGCAAAACTTGCTTCCCTGATCGTTCACCCGGATATCTGGCCGGTTGACCACCTAAACATCCGGCCGGTTGACCGCTCTTATCCTGCTTTGTTTCCTCTGTCCATTATCAATCCTTGAATGTCTTCTCTCTCTCTCTCTCTATATATATATATATATATATATACATATTTGTACATATATAACAATTCCAGAAGTGGAAGGTTTTCTCTTGAATATCTTATTTCTCTATTCTCAAACTTTGAATGTCTTATTTTTCTCTGTTCTGTCCATCATTTCCATTTTCATAGATAGCTGAACACCATCCCCAGTAAATTCAATAAGAAGATGAAAAGATGAAAAAGTGAAAGAATAGGGAAAGAATATTTTAATAATATTTTAGAGAAAGAATATGGAGTTTGATGGAGAAAGTAAATGAAAAAGTAATTCTTAAAATAGAAAATGAATTTTTTAATAATATTTTAGGGTAAAATTTAGGTACACTGCTGGGATGCTCTCATATGAGAAACATAATTTTTAAAAACTATTGGATAAAGTGAGAAACTACATTAGGATCAATGTTTTGTTTAAGGACCAAAATGAAAAATAGACTATACTTCAGGGTGGAAAATGTAATTTACCAAAAAAAAAGAAAAAAAAAAACAAAGACACCACAGCGCGGGCTAGAGAGCGCGGGTTGCGAAAACCTGAGAGTATATATGCAATGGCTGTGGAAGAAAAATGGCTTGAAATCCAACTGGGCTGGTTTCTATACTCTCCAAGGAAGAGAGGGGTAGTGAGAGAAACTAGAGAGAGAGAGACAGAGAAAGGTGTAACAGAGGAGACCAAACGAAGACGAAGATGTCAGACCTAGACTGTCAAATTGAGCGGCTGAAGAAGTGCGAGCCTTTGAAAGAGTCCGAAGTCAAGTCCCTTTGCCTCAAAGCCATGGAAATCCTTGTCGAAGAGAGCAATGTTCAAAGGGTCGACGCACCTGTCACTGTAAGGGTGATAAAAAACATGCTCTTTTTTATACTCTGCTCGTGTATATATGTTAATTGCCCTTAAATCTTAAATGGGTTTTGTTCTGTTTGGCTTATTGTAGTTGGGCTAGTAGTGATTTAGCATTTAATCATTTGATTTGTGTTGATTATGTTTTCGGAATCGATCAAGATTTATGTATTAATTTTGGAGATTTTTGTTAAGAACTTAATAAAAAGAAAAGAAAAGGAAGAATTGGAGTTTTTATTGGGATTGGGAATTGGGTTTCTGTAAAATATCCTTTTCTTGAAAATGTGGTAGTTGAAACCCTCCTCCCCCAATCCTCCGGAGCAACTTGTTTAGCGGGGAATGGGTGTCTGAAAATGCAGAATATCTTTTTGATGGGGCTGATATTTAATTGGACTTAAATGAACTGCAAGAATACAGTGGCTATTTGGTTATAACTTATAATTGTTTCAAGTAAAAACAAGTAAAGTTCATAGGGTCTGATAGGAAGAGAATGTCATAGTTTTTAGTTGAATGATCAAAACTCTATGCTATTGATGTGTAATTTTCTCCTTTTTATGCTTGTTGTTTCTTTTGTAATTGAATTTTGAATATTTAGGATATTGGAAATCAATATTCAGAAGTTATCATGTTAACATAGACCTCAATACAACACTTTCAAGTAAGTGGAGAAATATAGTGGAACCTAAAAATTTTAACCGACAAGTAGCCCAAGTATACACCATAGACCTGAAAGACTCAATGTAGGATAGATTAGGAAACTACGCTAATATTGCATACAACCAAATTTTCTGGTGGGTTACACCGTTCTAGACTTTTAGTCATGGAAAGAGTTTGGGTTCTACAAGTAGAAAGTTTCTAAAGATTCGAGATGAATAGGTAAGATTTGGGTTGATTTTTAAGAGGGCTGTTTGCAGGTTTTAGGAAAGTGGTTGGTAAAAGGTTAGGACAAGAAGTAATTTTTTGCATGCGTAGGAAAAAGAATTATGGCATTTCCTATTTTGTGTTCCACACACTTAGCCAAACTAAGGTGACAATGCTATTGTTCATTATAGTAGACTTGTTAGAATTTGTTATATTGACTAGGAGTATACAAAAAAATTTGAACACTCAATTGATTACATTGTTAATTTCAGTTTCCAATTTCCAACTTCTTGTTTAAAACCACATATTTACAGATCTTGTGCCACAAGTACATGATTGGATTGGATTGATATTACGAACTTATAGAGCTTACTTGATGTGGCATTTCGTGATGGAGGTTTTGATTATGTAACATGCACGTGAACCCTGAGAATGTAGGCTCAGAAAACAGGACCTCCTATCCATTAATGATAAAGACTTCAGTTACAATATTTCTAAGTTTGTTATGTTCTCGCTTATCTATTTCTTAAGTAAGCAACAAAAAGGCATTTATTTGGTGATTTCCTTGTTATGTAGTTAATAAATTTGAAATTGCTTCACGTGCCTAATAGTGATTTTTGGGTGGTCTTTGAAGATCTTGCATTCCCTAATGTTACTCCATTGGCTAGATAATTGTGTTATGTTGTTTTTATTATTGAATTGATGTTCACAATTTCGGCTTATAGGTAATATTTGACTCTGTTTTCTTATAGATATGTGGTGACATCCATGGACAGTTTTATGACATGAAAGAACTTTTCAAAGTGGGAGGTGATTGCCCAAAGACTAACTACTTGTTTCTTGGAGATTTTGTTGATAGAGGATTTAATTCTGTTGAGACATTTCTGCTTCTACTAGCCCTGAAGGTATTATTCATGATATTTTTTAAGCCTTATCATTATCGTCTTTTAATTCTTTACCATTTCTAAGATTACCTAGTGAACATTATGTCACCGTACTAAGGCCTTGTTTGATTGTTTGGATTGAATATAAGGATTTGAGGAGGATATGTAATACTTAAAGATATAGCCTATTGGATGGGATATAATATGTTTAGGATATGATATGACTTATATATATTGTGAGATTACTTTTATTATGCTTGGTTATGGTAGGATATAGTATGAGATAAGAAGAGAATCACTGTTTTGACTGTTGGATGAAGACTAAATGGGTGGTGGGGGTGGTATTGCATATCCTCCCTTTTGAGGGATATGATATCCGGAGCAACCAAATACTGGATATAGGGAGACAATGTCCACCCTAACTGGCACATGTAAGATTGCAAAGCATTATTTGCTTACAGTTAACACGTATGTATGAGCTTGTTGATCTAGTTGTAATGTTTGTCTTATTTGTTTATTCTTCTTTCTTATTGTTTCCCTCTTCCAGGTCAGGTATCCAGATCGAATAACACTCATAAGGGGGAACCATGAGAGTCGCCAGATTACACAGGTTAAGCCTTACTAATTGATTTCTATTGTTTAAATACTTGTATGTGTAGGTAACTTATTGGCCTTCCTCTCTTGCCAGGTATATGGATTCTATGATGAGTGCCTACGCAAGTATGGTTCGGTGAATGTGTGGCGATATTGTACAGATATATTTGACTACTTAAGGTTTGTTAAGTTCCGTTCATGGACATGGGGCACCTGTCGTAAAAACCATAGATAATTTTTGGCAACAGCGAGTGATTGGGGTTACATTTGTTAGTGACTGTTGGAGCTATGGCAATCCAAGTGTTCACTATCTTGTTGCCTAATCATTCTTTGCCTTCTGAGTGGTCAGACAGAAAAGAATGTGGTCCATATGTTATTCAGTTAGATATTTAGCATCAAAAACTTGAGTTGGTGCTTCAATTAAGAAATTTTAGACCATGAGAGCAATTGAATGCCTCTCATTCATGCTGGTGAAACTTGATGACTACTTTGTACCAAGGGAACTCCCTACTTTTTCTGTATAGCCTTGGTAGGTTACTCATATTTTAGTTGACAAATAAAACCCGTGTTTGTGTCCATTGATATCAATACCCCTGTTTGTGCCAACAGAACAGGTGCCCTGATTTTCAATTTTCCTTATTATGGTGTGTTTGGAAGCACGTAAGCCTAACTTTCAACTGAACTTTTTGCTTTGAAATTTTAGTACTCTCCTGTTTGTGCCATGTTGTACTGTCATGGGTTTAGAAGTTTTGCTACTAAGCAATTCTTAAAAGAAGGCGATGACACCTTTCTTTGAGAAACAGAAGGAAGCCATGAGTTAGTTCTTTCATGGTCAATATTATCTCTGTAACATTCACAACATCTCCTTAAAATTGCATCTAAAAGGGGACATTATCATTACTCTTGAGGCTTTGTTTAGGTTGCTTCCAAACACAACCTTGATTTAGGTTCAATTTTTTTGTCTTCACTTGTGATTTTTGAATTCCAATGGTGATTCTCTACAGTCTGTCTGCTCTTATTGAGAACAAGATTTTTGGTGTTCATGGGGGCCTTTCTCATAACATTTCCACATTGGACCAGGTCTGATAACTCATCCCATATAATTTGGTTGGTTTGTTCTCTTAAATTATATTTTGTTCCTATTTTATTTGCATTTTTCTATTGCAATCAAACTTCTTTTTGGTTGTTAACATGAACTACTCGGCCAGATCCGATCAATTGATCGAAAGCAAGAAGTACCCCATGATGGTGCCATGTGTGACCTCCTATGGTCAGATCCAGAAGATATAGTCGATGGTTGGGCGTTGAGTCCCCGTGGTGCTGGTTTCTTATTTGGTGGCAATGTTGTTGATATTTTTAACCATGCAAATAACATTGACTATATATGTCGTGCCCATCAGTTGGTAATGGAAGGTTTTAAATGGATGTTCAACAACCAGATAGTTACTGTGTGGTCTGCTCCAAATTATTGTTACAGGTGACTACTGATTTGGACTATTTTCTGTCTCTCTTGTTCAAGAGTTTATATATATATATATTAATTCTCCGTTACGTTGCAGATGTGGTAATGTAGCTGCGATTCTCAAGCTGGATGAGAATCTTGACAAAGAGTTTCGCGTGTTTGAAGCAGCACCGCAGGTTTGTTTATGTCTGGATTGTAAAATTGATTGCATTTTCTGTTATCTACATATCATGGCCTACAGGAACTGGAGAACCTACACCATGTGCACAGGATTTTGTCTATTTTCTTTGGTACAAGTTACTTATCAAAACAAACTAGTGATGATGATGATGAATAATAATAGGAGAGTAGAACTTTATTCGTGTTGGCTGCATGTTACTCTTAAAAATTACTGAGGAGGTGGCTATTGGATGCATTCAATGGATGAAAAGAGGGGGAAAGAAAATTGCACAATCTGTATCACAGAATTTGTATTATGAGAAATGCCACACAAACAAGAAAAACATTCAGAAAACTTGTACAAAATGATATAGTTGCATCGTGGGCCTATCATTTCAAAACAAAAAACCCATCAAGATGACTATTAATTGCAAAATTACCACTGTCAGATCGTTCCGTATGAAATTTTTTGTAATAGTTGTTTCCTTTGTAAAATAGGAAACTGGCAATGCTCCCAAGGATAGGTTTTAAGCACTCATTGACATGATCTATGATTGCACAATTCTTGAATGGCTTGACTCCTGAATATATTTGGCTAGTCAAATTGAGAGGCTCTTATTGCATTTTTGCCTTGCATTCTTCCTTTATGACTTATTTTGGTGCATTAAGAGATTACTGTAAAATGCAGGAATCCAGAGGGGCTCCTCCTGTCAGAAAACCGGCACCAGATTACTTTCTATGAAATTGGGTTGATTCAGCTTTACCTGTTTGTCATCCAATATGCTTGAATTCGTCAACATGATTATAAAGTTGTGCCATGTGAGGATAACCTCTTTTTTTTTTTTTTTTGCTGGTCTAAGAAGATAACCTCTGTCGGGTTTTTGATCAGTTTTGTCTGATAGGTTGCTTTGTCATTTGAACTCATTTGTATGTTTTGACTTTTTATTGCTGGTAATAATAGCGTGTTACGTAGTATGTCATGTGCCAATAAACTCATGTAAGATGAAACCTGGCTCCCAATCTGCGGAAGTAGAAGTGGCAAAAATTGAGAGCAGGTAAATAATCCATTGACAGCACCATCCATGAGCTCTTTCAATGAACAATGTATTGACTAGATTGGGGCAAATCAGCTCCATACAGAAACGAACCACCAATTTACAGATCTTACTAACCATAGAATTTGGCGAGCAGTGCCAAATCTTTCTATCGATTGCTTTTTTTTTGCCTCTGTCACTAGCGAAGTGCCCGTGGTTACAGTTTATATTTGGTTACTTGAAGCTTTGTAGAGACGCCCAAGCCACGACAGGCTCTGTTATCTTGGTAGAGTTTTTAAAATTTTCAATGCCTATTTTACAAAGCAACACTTTGTTTCACTCCTTTCATGCCATTGCTATAATAAACTTCAAAAGCAACAGTTAACAACCCATTTTTTTAATTTTATATAGATTTCCCTGTGCGAACATGATTGATTTTTCATCGTTTCAATTGAGCTTTCAATGTGCTCGCCTGGACAATATCTTGGCATGAGATTCAACTTCATTAAACAGGCAGTTTAAATCTTTCACACATCTTGCAAAAGGTAAAAAAGCGGGCAGTTCATAATCATTATCACCGTTTAATTTGTATGCAACAAATGCAGCAGAACTTTAGCTCCATGAAATTCAAAGCAAGGCATGCAGGAATATGTATTGGCGTTGTAAATTCATATTGCAAAAACCTTTTGGCACATGTTATATCACTTCCTGTATCCAATACATAATAAGTCTAGACCACAAGATATTCAAATCCTCTCTTGGAATCCTTGAAGCTGAATTTCATTCAAAAGGTGTACAAGCCATCATGACAGGTTCAACACTGTAGATAATACAACCAGAGAGACCCTGGCTCTTTTGCTGGAAGGGCATTGGGTCCATTAAGATTTTTAAACAAACCTAAGAGAAACTTGCAGACCATCAATAACGATTAATCAGGTGCTCAAGCAAAAAGTAAGAAGTTTTCAGTTTGCCTACTATCAGTTAAACTTCCACAAAACATATAATCCAGTAGTCTAAAGATGTTCATGAATTTCAAATTTCCATAGAACAAATAATCCGGTAGTCAGAAGATGTTACTGAATTTCAATCCAAGAAATAAGAAACTTGGATTAAACTCCATGGTAAACAGCTTCCACTGCAGCCATTATTACTCTAATAGATTTGACTTTACATACTCAGTCGTGAATTATCAAAGTCTAAATTTAGCAATATATCGAAATCTTTCCCACAAGTCATCGGATTCCATTTTTATCAAGGGACATACTGAGGGACTATGGATATCCGAATGACTAAATGAGTTAACCCAAGTATTGCCAAAAAGAGGCTGAGTCACTAAACTGATCTGTTATTACCAAAAATTTTGGTTTGGGAGTTTATGTACAAAAGGAAAAGTCATTGATTGTGAGCACCCTTTTCACCCAAACTAAAATATTGGGCTCCACTAGTTCCTTTTTATGAGATCAATTTCTATATTTAATTCCACACACTCATTGTTATTCACCTATTTCTTTTAAACTAACCTACCTTCTATGTGATTCACACAATATAGATTATACTAACTTCATTAGAATGCTTTTAGGCTTATAAATCTTTGTTGAACCCAAGTTAAGAAACTTGCCAAAATGGGAAGCATTCTAAAAATGGAAACTTTCTAAAATAAACAAAAAATAAGCATTCTAATTAATAAGTATAATCTCCAATCATTCATTTCTATCAAATATACACATATGACAAGTAAAGATATGCTAATAATGAAGAATATGCCTAAATACTAAAAAATATGGCATCAATCCAGAAAGTCTATCAACAGCTCATGAGGAGCGCCACACTATGAATGCAACATTCTCATCATCGGGGAACACCCGAGGGTGCCAGAGTGTTAGGTCTAGTTAAAACGTGGTGTCTAGACATATTTTGTTCAATTGACGACATACAAGTTCAAGCACAAAAGGAAATCCAAAAACCAGTGCACACAACTACATATTAATGCCATGGGAACATGCTCAGGTTAATCTCCACAAGATGTTCAATAACACAACAGTGCATGCTCCACTGAATTCTTAGCAAGTCAATATCTTTACACAAAATACAATAGTAAAAACATAAAGCATGGCATAATATGGGAAAGAAAGCATAACAAAAGTTAGCAACTCCTGGTCTTACATTAGATAGCCTTAGACTCCAAATACATGAAATCAATGTATTGTAAACATGAATAAAACTGATGAAAAGTATATCCAAAGTTCACTTCTTTCTGGTTTGTTCTTATGTAAGTTGGAATAAAACTTTTCAAATTATCAAATTTTAATTAAATAGGGACAATAAAAATACTCAATTTCATGCAAACACTTATTCCATAAACTAAACCATCATCGATCAAGAAAAGAGAGTTTCGACAAACCCCAGATCTCCAAACTGTCAAACTCAATATAAATATCAATGAATTAATATACCAGAAAAATTAAAAAATTTCAATACCATCAAAGCAATTCGATGTGAAGACAACAAAATACTCGCAAACACCTATTCCATAAACCATCAAGGATCAAGAACAGAGAGTTTCCAATCAACAAACCATCAAATTTGATATACTATCAATGAATTACTATACTACAAAAATTAATAATTACCCACACCATCAAAGCACTTCAAAGTAAAGACAAGAAAGTAGTATTCTAGGCTAATCTACTATAAATTCAATCAAATTCAACCAAGAAACCCAAACCCATATCACAACAACACTAAATAAGCAAACCTTTCAACTATATATCTCATAATAAACCATCATCACAATCATAACTAACACATCCAAAAGAAAAAAAGAAAAAAAAAGGGAGGAGTCGATTGATTTATTTAACAAACACAAACCATAATTCAGATCTTGTCAATATCCTCATCCTCGAACTCAATATAATCATCACCAGCACCATCGTCCTCCTCATCGAGCCCACCAGCAATACCCTCATTGAGCCTCGTATTCTCTGGCAATTCACCGTAAGCCTTCAAGAGCCTAGCTTCATCAGGCATGTATTTGAGAATCACATCGGCCTTATCATCCTGATAGTCTCTGAGTCCGACGAGGATGATATCGCCAGCTGCGATCCAGACCTTCTTGTGCATCTTGCCTCGGATGTGGCCGAGCCGCTTGGTTCCATCGATGCACATGGCTTCGCAGCGACCGTTTCCGAGCATTCGGAGGACCTGAGCGTATTCTTGGCCGTCTTCCTTGAAAACCAGCTCGCGCTTCTCATCATCGGCCTCGTTCTTGCCTCTCTTGCGGTTTTTGCCTCCCTTACCTTTGTTCTTAGGCATGGTTGCTGCTGTTGTTGATTCTAGAGGGAGAAAGAGAGTTGCGGGGAGAGAGAGAGAGGTGTGATCGAAACCCTAACCCTAGCTTTTCTTGTGTGGTGGGTGGTGATGGAATAAGTGGAATTTTGAATGAAGTCCCTGTGTTTTATAGTATTTAGAGGCGGTGTGAACAACTGTTTGGCTACGTGGAAGTTAGCACTCTTGAATGTGGATAGGTTTTTATTCTGCACTAGTTCAAAGCATCCCAGTAACCATGCTAATGCCTTGTTTGGCCACCTCCGCATTCTCCCCCATCTTCTCCCATTAGGATTGTGAAATTTTTTTTATTTTTATTATTATTTTGGTTGTGGTTTTCTTACCTTTTTCTTTTTGGAAAATTACATACTAGTGGGAGATAGAAACAAAATTACAAATACATAGGTGTTGTTTAGTAACACTTACGTTTTTAATTTTCTGTTTATATTTATAAAAATTTAAAAAATTCAAATAAAAACTTGTTTGGTAAAATTTTTGATTTATAAATCAGTGGTCTTAATTTATAAATTTTGCCAAAAAATGAAAACACAAAAAATGTGTTTTCATTTTGAGTTTTCAATTTTTGTTTTTTTTACCACCCAACACTAGCCACCACCCACTACCATTTTCCACCACCGTCTTCTGCCGTCACCACCCACCACCTACCACTACCTGCCACCACCACTCCCCACCCACTTGCCACCACAACCCGCCACCACCACCCACCAACCACAACCCACCTGCCACCCACTCGCCACCACCACCCACTCCTCGCCACCACCATCACTTTATTAGAAATGGTCCAAAAGACAGATTGGATTTAGTATATTTAGGTCTTTTTGTGTGTGTGTGTGTGTGTGTAACATTTACTTTGATAGGATTCTCTCATGCTAGTTTTAGAGTCCCACTACGTAGTTTGAAAAAACGGAACTCGAATGATCCTTTTTTTTTTCTTCTTCTTTTTTCTTTTTCCTTCCCCTTCCTTCTCCCTCTCTCTCAAACACAACTGTTTTTGTTTTTCTACACAGTTTCCTCTCTCTCTCTCTCTGTCTCTCTCAAACATGACCGAGTCACAAAATTCCACTTCCAAGTGTTTTTCCGGCATCTTCCGCCGCCTCCTCTACACTGGTAGCCTCCCAACCCACCCATCTGATCTCCCCACCAACCCCACCACCACCACCACCTACTCGCTACCACCCGCCACCGTCACCCACTCACCCACCACAACCACCACCCGCCACCTATTTGCCACCACCACCCGCCATCACCCACCCACCTGCCACCGTCACCCACCACCAGCTACCCACCACCCACCATCACCACTTTCCACCACCGTCTTTCGCCGCCACTTGCCACAATTTGTCATTTTTCACTCTTTTTTATATTTTTAAAATTTTTAAACATTTTGTCAATTACCAAACGTGTTTGTAGTTTATGTTTTTCTAAAAATAAACAAAAAATAAACAAAAAACAGTTTATAAAATTTTTGTAAATATAAATTAAAAACGTAAACGTTACCAAACACACCCTATGAGTGTAAGTGATTTTATAGTAGGGTACAAGTGAAAATTTATGGGGTGTAAGCATTTGTTGGTATTTTTTTTTTTCTTCTCCCTAATTTTTCCTTTCTTTTTTAAACAATTACTAATGAGAATAGCTTAAAATTTTGTAAAAATACATTTTTACTTTATAATTTTGTGATAAAAGTTAGCCTTACACATATTTTCATTCTTTTTTTTTTTATCTAAAAATTTTATAATACACACTGCATTTTGAGGTGTACACGATATGCTCAGTCATAACATTTATAATATTTGATTATGACCCATTGTAGTATTACTCATGATTTATTGTGATATTAGTTAGGACATAGAGTGAATATTATTTTAGTTATGATAAAAAAAAATAACTTTAGTTAACTCTAAAGAGTTGGCCTAGTGGGTGTAGTTTAGGCCTAAGAGAGTGTTTCTTCCAAATCTCATGTTCAACTTAGGGATTAATTGGAATGCGTGTAAGTTGGTTTGAACACTTAGTCATAAAATATATATTGTGTGGGTGAAAATCTGACCACACTGCCCGTTTAGTGATCAACTGGAGAGCACAAGCAGAACAGATGGCTAAAGTAACCTGAAACAGAAAGAAAAAGCTCCGGCGGTGGTTCTTCCACCCGGGGGCACTCCGACGATCAAGTCAGTATATCTCTCAAAGATAATCAGTACTAAATTGAATACTCAAAGTATATGTTACATCCCTTAGACCCACGGGGGTGCCTTTCTTTTATAATGTACTCAATCCAAGTCCAACTAGAAGTATGACTTCTACGAACTCCAATCTTAGTGCTTACTCTGGACTCTTTAAGAGATAGAGATAAACTCCCTAAGAGCTTTATCCTTATCTTAACTAAGTCCTAATATTTGATTATGACCCATTGTAGTATTACTCATGATTTATTGTGATATTAGTTAGGACATAGAGTGAATATTATTTTAGTTATGATAAAAAAAATAACTTTAGTTAACTCTAAAGAGTTGGCCTAGTGGGTGTAGTTTAGGCCTAAGAGAGTGTTTCCTCCAAATCTCATGTTCAACTTAGGGATTAATTGGAATGCGTGTAAGTTGGTTTGAACACTTAGTCATAAAATATATATATATATATATATATTATTATATTTTATGTGATATTTTATTATGGCTCATTATATTTTTTTAATTATAATATTTATGATAATTAATATTACAAATGTCATAACTTGTACACAATTTTTAAATGACCCATTTTTTGTTAATAAATGAGCAATTATTCCTAAACTACCGCACACATACGTGAGGTTCTTAATCAATAATAATCTTTAATTATTTAATTATTTTTTCAAATTAAGTGTCCTCTTTATAGCATAATATATATAAGTAGCATTAATTTTTCAGTGTCAAATTTAGCAAATAAAATAAATTTAAATCAATAGTAATTAAATAAATTATCAGATTTGTTTCAACAATACATGTGGAGACATAATTTTTGAGTTGTTCACATGATTTTGTTGTTAGCTGAGGTAAGGTGTGATCCGAATTACACTAGAATTTGACATATTCAGAGAGTGCAATTTGAGTCCTAAATGATGGTAGACTCTTTATTTTGAGAAGTTGGGACTCTTGTGGAGAGGTTTATTCCATTCCAACTAGGAAAGAAAATTTCAGGATTAGTGTTATCTTTTATTATGGGCAAGGGTAAGTCTTTGGGTTTTTTACTAGCCGGTCCTGAGTTTTTCACTTATTCCCCTCTTAGTCCTGACTTTTGATCTTGTGCACCAACAGGTCCTGAGACTTTTTGTACCGTTTTACCCCTCCTCTATTCTGGCGCGTTTCTGTTTGGATTTTCCATCAAAATATTGTGTTTGTGATTTGGATTTCTGTGGAACTTCACGATTTGCTGCTGTGTCTTCGCAATTTGTGGAGCTTCGTGATTTTTGATTTTCGCGATTTGTGGAGCTTCGTGATTTCTAATTGCGCGATTTGTGGAGCTTCGTGATTTATGATTTCGCGCTTGGTGTATCTTCGCGATTTGTGATTTGCGATTGTGTGTTTGGTGATTCTTCCTATTTGTGATTTCGCGTTTGGTGTATAGCTACATTTTCTGATTTGTGGTGTTGTGGAGTTAGGTCAACTGGTATGTTTGATTTTGATTTCATTTTTAATGTTTTGGTTCTTTTTAGTTTGAGTTGGTGATTTTGATTTTGTGGTGATATTGTTGTTACTCTGTTGTTTCTGTTGCGATTGAATTTGTGTTTTGATCATGATATTGAAAGTTTTGAGATATGTATTTGTTGATTGAATTTTAGATTTTTATTTTTTTTGGTTACGAAATTGTGTTGATTGAACACAGGTGTTGGTTTGTTATTTGATACAGTGATAATTTTATCACTGTGTATTTTGGGGATGATGTTGGATTAACTTTTTCAACAGTGATAAATTTATGAGTGAGTATAGGAATATGAGATAATTTTATCACTGTATTTGATTTTGTTTTTAGGGTGTTTGAGTTGTTTTCTGAAATGTAATTGTTGTTTGTTGCAAGATTTATAGTGATGGAGAATTGTTTGTTTCTTATGTGCAAGTTTAGAGGTGTGACATTGGTTATCAAGTATAATGATGGATTTAATTTCAAGGATTTAGTATATAAATTGTGTGCAAAGTGGAGTGAGTGTCACGACCCAAACCCGTCCCTATGGGTTTAGCACCGTAACCGGCCAGTAATCCGAGATTACCGAAGGCCTGCTTAACAGTAATACAGTAATACAGAGTACAGGGGCTGGCGGAAGCCAATACAGTAAATAGACTATGTCCAATGAGCTGTGACAGTCTGCATGCAAAAAGACTTTTCATTCAAATATATACAGTCAGACAAAACAGTATGTACATATATACAATCATTCAGCTCAGGGATCTAATCCCTATTAAACAGTGCCGTAACAGTCTACACAGTCGCACAAAACAGATACAGAGACAGACAGGGAAATTAAAAACACCCCTAAGCCGTAGCTTGACAGGCTCGGAACCTCGCATTGAGGCACATAGGTTGGCTCGACAAAACTGGAGTTTACCCCGACGCTATTAGCTGCGGTCTGGTGCCTGTACACCTACATATATATATGAGCAGTGAGCTAAAGCCCAGTGAATAACACAATGCGTAAAGGGGTTAAGAATGAATGTCCTTACAGTGATGAAAACAGTTCATTAAATTAGTATTTCAGTCGTTCAGTCGATACAGTCATATGTGGTACATCCATTAGCATAACAGCACAGTAAACAGTAGGTCTTAAAAGACCGAACAGTAAATGATGGCCATCAGTCAGTAAACAGTAGTGGTTCCAACAAGGGAACCGACAGAGATCTCTGTAACAGTAACAGTACACAGTAGTTGCTAAGGATGCCACAATACAGTTTAGAATATAGGACATACATTCATTCAATTAACAATAACAGTTCAGAAAGCAGTGCAGTTCGATTGTTCAGAAGATAATCATTTTGAACATATCTTTACACAGTTGTTACTCACAGAGTTCTGGGCTACAGTAAAGCTAGAGCGCGTCCCCAGTTGCCAACCCTACATAGTTACAGATTGAACACATACTAAGCTACACAGTTGGGAAAGATAATAACTTAATCCCTAATTTGCCTCGGTGTGTTCTACCTCTATATCCTCGTTAAGATGCCTTAAACTAGGCCTAATAATGCCTAGGATAAGATGGGGATGCAAAGATGCACTTTAAAAACATTTTCAGAAAACAGGGGTCACGCTCGAGCGTAGGTTACTCCGCTCGAGCGGACATGCGGACAAAGGTTTCCGCTCGAGCGCATATTTACCCGCTCGAGCGTACTGTAAAACAGTCAAAAGTGCTGGATTAGCGAAAATCACGCTCGATTGGGCGCTCGACACCCGCTCGAGCATGAGACACAATGCCCCGCTCGAGCGTTAATTGTTCCGCTCAGCGGACTTCAAAACAAAACAAAATGCTAGGAGCACGATTTCCACGCTCGAGCGCCAGTCACCCCGATCGAGCGTGAGTCCAAATTCTGGAAATTCCAGATTTGAACCTCAAGCTCAAAACCAAGTTTTAAACCATAAATTTCGATCCTCTTGGGCCAATTTTCCAGAAAACACATCAAAACTCATAGTTTAACATGATTCCAAAGCTCAATTGTAAAATCAAAGCCCAGGTGTTTCAAATAAATCCAATTCAAACCAATTTCCATGAATATGAAGAACATGCAAAACATGCATGAATTTAAACCATTTCAAGCTTCAATTACATGCTCTAGGGAGCCAATTGTTCCAAAAACAAGATGAAAACATGGACTTAACATAACCATGAGCATGCATGAGACAATTCTTCATGGAATCAACTCAAATATTCAACAATTCAAACATCAGCATGGAATGAGCTCCAATTCAACATTAATGAACTAAATCATGACTTAGTCCTATAATGAGTATGAATCATGCAAGAACTAGCTCAATGACAACAATAAGATATGAGTTTCTACCTTAGCTCTTGTATTCGAGGTTTAGGAGCTCAATTATGAAATCAATCTTCAATTCATCAAGCAATTCTACAAGTGAACTCAATTCTCTCACTTCCCCTCTCTCTATGGCCGGTTGAATAAGGGGAATGGACTGAAGAAATGTTTTGTTTGAGTGTATGAGAAGATCAAAAAGGTTCAAGTAGTGGGGCATATTTAAGTGGCAAAATGGTAAATAAGGCCAACTATGCAATTTAACTCATTTAATCTAATTTAATCATACCTAACTAGTTTTCACGATAATTATACCATAAAATTACATAAATTACGATGATCCATAAAAACACTAATCGGTTTCCGGTTTCGGCCGCCGATAAGGCCTTCAATTACCAGATTTAAACACAAAGACATGAACAGATAAATCAAAATCAAACAGATGAATTACATTTAAACAGATATGCTCCGTAAGTCCAGTTCCAGTTTTTCAGTCAATCAGTTCAATATTTAAATAACAGTTCAGTTATTAGTCATAATCAGTTCAGTTATCAGTCATAATCAGTTCAGTTCAACGGTAATCAGTGGTATCGGTAAACAGTGACGAGGGTTATTACAGTGAGTTAGTTGGTCGTTCTTTGAATATATAGTATTCAATAGCTGGACACATCTTCTTGTGGGTCTAGAAAGTGAAGAGATTTGGAGTGTTATGGTTGACTGACACTTTCTTGTGATTACTTCATCAGTATTGAGTTTTTGTAAAGTGTTGTTCTTTAGGTAAAAGGTTATAATGATTTGTAATGTTTGAAGTAGTAGTAGTAGTAGTGTTGTTTGTGAAACTGATTTTTTGCCTTCATTTTATTCAAATCAACGGAAACCTTTGTTCTCCAATGTGTGGGTTAATTGTATGAAAGGAGTGGGACAAAGGTTTGCTCAAGGAGTTGTTGAATTTCGAGATGCGTTGTCAAAGTATTCTATTCATTCCGATTTTAATTTTGATTTTGTTAAGAACGATAAAGATCGTGTCACTGTTCATTGTAAAAGAAGGGCTGATTTGGGATATTTATGGAGCATGCATGCTAAAGTGAAAAATTATAATAAAGCTTTTGTTATTAAACAATTTGATGATGTTAATACTCGTGGATCTTCTTTTCGTAGAATTAAACATGTTAGGATGACTTCAAGTATGATTGGTTGGCTAATTTCTAGTGATATTCGTAACAAGGCTTTGACATCGGTTAGTGAGGTGGTTTGTGATTTCAAGGACTATTATGGAACATAAGTTTCTTATCGGCGAGCTTGGATGGGTGTTGAAAAAGCAAGGGGTCTTGTTTTTGGTGACTATTCATCATCATTTGACGATCTTCGTTGGTATGTTGATGCCGCTAATGCTTGCAATCCGGGGAGTGTTTTGGATATGGCATTTGATATGGAAGACATTTCAAATGCTTGTTTTTCGCTTTTGAGGCATGTATTCATGGTTTCAAGTATTGTAGGCCTGTGTTGATGCTTGATGGAACTTTTTTGAAAGGAAGACACAAAGGTTGTTTATTGGCTGTTACGGCGAAAGACGGTAACCAAGGTATATTTTGTGTTTATGTGTTATTATTATTGAAATAGTGATAATTCTATCATTTTTGTTATTGGAGAGTGCTGATAATTGAGTATGGTCAATCTATTAGTGATAAATTTATGCTGTATACTTTTTGTTAAATTTTTATATTTATACAGTGATAAATTTATCTATGGCTGGTGCTATATGTTATATACTTTGTGTTTTGATTTTCTTTTTGTAATCTTTTTAATTTGTTACTGATAACTTGTTTATATATATTTTGTTTGTAGGTTTGTATTCGTTATGTTTTGCGATTGTTAATGGTGAAAGTTATGACAGTTGGCATTGGTTCTTGTCAAAGTTATTAGGTATTTTGACTCCGGAGAGAGATATTGCGTTTGTTACTGATCGACATGGAGGTTTGCTGAAAGCTTTAGCTGAGGTATTTCCGTTTTTTTGTCATTCTTTTTGTCTAATGCATTTGAAGACAAACTTGAAGACTCATTTGTCAGTGAAGAGTCGTGAATCAAAAGAGTATTTGCTTACTCTTTTTAGTAGATGTGCATATGCTCCTACTATTGAGTTGTTTAATGAGCTATTTGAAGAATTTAAGGGTCGTTGTGGTCGTAGTGTTGAGAGGTTTATTGAGGATTTGCCTAATGAGTGTTGGTGTAACGCTTATTTTCAAGGCAAGAGGTATGGTGAAATGTGCACAAATGCTGCGGAATCTTTTAATTCATGGATTAGAGATGAACGCCATTTGTTTTCAACTAGTCTTGTTGATGCTATACGGGTGAAACTAATGGAGCAATTTTCAAGAAAGAGAGAAGTTAGGAATAAGTGGAATCGTATTGTTTGTCCTTTTGCAGAGAAAAAGTTGGAAGAAACTTTTAATGATACAACAGCATGGATAGTTAAGAAATGTAGCGATGACATTTATGAAATCCAATTGGATCATTCAGTTATGGTTGATATTGGGAAACGTTGTTGTTCTTGTCGATTGTGGGAAATTGATTGTTTTCCTTGCAAACATGGTTTTTGTGCTATAAAGAGGAGTGGGAAGAATCTGAATTGCTTTCTTGATGATTACTACTGTGTTAGTAGTTATTGTGATTCTTATTCACATTCTATCTATCCAGTTCCTAGTATGTGGAAGTCAAATGTAGTTGTTGATGATGACGTTCTTTTACCTCCTCTTTGCAAGAGACCAGCTGGACGTCCAAGAACGGAGAGAATACCTTCTAAGGGCGAAATCAAGAGAATTAGATGCAGTAGGTGTGGAAAGATGGGAACTCATAATCGGAAGACATGTAAACAAGCTTTGCTTTAGTTGTATTGATTTTAATTGAATTACTTTGTTTGAGAGTTGAGAGGTGTTACTTGCATTGAATGATTGAGTATTTTTTGAAAGATGTATCATTTTGGTACTCGCATTGAATGATTGAGGAATTTGTTGATCAGAAATTATATTTTTTGCTGATATTTTTACAGGATTAAGTTTCACATATTTATGTTATTTGATTTGGGTTAAATGTAGTTGCTGTTTTTTGGTATTTTATAAAGTGATAAATTTATCACTGGTTGGTTTAGATAAGTTGATGGATTATTTTTTTGTAAGAATGATAAATGTACCATTAATGTGGTTCTTGAATTTTGTTATTTTGAAGAATGATAAATTTATCACTTATTGTGTGGGAAGAGTTGATGGTTTATTACATTTATGTCAGTGGTTGATAAATTTGTTAAAACAGTGATAAATTTATCAGTGTAAACAAAACACTATAAGAAAATAATTTTATCAGTATAGTGATTCCAAACCTGTTATTAACCTTTAATTTGACACAAATAATCAGATTATAATCAATTTTTTGAATGAAATTTGCATAAAACCAGACTGATATCCAAAGCTAGATATGTTAACAATATGGATAAAAAAAAAATGTTTCATTGAAGCAAATGAAGAACCAAAATTATCAAAACAATGTAATAGGGTTTGTGTTTTAATTTTCAATTTAGGTAATTTTTTTTATTTATTTATAGCGTTTTGTTTAATTTAGTTTAGAAAAAAGAATGAGAGAGAGCGGTGCTGATTTTTTTGTTTAAACAGTGAAAAATTTATCAGTGTTTACAGTGAAAAATTTATCACTGTTTGTTGAAACAGGGATAAATTTATGAGTGAAAACAAAACACTATAAAAAAAAAAAAAATTATCAGTATAGTGACTCCAAACCTGTTATTAAGCTTTAAATTTGACACAAATAATTAGATCATAATTAATTTTTTGAATGAAATTTGCATAAAACAAGACCTATATCAATAGTCATATCTGGTAACAATCTAGTTAAAAAAGACCGAATGTTTCATTGAATCAAATTTGACATTATAACAACCAAGCATTGTAATATTCATTGAAGCAAAGTAAGAACCAAAATGATTATAATGTTTGTCCAAAATTATTCAAGCATGGTTGTCATTGTGTATTGTGTCCCAAAACTCCTTGTCTTCAAGCACCGCTTCTATTGCCTCATCAACAATTTGCTGGGTGTCTGTCTGTTGGTTAGTCAACAAAGCATCTATGATATCTGCTCTGATTTGGTGGCACTCCTCCTTTGTTAAGTTGGGAAAGATGTCTTTGTTACAGACATATTCTCTCATGAGGTAACAAACTATGACGCCACAATCAAGTCTACGATGACATTGCAAAAACAAAGTTAGTAGTCATCAATGATAATTTTATCAATGTAATGTGTTTTGGTTTTTAGAAACTTACGAATGATCAACTTGTTGGGGACAATTCATTGCAATTTCTGTTTCTTCATGAAACTTGTTACCTTCAATGAGTTTGGGATTGTGATGTTGAAGGTGTTTTTCAATAACCTTTCTCTGCAAAATATATTAATAATTAATTGGTGTTTGACAAATAAATGCATAATAAAATTTGATATAGACAAGGGGAATGGATGATATCATAATTAATTGGTGTTTTACCACTTTTTTTGCCTCATTTAAATGGTTATCTGTTTATGTGCTTGGTCTCATTGAATTGTAAAACTTCCATTAGCCATTTTCAGTATCAAGTACCAACAACGTCCAATGCTTTCCATTGAAAATTGGGAAAAGAAGATATCTTTCCTTGACAGCTTCTAACATCATGTTGTTCAACAATTGATTTGTTTCTGCCTCATCCTTTGTGGTGAACAAATACCGTGTTTTGCAAATATATTAGTTTTGGTTACAATGTAATTCATTAATGGTAATTTTATCACTATAAGACTGGATGAATGAGAACTTATGCACTTAGACAAGGGAAATGGTTGATATCGTAATGAAGTATATATACATATATATATGTAATTTACTTACATGGCATGATGTAGTAAATATATATGTTGTTCCTGCTTGCGAGCTGAGGCTGAACTTTGGTTTCAGTTGCTTTTCTGTCATTAAGATTTCCTTGTATGCATTTATTGCCTGTTGTAAAAACAAAAGTAAACAAGGTTAATGAGAGAATTATTATTTGGTATTATAATTGATATATGCACAAATAGGGATTTGATTTTACATTTCCAGAAAGATCTTCGCATTTGACTATTTTGTCAATATCATCCAAGTACAAATAGCTGCCTACTTCCTTTCCTTGTAAGATTGGATAACTGCAAATGTGAAAACAAAATTTATCACTGTATACCAAAATTTGTTGCTCAATTAATGGAACAAAGGTTAGGGGAACAAATTGAGCATCAAATTTTAGTTGATGTATCAAATCTGAACAATGAAATGAAATAGAGAACATAAACTCAAATGCCTAAATAATTTGATACCATAGATGAGACACGATGAAGATTAGCAAAATATATCACTCCACCAAACAAATTAAAGATTGGATAACTGCAAATGTGAAAACAAAATTTATCACTGTATACCAAAATTTGTTGCTCAATTAACGGAACAAAGGTTAGGGGAACAAATTGAGCATCAAATTTTAGTTGATGTATCAAATCCGAACAATGAAATGAAATAGAGAACATAAACTCAAATGCCTAAATAATTTGATACAATAGATGAGACATGATGAAGATTAGCAAAATATATTACTCCACCAAACAAATTAAGTAAAATTTATCACTATGTAGCAAATTTTATCACTGTATATCAAAATTTATCAATGAATGAAGTAAACAAAGGTTATACATTGATAAATGCATGACCATATACTAAAATTTAGATTCCAAATTTGAAAATTTTAGGACCAAATCATGTTCTTACCTGCTGATTTTTGTTGCCCAAAGACTAGTGAGTTTCATCCTTGATTTCTTTGGCAATTTATGAAACACTGGATAGGAAGTGTCAATTTGTTTTGTTGGACGTTGATGTTGTGTCTGCTCTTCTTTTCTAGTCTTTGCACTTTCTTCAACCATTGGTTCTAGTTCATCAACTGTCTTGTTCTGCTTTGGTTGTCTTTTCGTTACGTACCAAAAATCTGGATCTTTGTGCTCTTTTCTTGTTTCTCTATTTTTTACCCTTTTTATCATTGAGCTCACAAGAGGCGATGTTTTGGGAGTGGTGGCTTCAACTTCAACTACGATTTGTTCTTCTTCACTGTCTAGGTAGAGATTTGATTCAACTAACAATGCAATTCTCTCATTAAGTAGCACTATTTCCACATCTTTGACTTCCATCTGTGTCTTTGGTTTCTTGCTCTGTTCTTCCATTTGTTTACTGAGCTTCATGAGTTGGTCCTTAAGCTCATCATTTTCTGCTTGGATTCTTGCCTTCTCCATTTCTAGCCTTTGGATTATCAGGACATTCTCTTCTAGTTTCTGACAGGTATGTTCATTAATTTTCACATGGTAGATATTTGTTTTATAGGCAAGTTTCCTTTTTGCTTTCCTTTTTTCAGCCGGTGTTTGATGCTTGAATCGCGGGGAAGTTGTTGGACCAACTTTCTGTTTGATCATTGTTTCTTCTTCATCATTTTCTAGGTTGTCAAAAGAAAGCTCATTTCTTTGCACATGAACTGGACCTTCTTCAGTTTCATGCTGAAAGTTGGCTTTCCTTCTTGCATTCTTTTTTTATTGCAATGTTGTTGATTTCCTCTTTTTTCGAGCACCTGTTTGATGCTTGGGATTCGGTGAATTTCTTCTTGGACTGAGACTGAATATCTTTGTGATATTTGGTTCTTCTTCCTTTTCAGATAATTCAGTCTAAAATTTATTGCTCAATTAATGAAAGAAAGGTTAGGGGAACAAATTGAGCATCAAATTTTACTTGATGTATCAAATCTGAACCATGAAATGAAGTACAGAACATAAACTCAAATGCCTAAATAATTTGTTACCATAGATGAGACACCATGAAGATTAGCAAAATATATCACTCTAATATATCACTCTATCAAACAAATTAACTAAAATTTATCATTATGTAGCAAATTTTATCACTGTATATCAAAATTTATCAATGAATGAAGTAAACAAAGGTTATACATTGATAAATGCATGACCATATACTAAAATTTAGATTCCAAATTTGAAAATTTTAGGACCAAATCATGTTCTTACCTGCTGGTTTTTGTTGCCCAATGACTAGTGAGTTTCATCCTTGATTTCTTTGGCAATTTGTGAAACACTGGATAGGAAGTGTCAATTTGTTTTGTTGGATGTTGATGTTGTGTCTGCTCTTCTTTTCTGGTCTTTGCACTTTCTTCAACCATTGGTTCTACTTCATCAACTGTCTTGTTCTGCTTTGGTTGTCTTTTCGTTATGTACCAAAAATCTGGATCTTTGTGCTCTTTTCTTGTTTCTCTATTTTTTACCCTTTTTATCATTGAGCTCACAAGAGGCGATGTTTTGGGAGTGGTGGCTTCAACTTCAACTACGATTTGTTCTTCTTCACTGTCCAGGTAGAGATTTGATTCAACTAACAATGCAATTCTCTCATTAAGTAGCACCATTTCCACATCTTTGACTTCCATCTGTGTCTTTGGTTTCTTGCTCTGTTCTTCCATTTGTTTACTGAGCTTCATGAGTTGGTCCTTAAGCTCATCATTTTCTGCTTGGATTCTTGCCTTCTCCATTTCTAGCCTTTGGATTATCAGGACATTCTCTTCTAGTTTCTGAAAGGTATGTTCATTATTTTTCACATGGTAGATATTTGTTTTATAGGCAAGTTTCCTTTTTGCTTTCCTTTTTTCAGCCGGTGTTTGATGCTTGAATCGCAGGGAAGTTGTTGGACCAACTTTCTGTTTGATCATTGTTTCTTCTTCATCATTTTCTAGGTTGTCAAAAGAAAGCTCATTTCTTTGCACATGAACTGGACCTTCTTCAGTTTCATGCTGAAAGTTGGCTTTCCTTCTTGCATTCTTTTTTGATTGCAATGTTGTTGATTTCCTCTTTTTTCGAGCACCTGTTTGATGCTTTGGATTCGGTGAATTTCTTCCTGGACTGAGACTGAATATCTTTGTGATAATTAGTTCTTCTTCCTTTTCAGATAATTCAATCTCCTCTTGTTCCTCAAAGTTACATTCTCCATCTTCATGCTGATCATTTGTTTGTGGTTGCAATTGTCTGTATATGTTCTATTATTCAATTGTGTCTATCAAATTGCTTTCCTACATGAATGAAAATTATTAAAAAGAATGATATGATGCAAAGTTAAGTAATAATTTATCATTCGGTGATTCAAATGTATAATAATAATTTATCTTTGCTTCATGATAACAAGTTTTATCAGTGAATTAACAACATTAAGCAAAATTTATCACTCAATGAAGCTTACTAAGAAAATTTATAACTGTGAGCAAAAAGTTATCAGTCCATATGAAAATTTATCGCTGCATAGCAAAATTCATCACTCAATTAAAGAAATAAAGGTTATACATTGATAAAACTTGTTTATTGAATAATTTCCTAGCACAGATGAAATGCCTAAATAATTTTTCTACCACAAATGTGACACCATGAAGATTAAGAAGAATTTATCAGTCTTGCTAAAATTTATCACTGCATAACAAAATCTAATATTTGTTTAAAGAAAACAAAGGATATGAACGGATACCTCAATATGTTTCAGATCATGCAAGGATGACTTTGCCAATTGTTCTCCCAGATGTGTAATGCTCCATCTTGCAAATCTTGGGATTGGGTTCTTGTCATTTGGTTTGATGATCTTTGCATACTCACATATCCAATTCTGTTGAGGACAAAAAAAAATGTATAAATTAGTATTTAGTAAATGTAAATATTATAGTTTACAAGTTGTAAGTGAGGTATTTACTTACCAATAAGATGATCACACATCCGCATACTCTATCAATTTGGTTGATATTGCGTGCTATTGATCTTGTAAGATATTGTTTTGCTGCGCCACACCAATCATAAGACTTCATTTCATCAATATTCTCGAGGTATTTCATGAACCCCTAACCAATTGTTGTCCCAGTACCTGGATACAATAAAAGCAAACAAACCAAAAGGCACACAAGCCTAACGACATCTTTTACATCTTCATTGTTGTTGCTTCTCAGAAGTTTCGTTATCAACTTTTGGATTGAAGCACTTGTCATTCTGCTCTCGGTTATTTTCCTTCTTTGCACCATAGCTACCTCATTTTTTCTTCCGTATGCAAGGTTCATCTTCTTCTGTCCACATGCAATCCCAAAAATTAATTTGAAGTCATTTCTTTTCAACTTCAGCTTCTTCCCAACAATTTCAAATGTGGTTCCATCCATTTGGTAAGTTTGTAAAATTTTTGCAACCACATCATCATATTTAATTGAATCTCTTCTTTTAACCTTGTTTTCACTCAATGTATCAACCAGAAGTGAAAAAGGTGTCTTTCTCAATACTGTCAAATGCTCCTCTCTGAGTTTTGTTGTCTTGAAAAATTTGATAAGAGATTGAATGTTGGAACGGTAGACATACTTTGCTTCATTATCATGTATCTGTTCAGTCCTAGTTTTTCTTCCATCAATTTTTTTCTTCCCTCTTGGTTTGTGGAGCTCTGTAGGTTGTTTCAGTTGTTCCTGTTTGGGCTCCTCATTGTCAATGTTAGATTCAGGTTTAACTTTTAGTTGATTTTCACTTTCATGTGTTGTTGGCTCTATAACAAACTCAACTTTTTCAATCTTTTTCTTCTTTGAGAAACTTGTTTCTCGACGACGTAATCTTTTATGATGACTGGCAACATCTGTACAAAAACATTGAGCATGAACATTGAAAATTAAGAAGAATTTTATCACTGAACTAGGCAAACTAAGTAGAATTTATCAATCTATTATGCAAATTAAGCAAATATATAACTATGTAGCAAAGTTTAGATTCCAAATTGCAAAAGAACATGAAGTATCATGATGAAGATGAGAACAATTGTATAGCAAATTTTATCACTGAATTAGCAAAAGTAAGAAAATGCATCATTGTATAGCAAATGAACATAAATGTATGATTGTTATGATGTTCAATATTACTCATAAATTAATACTGTATGGTACAGATTTAAAATAGCTTCAGGTCGAATTTTATCGCTCAATTATAGTTATGAAAGAAGAAGGAAAGCAAATCCATCGTTATAACAAATTTTATCACTCAATTAGGAAAATTAAGCAAATCTGTCAATCTTATAGCAAATTTTCTCACTGATTTGGGCAAAGTAAGCAAATCTAGCATTGTATAGCAAATTTTATCACTGAATTAGCAAAAGTAAGCAAATCCATCGTTGTATAGAAAATGAACATGAAAATATAATTATTATGAAGTTGAATATCGCTCATAAATTAATACTGTATGGTACAAATTGGAAATAGCTTCAAGTCGAATTATATCACTCAATTATAGTTATGAGAGAAGAAGGGAGGCAAATCTATCATTATAACAAATTTTATCACTAAATTAGGAAAATTAAGCAAATCTATTATTGTTGTAGCAAATTTTATCATTGAATTGGGCAAAGTAAGCAAATATGTTGTTGTATATCAAATTTTATCACTGAATTAGCAAAAGTAAGCAAATCTATCATTGTATAACAAATGAACATGAAGATGTGATTATTATTGAAAATAGTTTCAAGTCGAATTTTATTACTCAATTATAGTTATGAAAGAAGAAGGGAAGCAAATCCGTAGTTATGAAATAAGAAGAGAAGCAAATCCATCATTGTAACAAATTTTATCACTCAACTAGGAAAATTAAGCAAACCTATCATTCTTATAGCAATTTTTCTCACAGAATTGGGGCAAAGTAATGAAATCTGTTATTGTATATCAAATTTTATCATTGAATTAGCAAAAGTAAGCAAATTCATCATTGTATAGCGAATTTTATAACTCAATTACAGTTATGAACGAAGAAGGGAAGCAAATCCATCATTATAACAAATTTTATGACTCAATTAAGAAAATTAAGCAAATCTATCATTCTTATAGCAAATTTTCTCACTGAATTGGGCAAAATAAGCAAATCTGTTATTGTATAGCAAATGAACATGAAGATGTGATTATTATGAAGTTCAATATCACTTAATTATAGTTATAAAAGAAGAACGGAAGATGAATACGAATCACGTTTCATTCGCATGTTTGTTGAAGATGAACGAAACAGGGAATGTAGATCGAAACGGTGAAGGATTTGCTGAAAATCTGTTCGGAATCGGATTATTGATCGAAACAGAGGTGATTTCTTTGGAAACGATGGGAGATACAGGGAAAATCTCTTCGTTTGTTTTGATTTTCAAATCGCAAATCGCCTCAGAATGGTTTCCAAATCGCCTCAGAATAGTTTCCAAATCAGAACATTTGAGAAGGAGCGTGTGTTTCACGCGCACAGGGTAGACCTCGTGATATGCTCTTTGATTCACGTGTGTGGTATGACATTCAGGGGTAAAATTGGAAACTGAAATAGGGCAGGACTTGGTGGGTATTAATTTGTTTGCATGGGACTGGCTGGTAAGTGCCCCTAAGTCTTTTAGGATGAAGAGGGCACGACTTATTATATAAGGTAGACATCTCGTGAATCGGAGATACTTTTTTATTTGTGAGTTAATAATTGTTGAGTTCGTTATTATTTGATTATCTTTAAGGGTGTGTTTGATTGGATGGATTGGATAAGGGGTATTAGAATCTATCGAACTTAAGTCCTGCGACTGTGAATCCCCCAGACTATTTGGTTGGATTGGATAGATTGGATCCCCCAGATTATTTGGTTGGATTGGATAGATTGGATATGTATCATGTGTTTGTTTTTTCATGGGATTAGATGTTTGGAAAGAACTATTTTTAGTGAATCCAACGTTTGGTTGGACGGACCGGATAGGATAAATGAACAAAGAACTATTTTACCATTTTTTAATTGTTTACTAAGTAATAGCAATATTAAACATATCTTTAATATTTTAGCTAGATTAAATAAAATCTTATTTTATTTTATTTTTTACATAATTAAATAAATTTATTTTTTTAAAATTAAATAAATAAAATATCAATAAAAATATATGTTATTTTTTAATTAAAATTTTAAATAAATTTATTAAATTATAAACAAAATTTTAAAATAAAACATCAATAAAATATCTATAAAAAATTATTTTTAAAAATTAAATAAATAAAACATCAATAACAAGTTAAACAAAATTATTTTATTTTTAAATTGAGACATTTAAATTTTATTGAATTTTACTAAATATAATACATAATTAAATAGTAGAGGGTCAAAATGATCATCTCATCACCTAATCCCAACAGTGGATAGTCTCTCGAAAATTGTCCCATACCCCTCCTAAGATACAATAGTCCCCCATATGAGGGATAAGGAGTCCGGCTAGACTCCATATCCGGCGGAGTAAAAAAAAAACAAACGCTAAATAAAGAGCCTCCCCCGGATTACAATCTCAATAGTGAATAATCCCTTCCTTATCCCCTCAATCAAACACACCTGGAGAGAAATTGTTATTGACGTAATTTGACTGTCAGAGTCTAATGCACATGTTCTTCAACTTTGGTCCTTGAATCTTTGAGAAAATTCTATTTGATTTGGTAATCAAATTTTAACATACATAATACACTATTGCAATAATACCATCATTATATTGTTCCAAAAAAAAAAAAAAAAATCAAATTTCTCAACATCACTCCACCTATTTATAAAAGAGAAATGTTAGAGCCGGCAATATCACTTTTCATTTATATAATTAATAAATTATTGATAAAAAGAAGATTAAATGTTACATAAATTAAAATTATAAAAAAATTTAATATAACTATGTAAAAACTATGCAACTTGTTATATTTTTTTTCAAAATCTCAGTAGAAATAATACAATTTACATTTTTTTTTGAAGATTTCATATATGTTGATTTTTTTTTTTTTGTTGGATACCTCAACTTAAGTGCAATATTTGTTTGATGTTGGATTTGAATAAATTTTTTTCAAAATTAAAATTAAAAAAAAAAAGAAAAGAAAAAAGAGAGAGGGAAAACGGAGAGGAGTTGCATAAAAGAAGAGTACACCCTGGTTATTATAACACCAGTAGTACTATTAACACTTCAAAATAAAATCCTCTTTTCTCTCTCTCTAAAATACGCTCTTTCTCTCTCTATATATCGCTCTGCACAGATTTGCCCAAACCCCCCTTCCCTTCTCTCTCATAACAACAAGACCTCACCATATATCTAACTTACGCACAAACACAAACCACCTCATTCTTCAATTACCCGCCAAAAAGGTATATTTTAACGGATCTAAATTTCATATTTTCAAATAAATCCATCTTTTAACGTCTCTCTCTCTCCCTCCCCCCCTTCCCCTCTCTCTCCAACCCCTGTTTTCTCTCTCTAGGGTTCCCATGTCTTCTCACCCTTCTCTCCTTTGCAGGTTTCTCAGCAGAAGTCTCGTCTTTCGAGGCCTTCTTCGTGTATGGAGTGAGAGATGGATTCGAATCATTCTGCGGAGGATTCTGGATCTCTTGATCCGCTGGAGGCGACGAGATCGGATGATTTGGAGGCGGCGGTTGGGGAAAAGAGGACGGCGGAGAACGGTGAATTGGGGGTTCCGGCGGCGAAGAAGGCGAGGAATGTGAAGAAAGTGGCGGAGATAGTGTTGGTGTTGGCGGCGATGGGGAAGATGAGGGGAGGGAGGAGTCCTACGGCGGCGGAGAAGGAGATGATGGTGGAGGCGAGGGAGAAGTTGGTGGAAGTGTGTGAGGAGTTTGCTCCCAAGGATGTTTTCCCAAGGGATGCGTTTGGGGCGGTTATTGAGGATCTCGGTCTTAATAAGTTGAAGGAACAGAGGTTAGGGTTTCGGCCTCCGAAGGTTTCGATTGCTGAGAAGTTGTTGTTCACCAAGCAAAAGGTGAGGTTTGAAATGGAGTTTAAGTTTATTGTGCAATTTATATTCAATTAGCTCATTCAATTAGATTATTAGTCAAATTTACAATGAATTTAGAAGACAGGAAGTATGACCTTGAGAGTTGTCCAGAATGGTTGGTAGGTATGCTCCCCACATAATTGTTGAGGGGTGAACTCTTGGGGCCAGGTCACAAGAAAGAAATTTCTTGTGAATTCCCTAGTCCCAGCTTGGATGGCCTGCCTTTGACCAGACCGGGGAGGGAATTAGTCGAGGTGAGGTGCGCACAAGCTGGCCTGTACACCCCTTACTGTTGAACCAAAAAAAGAAAGAAAGAAGACATGAAGTATTAGGAACTGCTGTTCTGTCCATTAATGGTTTTTTTTTTTTTTAATTGTTTTGTTTAGCAATTGTTACAAGCCAGATGTTTATGTGGACCTGTTAGGTTGAATTTAGACATGTGTCTCCGGCGGGGAAGATTTATTTCAAGTACAATTTTATTTTTTGGTTAAGATAGATTCATGTGGAGGTACGATAAACTTTTGTACTGCCAGATAGGTTAAAATTCGAGATTGATTATCTGCATCATGGTCTTGTGTTTTTGATTAATTTTTTTTCACTCTACAATTCATTTAGTATTTATGTTTTCATCAGTCAAATTTACTATGCATTTAGAAGACACGAAGTATTTTTTTATTTATTGTTTTGTTTAGCAATTGTAACAAGCCATATGTTTATGTGGACCTGTTAGGTTGGATTTAGACACGTGTCTCCAGCGGGGAAGATTTATTTAGAGTACAATTTTGTTTTTTAGTTAAGATAGATTCATGTGGAGATACCGTATGATAAAGTTTTATACTGCCGGATTGGTTAAAATTCGAGACTAATTATCTGCATCATGGCCTTGGGTTTTTGAAATGTAGTTTTGGTATGAGGGTTGTTATTTGGAAACATGCCATTGCTCTGAAATTTGATTGGAATAGGTTGTTTATCATGTATAAGTTATTTACTTTCGTAGATGACACGTGTATCATTGCTTTGATGGCAGAAAACTTGCAGTTTGGATCTATCTTTTAAATAGTCTTTAAAAAGTGTTTGGAGGGATAATTAAGGGGGCATTTTCAATTTCAAAACAACAAGTGAACCAAATCTCTTCCAAAGACAATAGGTGTGAACTAATAAAACCCTAAAAACAAAAACGTCACCGGTTGAAGTATAAGTAAAATTTATATTAAAATTGTAGAGAAATTTCTTTTAATATTATATGGAAAAAACTTATTTTTATTTATAATTAAGGAAGCAGATTTATTTTCCCCACTAATTAATTTAGAAGATGTAGTTTAAGGTAATATTGTCAATAATTTAATGCTGTTGATTTGAGATTCTAACAGTCAATGAAACACTGGCATGTATGGGAGATTAGGAATATTTCAAACAAAAAGAAAGTGAAAAGTACTAAAGCATCATAGTTGATTATAATTTTTTATGAATTACCTCCACACACAGTTTTGGAAAGCCTTCGGGCTCATGCCTTGTGCATCGCTATGTAGGCTGATGGTCAAAGGAAAGGTGAGGTGAGTTTTTGGCATCTTGTATGCTTCCTTTCATGAGGTTTACACTTCTAGTGTCTTAAGTTTTGGCCTTCACCTCTTAGAAACACTTTTTTTCCGGTTATGACATTATATGTGGTAAATGACAATTATATTACTATACATCTTTACACATGCTTGCAATATTTGATGATATTTCAATAGGTAATTTGCAGTTCCTTCTTTTTTGATTACAATGTATAAAAGTAGTAGTAGAAACCCAGAGAGAGTACGTGGAGCGACTAATTCTGAATTTTATGCATCTCTCTGTAAGATTTCTGTATTTCTGTATATTCAATTGTATTTTGATTACAATTAGACCTTAGATTATATAGCCCTAACTCCTAAACCAAGAAGGACTCTAGGACTCTAATACAATCATGCCTCTAATAGGACTCTACACAATAATATATTCTCACACCTCCGCTCAAACTCAAGGTGGTTTAGCAGAAAATACTGAGAGTTTGCTAAGAAGAAATTGAAACCGAGCGGTAGTGTGAATCTTGGTGAAGAAATTTGCAAGTTGCAAAGCCGAAGGGATGAAAGGAAGCGAGATAGAGGCAGACTGCAGATGCTGGCGAACAAAGTGACAATCAATCTCAATGTGTTGAGTCCGCTCATGGAAGACAGTATTATGGGCAATCTGAACAACACTACGGTTGTCGCAATAGAGAGAGGTTGGAGAAGACCTAAGAAGCATGGACATGGACACGTGACACGACACGAGTACGACACGGACACGCTGACACGTTAATTTTCAAAAAATGTAGGACACGACACGTGAGGGACACGCATAGTCGTTGGAAACAGCTATTCAGGGAGCTCGTCAACGGGATCTGTCTATTCAAGATTTCTACATTGAGATGATAGGCCTCTGGGATTAGTTGGCCCTCATGGAATCATCTAACCTGAAGACACTACATGCTTATGTTGAGTTTCGGGAGCAATGTCGTTTAGTGCAGTTCTTAACGGCTCTCTCTCCTCAATATGAGGCTATCTGTGGTGGCATCCTTCACCGATCTCCTCTCCCCTCTGTGGATGCTGTTGTTCGCGAGCTCCTTAATGTCTTTTTAGGATTCTTGTATCCTCTTAGGACCTTGTTTAAAATTTTGATATTAATGACACCTTAAAATTAGGAATGAACATAACTAATGAAGTAAATCCATCAAATAGAGGCCTTAAGGTTAGGGGAAAATCAAGGAATTCAAGAACAGGCTACTAGTTTGAGAGATGATAATAGGACATGATAGAATGTTGGGTTCTTTTCTTCTTCTTCTTTTGGAGGCAGGATATGGGAGGAAAGAGCGTAAAAAGTTGCGAATTCATGCCAACAGCCGTAAACCTAGGCATCGGCTTTCATATTAATATATGCACTTATGGTATGTATTTATCAATATATATATATATATATGTGCACTTATAGTATGTATGTTGTAGAAGAGAAAAAGAAAACACAAATATTCATAATGTGCTGTGTTTTGAAGTTTCACTCATTTATTAATTTTTTACGCAGGCTGCTACTCGCGATGCTATGGGATTCTCTCTCTCTCTCTCTCTCTCTCTCTCTCTCAAACTTAGCTAAATAGTTGATAAGCAAGCAGGGTTATGTTGTCAAGTGGGAATATATATTTTATATTTAAAACCATCCATGTCCATCAGAATATAATTAGTTAAATATCAGTTTTCCTTGTATTGCAAATGGGCAACTAATTTTTGTAAAGGGGTTGTTTATAATATTATATTAGTTATCAGTGAACAAATGGGTACCTCAGGAATTCAATTTCTTTCCATTGATTGTTAGAGAGATGTTTTCTTCACTCCAGCCTCTTTGTCCCAAGACAGTATAATTAGATGCTAAAAATTTATAGTAGTTTGGCACAAGCTTTGGGTGTGAACTTAGTTTCTGGCTGGTTGAAAGTTGTTCAAATGTGGGGGCTTTTTTCTCTGGATGACTTCTACTGGTTAATGCTTTGCTCTATGAACTCGTATTTGTTCTGCATGTATTGATTATGATGTATGACCAAGTTGCTTTTAAATTATGCCACTTGTTTTCTTACTGATGTTTACCAATGTTTTTGACCTTCCCTTTTAGATGGAAAAATCTGAAGAATTTTCTGTACGTACCGCTACACATTCATCTCAGCGGGTGCAAACGAACTTGGGTACAGCAGCTGAAAGCCGTGGGGCATTGCATACTACTAAAATGTTTCCATCAGATAAGCCAAGTCCTGCACCGAATTCTTCTGGAGGTTTCCAACCTGCTTCACCTTTAGTTCATGTTAAAGCTGCAAATTCTACATCTTTACCGTATCAGTTGCCCGCGAGTGAAGTAAGAACATCTGTGGTTTCCAGTGGATTACCTACTAGTCTTCTAGGAAGGGATTCTTCATCTTCAGTGTTGCCTAGAGTTGACAGACCACATGTCAGGTTGGATCCAAGATCAAATGGTTCATCTTATATGTCACAAATTCAAGGTAACCCTTCCTTTGCTTTCTCAACCTCATTTAACAGTTGAAGATCTGTTTGGCAAATCATGGATAGCTTATCTAGAGAATAGTTGTGCACAAAATTCAAAGTGTAAACGGTGTTCTCCTTTCAGGAAAGGCCATTATATATAAAATAAGGGTTCTCTTTACAAATTGTGAACGTCATTGGATGGTACCAAAAATGAACATGACCACCACCATCATTATTATGATTGGGTATCTCCTTTGTAAGGTTTGCTTCATTGCATACTGTTATGTGCTTGAATCCAAATATTCGGCTGGTTTTCTAACTTTCTGACAGTTGTTAATACTTCCTACCGCTCTTGGTGTGTATTTTGTTTGTTTGTCCGTATGCTTTTTTGTTCTGTTTTGTTTTTGTTTTTGTTTTTGTTTTTGTTTTATGGGACAGGGGGTGCTGGGAAGGGGCTTGGGTGTTTGTAGGAGATTATCATCAATCAAAATATGTAAAAATCAACTTTGGCATGCAAAGTTACCATCTTCTTCTTCTTCATATTTCTATATTTGTTTGTCAGCATTCTATTTTTTGTGATGATTTTTTATTTGTTTAATAATCATTGACATACCATCCATGTGCAGTAAATTCTTCTGGAGATCACACACCGGTAAAAACTCCAGCTTGGTCTCAACAATCCCTAACTGTGTCATCGGGTAAAACTGGACCAGATAATAAGGTGCTGCCGCATCCTTCAGTTAAGGTGGACAGAACTGCGGATTTAACTGCATCAAGAGTAGCTCCTCAGGCAGCAACATCTAAACCGTTGATCACTCAGACCACATCTGGACATATGCCGACTATGCATCACCATGTGCAAGGCATACACTTTGTTCAAGCTCCTTTGCTTAGCAATGGCCACAGTGAAATTAGTAAAATTGTTCAGAAGTTGTTACAACCAAAGCTTCCAGGGCAACCCACATGGACTCCTCCTTCAAGAGATTACATGAGTAAGGCTCTGACTTGTCAAGTGTGCAAGCTTACCGTTAATGAGGTGGAAAATGTTCTCATTTGTGATGCTTGTGAGAAGGGGTATCACCTAAAATGTCTCCAGTCTCACAATCAAAAAGGAGTTCCTAGAGGTGAGTGGCACTGCTTTAAGTGTTTGTCATTAAGCAATGGGAAAACTTTGCCCCCTAAATACGGTCGTGTCACGAGAAATATAAATGCACCAAAAGTGCTGTCCATTGCTGCAACGGTTCAGTCGTCTCTAGAGAAGAAAGTGGCAACATTAGGTGAGAAGGGAAATCAGCAAAAAATAACAGCAAATGGAAGCTCTGGGTTACAAAGTGCTCCTGCTGGTAGCATGGGCAATAGTCTTAATCAGCTAAATGCAATAGAACTGCAAGGGAATGATATTTTATCAAGTAGAGAAAAAATGGATGACAAGCGTCATTTCGAAACTTGTCCAAATGACAAAATTAGAACCCCAGGGCCCGCTTGTGTTTCTTCTGCTGCTGGCTCATCAGTTGAAAGACCAATTGAAGAGAAATTGGCTCTGGAGTTAAAAGGACAGTCTGCTTCAAAACCATCTGAGATAGGTTCGAAGATGTTGGATCACTTGCATGCCTCTAGTGACCCCCAAGATAATGACCAAAAAGGGCTTCTAAACAGTGCCGAAATTCCTTTAATGCAATGCCATGACAGCAATGATACTGTCAAATATTCAGGGAAATCTCATAGTAGCAAAAATTTTGATGGCAATCCAAATGACGAGATTAAGCAAAAGGAGCAAGGAGTTGTACGATCTGAACCTGTCGAAATTTCTGGAACCATCACTCTGGCTAGTGAGCATGCTAGGCCTTCATCAGATGGTTCACATGATGTTGATTGGATTGGTGATATACTTCAAGTTGTGGATGAAAAGACATATTATCAATCATGTTGCATCAACGGAGTTGTGTACGAAGTGCAGGATCATGCACTTTTTCATTCTAAAAATGACAAACTGATGCCTTCTAAGCTTCAGGTAAGCAAGTTGTTGCACATTCCAAGGATATTGTGGCAATTACTCTTGTACAAGTGTACTCTTGATACCTTCAATATTTATTTTGTTTTTGATTTTTTAGTTACTGCCTGCAGCCAGGGGTGTGAACCTTGTCCAGTTTTAGCTCATAGTGGTTTGCATTATAAGAGGTATAATGGCACTTCAGGTGTGCTGGAACCCTTCTATACCAGCACACACCTGCTGGGCTTATAATGTAATCCAATGAGCCTAGGAGACTGCTTTAACCTTGTTTTTTTCCATGGCTGTCCTAGCCTGACTTGCACACAATGTTCAGTCTAGGTTCTAAGCCATGTAAAGTGTAGATTTATTCCTGTAGTGTAGCTGCTCGTAGGAATCACTGAACTTCTTCTTTGTCGAGAAGAAACATTTTTTTCATTTCAATTCTATGATAGTGTCTTTATATGGAGAAGCGTTGCGTTCCTATTGCAGGCCATGTGGGAGGATAACAAAACTAGATCAAAGTGGGTTATCGTCAATCGATGCTACTTCCCTGATGACTTGCCAGAGGCAGTTGGCCGACCGTGTTACCCTGAAAGCAATGAGGTAATTGTTATATCCATTGTTTAATTTAATTTAATTTTGTTGTCTACGTGCATGTCAACAAGCTTAAATTTAGAAAGTTCCCGTCCTGATTAGTGCTGCGAATGTCAATGAGTTAGGGTGATAATGTAAAAAAGTGACAATGGGTTTTTTGTAAGGTTGTCATTCCAATTACTGGCTTCTAGACCCAGGTCTTGGCCAAATTGGTTACACATTTAGGTTTTGTTGAAACAGTAACTTACTCAAAATGTTATCCTACAATTTACTGCTCACTGATGATGCCATGACCAAGTATTTTCAATCCTTTCTGATTTGGGGTTTAAGCAAAAAATCCATGTTTAACAACAGTGTAGGGCTTGTATGAACTCCTTGTTGGTCCATTGTAGGTTTACGAGTCTAATCATGGTAGCACCATAATGGCTGGCTTGATTCGAGGTCCATGTGAAGTTCTTCCGCCAGGGAAGTTTATTGAAGAAAATGAGAGGAGATCACGTTTGGGGACTGGGGCAAATGATCAACCACTTTTCCTGTGCAAGTGCGTTTCCTTGTTTCTCAAATCTGTTCCTTGTATTTCTGTTGCTGCCTACAAATTCCTTTTCTATGAAATTTGCATGGTTTAGAGAAGCCTCCTGTGCGTGTTTATGGTTGTGTTTTTGCATTGCACTTGTGTTTGGTCGTCTTATGGTTCAAGAGTGTGTTTATCATTTATTTTTTCTAATCTTCAGTCAGGTGGAGATGAATTGTCTTATTGTGGCTTTTATTTATTGGGGAATGAAATTGTTTTGCAGATGGTTTTATGATGAATCAAAAGGTGTATTCAGAGATGTTTCGAGTTAGTTGCAGTCAGAAATATATTTTTAGGTGTCATTGTCATATCTGTGCTTTCATTGCTGGAAGACGATGGATCCCCTTTGATCAGGTAGAATTTATATGCCAAGTTAACCTTTATATTAAGACTCTGTTTCTCATAGCAAGAATGTAGAGTCAATTATGTCTCACTAATTACACTTACATTTTGGGCTGTATGGCTAAAATAATGGTTGATGATATTTGTTTTAGGCTTTTTAATTTACGTATATTCCTTTAGCAACACTATGGTCGTCCTTGGTTCGCACTGTTTTACGAATCCCATTATTCTTTATTTCTTGTGAGGTTGACATTTTAAAAATTACTTTTAAAGAATAGCTTTATTCAGATGCATGTTATATAATATTTGCAATTAGTCTTTGTTTTGAAAAATTTCCAACTAATTTTTGAGCATGAGAACATGAGTTCAAGTTTCGGGCAACCATGTGGATGTGGTATACAGATAATGCTGAAGGAATAGTGGCTTTTTAGTGGGTTTATTGACTGGTTATTGGGATCTGATCAACATTGGATAGTACCTTTTTCTTTTACTTATTTGGATTGAAACAACAATTATATTTTATTTTATTTGTTTTTACCCATAAAATATAAAAAAAACAATTGAATAGGGATGTTCAGAGGCAAATGCTTTGACAGTGTTTTCATTCATGAATAATTGTGTTGTGGGTTAAAAAATTAGCATTGAGTCATTGTAATGCAAGTGGTTTAGCACTTCAGATTTTGTGTCAAGGTTGTCATTTTTCCTTTAGTTCATCATATTCATATGTAATGTGTTGAGAGTGGATATGCCACCAATTGGCAAATTTGACTCTTGAGATCACAAATCATTAGCTCACAGAAGGGTATATAATGTCCTTTTTCCTTGTACCAATATCCGCATATGATGCCTTGAAGTCATGCACGTAGAAATGCTAATTAGCTTACTATGTACTGTATTATAACCACTTCAATAGCTGGGGAAAAAAAAAATGTTCTTATCAATTTCAGGAAGCAGGCCAACATTTACATATTTTATGCTTTTTATGTATATATGCTTTTTGTTTCCGTAAATGCTGCTCTTGCTGTTTTGATCCCATTGCTATTTTTGGTTTTCTGCTTTAGTATGGTTGTGTAGGTTGAAAACTTTAGGATCCAGAATTGACACATTGCATATATGCGCTTGCAGTAACCAAAAAGTTTTGATGAAACTAGAACACAAAGTGGATTATCGATGGTGAACTCGTAATCATTTATAACACACTTCATGATCTGGTTATGTATGGTTCACTCTTTGTTTTTAGGAAAATGTTACGAATCTCAAATGTTTTATCAGATCTCTCACATGGGTGTGGGACCCATACAAATCCACATGTGTGTGGGTCCCACACCCACGTGAGAGATTTGATAAAATATTTGATAAATTATTTGGGTCCCTAGCATTACTCTTTTTTTAGGCTTTGAGCATGTTTATTAGAATGTTGTTCCTTGTCAAGTATCCATTAAGGATCATAACTGAGATTTGTTCTCTCGTTCCAAACAGGTAGCCTATTTTGGGAGGCCCCGTCAGACAATTAGTGGAGCTTCCAATACTCATCGTCAGTTCCTTTGTACAATATGTAGCTGTAGCTGTAGCCCTAGTCTGTATCATCTTCCTAATCGTAATTCAAATTTTTAATCCCGGTACAAAATTGTCGCCCTTCCATCTATTTTTTTGGTTGCTGAAAGCTTATGTTACACTGTCAGCAAGTGGAACATGAACGACATGTTTTCCGCTTTGCTCACTTGACATTGAAATATTTATTCAATACAAGATGCAATTTCTTTTTTGGATGTTTCTCATGCTTCAATTCTGAATTTTGTGTCAATTTCGCTTTACTACACTGCACCAACTGGACACAATGTTCATGTTGCCCTGTTGTACATTGATGATTTGTCGAGAGTTCTGGGTTAAGAACCAGAGTTCTACGCAACGGAACTCAAAAATACATAAAGAAACTCTTAACATTATAGAATAGTGTGGAAGACAATCTTTCAAAATATGTAGATCAACTATAGTCTAATGAAGAAACTATTGAGAAGTAACCTGTAGAGCACAAAACTAAATTAATTGTGGCCTTGATATCTTGATTTAATCACTTTATTTATGTCATTAGAATAATGTAGAACCCTAAATTTCATGCATATTTATCATTCCCAATACCATTGAACTCAAATTTCTACTACTTTTAAGGCCAATGAATAACTCTATCCCTATCTATAAGCTCTGTTTTTACTTCTGATAGAATCCACCAGAATGAAGGGCCTGCCTACATCTAACATAACATCAATCCAGACAAAATAATTAGGGTGTCCGGTGGATGTAACATTTTATTTTTACAGTTTTCTATTTATTAAAAAAAAATTGAAATAAGAATTTGTTTGATTAGTTTTTAAAAAAAATAAAAATAATATTCAAAGTTTTACTAAATTCTACTAAGCATAAAAATGTGATTTCTCATATTTTGTAATGAATTTTTTATTCTCGCCTCCCTACTCTTTCTGGCCACTATCTCCGGCGAGTCCCTTCACCTCCGTACACCACATTTGATTGCCTGCAATCACTTTTAGTAAGTCCACACCACTTCCAGTTACATCTTATCACTTTTGACCATTAACAATTACATTTTGCCAACCACCCTTTTACTTGGTATGAAATTGGATAGCACACTATTTTAATTATTGTTAATATATAACCAAGCTATGGCTAAAGTCTAAGGAAGTTTCTTGTAGATAAAACAATATGTTTAGATCTTTGGGTTATCATATCATAATTTCCATATAAGTTAACGATTTCTTTGTAATTATGATGTTTGTAGAAATTAGAACCGACTACCTAGGGATCCATATGCCTCCAACCATTGACCCAATCCTCCCGGAACTTTAGCTTCATTACTAATAGATTTATTTATACATAATCTAGTCATAGAATTAGATACGTGGACTTTACATTATGTTTGGGAACCTACAAGAGAAAAAAAAAATAATGATTACTTAAGTTATAAGAGAAAAGAAATGATTGTAATTTCTCTCCTTCTTATTTGGTTAGATTTCATAAGAGAAAAGAAAAGAAACTGTTTTATGTTATATTATCCAAATAATCTTTTTATATTTTGTCAATTATTTTATTTCTACAGGGACAAAATTGGTATTATAAAAATATAAGAATCTATTAGTTTATTTTCTCTCCCAATCTCTCTACTTTTGGGAAGATTGAAAATGAGGGTTATAAGAAAAATGAGTTTATCTCCATTTCTCCATATTTTTCTTCACTTAAGTTATTTAAACAAGTAAGAGAAATACATATCTTTCCATTTCTTTTCTTTTCTCTCCAAATCACTCAATCCAAACATAGTGTTACATAATTTGTAGGTCTCTACTTATGAGAGAGTTATGTCCGATTTTGTAATTAAATTCTATGCACTTTGAATTTTTCATATTTAAAGGTATTACAATAAACGGAACAAATTTGTACGTAAATTTTCACAGAACTTGTATAGAAACTGTGCTAGTTTATGTGAAAAATATTAAAACATATGTAAAAGTAGAGTCTTACATTTGATAAAAGATAAGAATGAGTGATACTTAATATAGATTGGATAGACTCACTACTTACACGTTTAGATTTTTAAGTAAGCATGAGTTCTAAGCCATATATGTTGTGAACTCCTCAATTCTTAGATTCTCCAATAACTGATATCAAAATTGATGGATGACGCATAGTAGGCATTGGATGGAAGTGAAATCATAACTAATGAATAATGATGATTTATGGATAAAATTTAAAGTCTTACATCAAATCAAAATAAAAACGAACGAGTCTTAATAGGCCGAACGGATTTGTTGCTTACGATATCTTAAATGAGACCATATTGTTATTATTGAGTTTGTGGGCTTCTCAAATTTCTTACCAAAACAACAAAAAGTGTACCCATCCTTTGTTTTTCTTAGGTGCAAGTTTCTAAGTTTATGTGAAAAAATTTAATATGCAAAAAGAATAGAGGCTATAACCTAGTGAAGATTTGTTGGTGGTAGCATATCCATATATAATAAATCTCTTTTGTCATCAATAAATGAACAAGAGTTGGTCATGTGATTTAGTTTTGCCTGATGAATCCAAAACCAAACTATTCAACCAACTTGAATAATTAGTGGAAGTTTGTTCCTTGTATGTCTTACAATATTGGACTTAGTGTTAGGCTTCAATGGTTCATTTTTTGAATATAATAAATACTTCTAGTCTATTGATACAAACTTGTAGTCCATTGCTATCCAAAGTTTAAAACAACAGCCCATATAAGTTGAATTATTTAAATGTAAATTCTAAGCCCCGTTGTTTTCCTCCATAGCTCTTAATCCCGGAAACCCACAATAATCATATTTATTTAGAGAAATAGACCAAGAGCATTTTCATTCAAATATTTAAAATTTAATATGTTAATTTTTTTTTTTTTTTTGGAAGTTTAGATGGCAAATTGGCACATGTCAAATTGATATGAAAGCTTTCCATTTAATATGTCAAATTTATTATTCTATAAATTTTCACTCTTTTATTCACGTGGAAGCTCTTTTATTTTTAAAAAAAAGCATGGAGTAGGAATATGTCAAAATTGATTTGAAGGGGTGATGTCAAATGTCACATCAACTTTGACACATCGGGTGAAGTTGATACTTGATGTCAAAATATGACTGTTGGGGTGCCACATTATATTTGAAGTATCTGCTGGAGGTGCTCTAATAATCTCATGAAATTAGAAATACCTTTTAGTGAGGGGACTAGCAATTCCATAGAGGAGGTGATAAATAATTGTTTTGCCTCTCATTTTACAAAAGCAACAAAGTCACCTTCTACATGATGAGAACTTTTACGTAATTTCATATATTTAATTTCAACAAACTAATATTAACATTCTACTTCATAAACAAACATAATTTATATTAATACCACCATATTATTAATTTTTCCATTCAATCTTACTTTACTAATAATCTCATCCAATTTAATCTGGTAAACAAATAGAACCCTACCAGCCTCACACAATTATATAATATTAAATAAGTTTTAGACATTGTGGTAGAAGTAAATAATTGCTCAGTGTTATACCGACAACACCTTTTACCAATGTTTTACGACTTTGGTTGAAAGCTAACCTCTCTTACCTTTAGAGACAAAGTAGTAATAGTATAAAGCACTCTCTCCCAACTCTTAAAAAAGAAAATTTTCAAGAATACGAATATTAATCAAGGATATGGTTTGCCTTTTTGATTTCTTGGCCACTGTAGTTGGGTTAAAAAGCCTCATTTGTGACAGATTTTTTGAATTTTTTAACTTTTATCAGAGAGAAAATAAAATGATTATAGTTTGGAGGATTATAAAATTTATTTTGTTTTTTTGTGACTAAAATAGTCAAAAAGTTAGGCATGCCAAACGAAAGCAAAATTGGATATAAAATTTTACAAATTTATGAAATCCACACTCATATAAAAAAAAATTAAGTCCAATTTTAAAATTTCTATATAAATAAAAGAATTGTATAATTTTTTTTAAAAATAATTTGTTAGTATCTTGATGATCAAGCAAAGGAAATCTAACCTTTTTGTTACCGGGTGGGGGGGCCATAAATGGTAGGGTTGGACAAGACATGGTGATACAAAGGCATAACTAAACATCTTTTTTGACCACTCCACCACCACCCCCCTCAACCTATCACTTTTATCAGTTGGAAGCCTTTTTAACCCTATAATGTCAAACAGACAAAGCTTATGAATATGTTCAATCTATTCAAAGCTAATGACTACATAACCTAAGGGTTGTAGACCCAACCCAAAAAAATTTAAATATTGTAAGTATAGTTATTATTTTTTATTCTTAGACTAACATTTTTTTTTTATTTTAAAAATGTGAGATTTTTATTAAAAAAAGAAAAAAAAGGAAAGGAGTGGTGGAATAAGTTCTCTGTTTAGTTTGGGATGTAATTTGTGTTGGATTTCATAATCAACAATCACTTTCTTATTTCGGTTTGTTCTAAACACTGGAATCACTGGGATCCCAAATCATGTTCACATTCTTTTTCAAAAATTTTATCATCCAAACTTAATAATAGATTATGTTTGGATGGTTAGTAATGTTGAACCAGAATGAAAATATCATTTTAGATCATCATAATTTTAATATTTGACATAATAGAATAAGAATATGATTTATGGGAATGTGATTTTTAATTACATACACCCGAAATCACATTACTTAAGGGGTTATTTGGAATGATTTAAATAAATTTACTTTTTAATTTTTTATGAAAAAATGTATAAAAAAGTAAAAGATTAATATGACTGAAATAAATATTTTATATTCATAATGCCAAACAACCCCTGAGCAGGAATTGAACCCCCACCCTTCCTTTAGAAATTCTATTTCTAATAATATGATTGGTAGTTAATGTGACTCCTATTCCCCCTATTTGATTCTTGCCATCCAAACATAGGGATAGGGGGTTAAAGATAAAAAGAGTAGGGATAGGAAAGAAGCAAATGGACCGGCATACTATCACGTGAACCGGCGACTATCACGGCCTATGGACTTTCAATGCAAAACAACAACTTTTAGTGTTTGGACAAAGAAGAAGATTACACTAAAAATGTCCCTCTTTGTTAATTGGATTAATTAAAACCTCTTTGATCTTAATGATCATGATCTTTTTTTGAAATCCTTTTTAATTCGTTCAATAAACATAATGTCCATGAATGCAACACTGTTCTGAACCAAAAAAAAAAAAAAAATCTTGATTTCACTACAATCATCAAATTAGTTTGAATTTTTTCATAAATGATCTACACACAAAAATTTAAAATATAAATAAATTGAATAATCAAAATAGAACTCACAGTGAACTCATATACCAGCACGATTGAGTCCACAATAGTGAATTTTATCCCATAAAAAAAAGAAAAAAAAAAACCCATGAGGTTAGTTTGGATGAGATTAAGATCCTTAATCTGCTTGAATTGTGAATTTAAATAAAAATTTAAAAATAAAAAAATGTGAATTAAATATTCATTTCTCGCATCTTTACCATTTATCCACACATAAGAGAATGGTAATAACAATAATAAAACTAATTGATACTACTTGATAATTTGTAGTACATTACTCCAACAAACTCTAGTAGTTAATTAATTACTAGTTTAAGGTGTTAGGTGCTAATTAAACCTTGATTTCTGGGATGATCGTTTAAAAGAATAATAATCAATCATCATCATTTTGGCTTTGTAATAGATATAAAATAACTTTTAATCTTCATTATCTCGATCAGTCCTCTCTTGTTGACTAATATCATTATACAAACAGTATATAAATAAATAAATCAATCAATCAATTTGGATTAGAAATTGGGTTAATTATGGCTAAAACTGCTTCAACAGCAACTTCTAATAATCACTTCCCTTAAAGAGATAAGCTTTATAAATTATGATATATATATATATATATATATATATTTATTTATTAAAAAAGAGCTCAAAGTAACATGCATGATGGTTTTCTTTTGTGCATCAGTTGGTGGTTGTCTTTATGTATATATATATATATATTAGAAGTGGGCATAAAATATGTGTATAATTTGTAATTACAATTTACATGTAATAATTATGATAGTAATTTAAAATAATTAAAGAGAATTGAAACAGTTTATAACAATAATCATATTTGGGGACATTTTTGGAAAAAAAAAATGTGACATCTATACCAACATTTGTTTTATATATTAACAAGAAGTGGGTGTGTGTTGACAGTTATCTAAAAGAATTGAATTTGAAACAACTGAACCTAATAATGAAAGTTATTTGAAGCAATTAGATAATAATTATGGGGCAATTTGACAACCAAGTTAAAAGTTAATTTTTACCTTTTAACCTATTTTAGGTAACATTACTTCTCACATTTTTTACACACAAAAGGATAAAAAAAGTCAAAAAGTTAATTTTTAACCAACTTTTGAAATCATCTCTATATAGTAAATGATGTTTTGGAAAAAAAAACAAAACATGTGACATCTACGCCACCTCAAAAGTTAATTTTATATAACAATAATGCTTTGTTTGTGAATATGTTATTTTAGTAATTTTTTTAACTTCTTAAAAAAAGATGTGGAGAAAAATAGTGAAAGTGATGTGATAATTTATATTGATTTTTTAACTAAAATTGAAGATTGTCAAATGAGACCTACGTATGAATATTAATATAAATGTAGATATAGATTTATATTGTAAGGTAGAGAAGGTTAGTAGTCAATGATTTGCTTTTGATAAAATCAGGATCACGTAAAAAAGTATATCTTATATATATATATATATATATTAGTGCAGTGCAGATGCGATATATTTATAATTTTATATTTAAATTTTTAAATAATTTAATAATTGAGGGAGAAATTGATATTTGAAGAAACTGTTTAGTAGTTTGGTGCAACTTGGTGAATTAAAAAAAAAAACGTTCCTTACTTATTGAATATAATAATCAGGATAAATTATGAAAATGGTCCATGTAGTTTATATGATGTATTAATTTGGTCTTTATTGTTTTAAATTGCTCAATTTTACCTCTTAATTTAACAGATTGTGTCACATTGGTCTAATAAATAATGGTCATTAGGTTTGGTTGATGGAAAGTTGTCACTTACTCAAACAATGTGTCAATTTGATCCTTATAGTTTATATGATGTGTCAATTTGGTCATTGTTGTTTTAGTTTGCTTGATTTTGATAAGGACCAAATTGACATATCATGTCAACTATAATGACTAAATTGATACATCGTTTGAGTTTCCGTCAACCAAACTTAACAGTCATTATTTATTAAATCAATATGATACAATCCGTTAAATTAAGGGACAAAATCGAGCAAATTAAAAATACAGGGACCAAATTGACACATTATGTAAATTATAGAGACCATTTGCATAATTTACCCTAATAATTACTAAATGTGAAAGACATTCTAGGAAAAAGAAAAAAAGAAAAAAAAGAGGAACAGTATTTACAGTTATGCTTTGTATATAAAAATAAATAAATATAGTAAGTCCATAAATATAAAATTAAACCCCAAAAAAATTAAGAATCTATGTTAATCAATCAATATAGGATCCATCTATCTCTGAACCAAAATAATGAGGATATTTTCTTAATACTATTCTCTGGTTAGGATGGCTTTTGAATTAGGTTATTATTTTAAGTAAATTTGGACCCACAAATTGTTAGTTATTTATTTAAAAAGTCCTGTATTTTATTGTTTTGTTTTCTTTGTTTAATAACTGTTAACTGCAAAGGTAGCAAACAAAACTAGATTAGGCAGAAAGAATAATATTAATTGAAATATTATTACTAAACCTACTTAATTATTTTCCCAATCATAATTGTATGTTACAGCTACTTTATCAAACAAAATACTTTAAGCCTAAATAATATTGTCTTCCATTTTCATATAAAGTGTAATGCTAAGCTGACATTTCACATCGAATCTATCGTTACATTTTCAGTAAAACACAAAAAATAAAAACATAACCAAACAAGTCTACCCTACCTATGTGCTCCATTTTTCTTTCATTTGATTTACAATAAGCTTATGGACACAAAATTGGCTACACAACTAATCACATAAAGTAGCCGGAAGACAATTTGAGTGAAACTGTATCTTTTATGATAAGTCTTATCATGTGATATGTATAGTCAATATTATTTTATATAATTAGCTCTGTGGTCAGTTATAGTCAATATTATTTTATATAATTAGTTCTGTGGTTAGTTCTGTATCTGTAATCCTATTGTTTGATTTTTTTTTATTTTTTTTATTTTTTTTTTTACCTTCCCAATCTCCGGTTCGGAATCCGGCGGCAAAATTGGCCGGAGGGAGACAAAACACACCAAAGTTGCGCCAAAAAAAAATAAAGTTCGGCGTCAATCTTGGTCTTGTTTTATTGTTAAATGTGTGGACCCATAGAAACAAAAACAAATAACAACTCACAAAAATAATTTAAAATTTTATTTATAAAAGTGATGTGGTCTAAATTTAATTTTTGTATGATATGATACTGATGAAATTACCAACATGAAATCTTCATTTAGATTAAATAAATGGGAATAATCCAAAAAACCTAGGGGTATATTTGGAACAAAACTTTAATTGTTAAGATCTTAGAGAATGAGATTGGATTATTTCAAATTGGTCATTCAACTTGAGAGAGTGGTTGGTTTAATGGCCTATTTTAGGGCCAAATTAAGTAATTTAAATTGTTCACTTTTTAAAAGTTTTGAGTTTAACATTCAAGTAAAAAATTAATATTATTGGATATTATATATTTGAATCATAATTGTTTTAAAAAAATAAATGATAATTATAATTTTAAGAGTAGCCATTCATTTTTTATAATACAAGTGTGATTAAATATATAATTACCGATATCTTATTATTTTTTTATGAGTATTACTAAAAAATAAACGATTTAAATCACTGAAATCGACTCCAAAATATGCCTACTATACCCACACACTTTCGTAAATTAAAATGGCCAACTTTAAAGAATGCAGGCCCATGAAAAATAACTTATTTATTGTGCCCCATTCAACACAAACACAACGTTGCTTTTCTCTCTCTATATATACAGATACAACACTCCTCTCTCTGTGTATATCCAAGTGTCTCTCTCTATATATACAGATACAACACTCCTCTCTCTTTGTGAGTGAGATACCTCTGTTTCTATAGAACACCATTCTCATTTTATGAAACATATCAAAATGGCTGCAACAGGAGACAATGTAGTTGTTTCAAGTATGAAGCTTGAGAGGATGCTTAGCATGAAAGGAGGCAAAGGAGAGTCTAGCTATGCCAACAACTCTCAAGCTCAGGTAGGTTGCTCTTCAATTTCCCTTTGTGCAATATTCTCTGTTTCAAAATCTTTCTGTGTCTTGTTCTAAAACACTCATAGTTGTTAAATCACGTCTGCAAATTACTACATTTTGAAAATTCTCACATGATTCGACAATCGTGAATATTTTGGAACAAAAATATATAGAAAAAGAGAGTTTGAAAATAAAAGCACAATATATATCATTTGTCTCAAATTTTATCATTCTCTATTCCAAAACATTAACGCCGTGTTTGGTTGAGGAATTTGAGGAGAGAATTGGAAAGGGAAAGGAAAAAGTTAGGTAAAATATAAATAAAATATAAATACATTTCACCTAGTTTCACACACATTTTTCCTTTCTTTTTCCAAATCCCTCCTCAAATCCTCCAACTAAACACAACATAATAGACAGTTAAATTATGTCTCAAGATTCTCATATTTTAAAATTTTCATATGATTCAATAATTATAAATGTTTCAAAACAAAAAAATAGAGAGACATAGCACGAGAATAGAAGCACAGTATAATTTTTCGTTTCATGTTTCAAAACACTCTTATCATGTCTTGAAATTACTCTCTCTTGAAATTACCACCTGATCTGACAACTGTGAATGTTATCTGTTCCCTATCCAAAACACTTACAACATGTCTCAAAATTTTTGCACTTAAACTTATCACATGATCCAACAATTACAAGTTTTAGAATAAAAGAATAGAGATGGAGTCTGAAAACAAAGATTCTTGACTTTCTTCTTTGGTTTCATCTTAGTTTTCACAAAAATATTTATGTTTCATGCTATGATATCTATCTATCTATCTATGCAGGCAATACATGCTCGATCAATGCTTCATCTTCTTGAAGAAACCCTAGACATAGTACAACTACACTCGCCGGAAGTTCCATTCGCTGTGGCTGACTTAGGGTGCTCCTCTGGTACCAACACGATCTACATCGTCGATGTGATCATCAATCACATGATCAAGCGGTACGAGGCGTTGGGGTATGATCCACCGGAGTTCTCAGCTTTCTTCTCCGACCTCCCATCCAATGACTTCAACACTCTCTTCCAGCTAATCCCACCGTTGGCCAACAATGGTGGGAGCAGCATGGAGGAGTGCCTCACCACCAGCAGCCACCGCTCGTACTTTGCCGCCGGAGTTCCTGGGTCCTTTCACCGGCGGCTGTTTCCAGCGAGATCTGTTGATATTTTCTACTCTGCATTTTCTTTGCACTGGCTCTCCCAGGTTATTTTTGGACCCTTATATTGAAATTATTAAATGCTTTATAAAGTACACACATGTTAAATTAATCATTTTTTGTAGTACCAACAAACATATCATCTAGACAGAATGCTTGGTGGTCTACATAAGTAGTAAAATCCAAAGGCAAGTTTTGTGTCTTAATTGGTATGCTTGCTGTAAGGGTCATTATTTGGTTGAAGGTCTGTGGCTTGACCTAAACCAAGACTGAATCTGAGCGGGCTAACCCGCTCAGAATGAAGCTTGGAATGAGCTTAGGGGTAGGGTTTGAAGCCGAGCTTAGTCCATGGCCAAACTAGTTAAGCAAGGCTTGGGTCTAAGTGGGTAGGACTAGGCTGATGTCGACCCTTGTTTATTAGTGTTCTTATCGTTATGGAGCTATTTGCCACTTTTTGTATTGCCATATGGATGATATACTCCAAAATGCAATTACAAAGATGACATAGAAAAGCCGATAAAAAAAAAAAAAAAAAAAAAACAAAAAAAGCCGATAAAAAAAAAAAAAAAAGAACAAGAAAAGATAACATAGAAAAAAGTTCAAAAAATAAAATGAGTGGAACAGATACATTCTATGTGTGTGTCTCACATCCTATCTAGTTTACTTAATTTTGTAAATATTTTTTAAAATATATATTGTTGGTAGGTGCCCTAAAAAAATGTAGTCTCCTCAAGTCATGCCGTGTGAATACATAGAGAGAGATCTTCAACTGCTTGTATATTGCAAAAGGTCAAAGTTTTGTCCTCAATTCATGGCCTTGGATTCACAGAAAGAAAACTGTGGAGAGAGAGAGAGAGAGAGAGAGAGAGAAAGAGAGAGAGGGGACAATTTCTACATCCTAAAGCTAAGCACCAATTGATTCAGTGACTGCTTTTTGAGTTTTAAGTAAAAAGTAAATAGAAACCAACAACTTAGTTAGAGGACATTAATGTTAATATGTTCCATTACTAAATCTACCTTTTTACATACATTATTTACATAGAAGATTAAAATGAGGTTATGATGCTTAATAGTACAAACTTTAATCATTACACCATTTGATTGATTGCACGTAAATCAAAACCAAATTACCATTAAGGTCAATATACACTAAAATAATTGTTATTTTTTTTTCTTTGGTAATTTATGTATTGATGTATGCATAGTTTTGAATAATAATATTGATAATACAATTATAGATAACTTGATATCGAATAATTTTGATGGATATAGATAAATTTTGACATGACAAGTCTCATTAGATATGTATATAGCATGCACACATGAATAAAGGGAGGCATGTTTTGGCAATATGTTTTGAGTAGGAATCATCATCATCCAGAGCATGTTACAAAGCCATGGAAAATCCAAATTAACCATACTTATTGCCCATAGAAAAATGTAGGACCCATTTTGATAGGCTTTCAATCCCTATATTGGCTTATTTTTGGGAAGTAGGAAAAAAAAAAAATTATTGGCATGTTTTGAGAAGTAAAAAAAAAAAGTTAGTTTGTTGACATTTTTGTGAAAAAATTTACAAAAAAAAATAGATAGGATATGTGATCCAAATAAACCTATAAACTAATAAATTGACTTCTTTTTTTTTTTGATTTATTTTATTCCCAAAAGAAGAGTGTAAACTAGGATAGGTGAAGATGAAGAGGTTGGTTTAATGGACAAATTAGGCATGATGCATAAATTTGAATTTTTTTAGGTAAATTATCAATAGATTCTCCTTTTGGAATTTATTATTCATTAAATGCTATTAGTAAATTTATAATTGTAAATTTATTTTAGTAAATATAATGAATTTCATATTTTTTTATATAATTATATTGACCTCTTTAATGTAAATGATGGGTGGACACTGAAATAAATATTGATATAGTGTTCTTATAATCCCGTGCCGTAATAGATCTAATTATTTATAGTGTTCTTATCTAAAATTTTCATTTTTAAGGCCAATTTTCAAGTAATTTTTTTCTAATTTTTACCCTTAAAAAAAGTTACTCGGTGTAGCATTTGCACTGAATCATAGTTTGTTAATGGTAATGAAGGTGCCAGATAAGGTGGTAGACAAGAGATCAACGGCGTACAACGAAGGAAGGGTTTTCATCCACGGTGCAAATGCGATCACAGCAAATGCATACAAGAAGCAATTCAAGACAGACTTAGCAGGGTTTCTGAGATCAAGATCACAGGAGATGAAGAGAGGTGGGTCCATGTTCTTGGTCTGCTTGGGTAGAACTTCTCTGGACCCCACTGACCAAGGTGGGGCAGGGTTACTCTTTGGGACCCACTTTCAGGATGCTTGGGATGATCTTGTCCAAGAGGTAATTATATCCAATAGTAGTTACACTAATATTACAAAAATCAAAAATTGTTTAAAAATTCTTACACTAGCCAAAAAGAAGTTTAAAATTTTTAATATGTCTCTGTTCATTCTATATAACAATCTTATAATATATATTTTAATCTCTACCGCATTTTCTTATTCTTGACACAAATTTAGAATTGTAAGTCTGGATCTTTATACTGTTATTATCCCAAAACGAGGGATTAGAATTTGGCCTAGAAATTTGCAATGCTGATGAGATTAAATTGATGTGTTGTGGGATTTGTGTATTAATGAATTTGGACCACACATTAATATTTTTAAGTAAATTTCTAAGTAAAAATTGAGTTTGTAGTATTATTGATTCAATAAAACTACTATCTTAGAAAAATTACCAAGAAAGTTGCCCAAGTTTTGGAAGGTATGGTAGAGATTCAATGAATGTTTTTTGGGGTCCATACACAATGAATTTAGATTATACTTTAATACTTTTAGGTAACTTTCGTACCATATGATTCTAACTTTCAACTTAGTGTTTTGAATAGTTGTGCAACTTATGTTGTCCAAAGACCAAGAGTTTTAGTGGAAATCATGACCCTTTAAAGGAGCAACAAAAGTCTACAATGGAAAGGGAGATATTAACCAACCTAGATATAAAAGAGCTAGTCTTCAAATGAATTGTAAACTTGCATGAAATACAGAATTAGATCACAGAATTAAATATGATTTTTTGTTTAGTTGAGATTTACAAAATGTGAGCATAATTTTGTAAACTCATGAAATATAGAATTGGAACATAATTTTTTTTTGAGGTGAGACTTACAAAATGTATAAATCTTATCTCATGAGAAAGTTGTGTTGAATTCTATACACTAAAAAAAACTGAAATAAGATATGTTCGACTTTTAATATTATATTTGATCTTAATTGATACACGTAATTGCGTGTTATTCAAATATTTACAATTTAAGAGTGGATCTAATGGGAGTCAAGGATCATTTGTTCCCAATTTATTTTCTCAAAATACTTACGGTCACTTAATCATTAGAATACTAGATATTCACAATTTAAAATTTAAAATTTATTCACAATAATATATATCATAAGGGAGTCAGGTCTCACATAGTTAAATTTAAAACAAATAAAAAAAAATTAACACATTACTCGTCATGTGATTTAGATAAAAATTATGAAATATTTTTTTTAAGGTTCTTACATCTTTTTCATAAAAGAAAAGAAATGGAGATATGATGAAGTTTTGGTTTATATGTAACACATAATCTTGAAAATGTTAGAGGTCATTATTAAAAAAATTCACCATCAATTGTGGCCGTCAGATGGATCCCCCCATTTTGTTCTTGATTAATATATGGCCTTCCATTTGTTGACCATCATTCAGGTGGGCACTCTATCATAACCTTGGTTTGGATAAGAAGCCCAAAATTTTAATTATTTTTCATGCGTTAGATTGTTGATCCTTGATCAAATAATGATGAATATGTCAAAAAAATACTTTCTTGTATATGCAATAATTGCTCTCTCATACATGACTTTGCCAGTGGATGTACTGTATTATCTTGTTCCTCAATCAACATCTCTAGTTAGGATGAACGGCTATGATTACAATGTTTTCAGGATTAGATTGCTTATATGAACAAGTACACAAAGAAAACCCATCTAATTTATTTTATTTTTTATTTTTATGATAATTGTGATGTAGGGTAAGTCACAAAATACTTCTAAATTATGGTTAACAATAGTTGGGCCATTGTTGGTCTGCTTTATGCCCACCTAGGGCACATGACTATATAATCCAAGAAATAAATGGCAAAACAATTGTATCTTGTTATTCAAAGCTACACACATTATATTTTCTATAAGTTTGATGAACTACAAAATTTAATGTAATGTGTCCACTCTATTGATTATACATTGGAATCACTACATTACAGGGTCTTATTACTTGTGAGCAACGTGACAACTTCAACATTCCGGTGTATGCACCAAGCCTACAAGATTTCAAAGAGGTAGTTGAAGCTAACGGCTCATTTACTATCAACAAGCTTGAGGTGTTCAAAGGAGGAAGTCCACTTGTGGTCAACTGTCCTGACGACGCAACCGAGGTTGGTCGAGCCCTGGCTAATAGTTGCAGGGCCGTGAGCGGGGTCTTAGTCGATGCACACATAGGTGATTGGCTTAGCGAGGAGTTATTCTCACGGGTTGAGCGCCGAGCCACAAACCATGCCAAAGAGTTGTTAGATCAGCTACAATTCTTTCACATAGTCGCATCGCTTTCTCTTGCTTAGAAAAAAAAAAAAAAAGACAAAAAGGAAGGAAAAAAGGCTTCTCTATCATGATTTTTATGCATATAGAGAAAGTGAGATTGAAAGTTTCAACCAAACACTCAGGAGAGGGGAAAAAAGAGGCTCACTCACTCACTTTTTTTTCTCTCTTTTGTGTGTTGTGAGTTATTACTAACTGTAGTTACCTATATACTTGTTTTTGTGTTTTTTTTTTCCCCAAAAGGAGTAAATAAAGCTATAAAACCTCTTCATGATTTCACTTTCTTTTTAGCCTTGTTAATTGTGTTTTCTTTTTTTGAAAGTCATATGAGCATGGGTTGGTTGCTTTTGTATAACATGGAATTGTCTTTTGATTTTTGACTTTTAAATCACTTCTTTCTCATTTCTTTCTTTTACTTTATTATATTTTATATACTTAATTATTCACTTTTTTTTTTTTTAATTATGTCAGCTGAGGTGGGGGAAGGTGTTTGGAAAGTAGTAGTTATTTCAGTTACTTATAAAATTAAAAGGTTTTTTGAAAAGATTTAGACCACGGCCAGGCTGTTTTGTTAAAGCCCATTAGGTGCAAATCTTACCATTGAAAAGGACAAAAGGACAAGTATCACAACATGAGTTATGTAAAACATTGCTTCAAGATCACAAAATAAATTCTCTTCTCTTCTTTGCAATGAAATCACCCTGATATATGGGTCAATCACATCAACGAAGAAAATCTATTTATTAATTTTCGGTCTTATAAGCCACGGAATACTCTTTATTCAAAAAAAAATTGTTCTCTTGCACCCAATCCAGTTCACCAGCACAATCTTGTCTCAAAATTTAGTGCATTGAAAAGGGAAACAAAGATTTTGGGGACAGAAAATCCCCAACCCTTGTAGAATTGCAATAAATCACTCAACATGGTAATATGGGGGGTTAAACTATACAGCAATTTCCATCAAAAGGGGGGGAAAAATTCAAATGAACTTCACTATCAAACTACCAAATCAGAAAAATAAACCAGGATAAAAATACTGCCAACAACAAACTTACTGACTGGCTGATGGATTTGTCAGTAACTCCAGTGATTTTTTAAGGTGGTCCACTGCAACAGAGATATCATCAAAAGCCAGAGCCCCAACTGCAAACCTCGCAGCCTTGTGTGCCTCGGCAATTTTCTCAGGTGGTGGCTGGTAATTGTTGTCATATTGATACATTTGAACAGAAGTCGGTGCAGCTTCTAAAACAGTTCCATTTCTGCTGCTTGAATTGTATTGAGCAGTTGATGGGTAGTTCGTCGTGGTTGAAGCAGACAGAGTAGAGTAAGTAGCATCAGAGCCTTGATGGTATGAATGATGATTAGATGGGGCTTCAGGGAGGCTAGTCTCTGTAAAACTAGGGTAAGATTGGAAATTGGGATACGAGGTAGAGGAAATTTCATGAGACGGGTAATTTTGTGGAAAATGTTGCTGAGGTTCTTGTGGGTAAGGTTGATGGTGATATGGCTGTGAATATGTAGAATTTTCCGATCTGTTGGTCGAAGGCGGTGGATGGAAATCATGTGAAGGATAACTTGCAGTAGGGTAAGAAGGTAGTGACGGCGAATTATTTGAAGGTGATGATGGAATTTCATCATAGGACTGATGTGATTGATCAGGTTCTAGTGCAGGTTTGATAGCTGGGTCAGATCTGCTCGGCTCAAGATCCTGCAAAGAAGATAGCTTGTCATAAATTCCTTAAAAAAAATGTAATATCTGAATAAACTCTTTTGCTATCAAGTTCCTACGATACTTCTGAAATCATATAATTTATCATGAAGCCTGAAAATACCGTCAATTCTATACATTAATTGAATGTTTTTTACACTTGCAGAGTACTTACGAGCTTCAAGGACCCTATGATGCTGAGATTATCACATTTTTCACCAACAAATGCAATATAGAGAAGAGAACCACACATGCAGCAAATGCCAATTGAGGATGAAATTTATTTTTATTTATTTATCTATTTTATCTGCAAAGTTTTCCATAATTTGTATATCTGCAATAAAAATTTTTTTGCAAACCAAATCATTCTACTCAACTATGTTCATTAAGTTTAAGATCATACATATTCACCACTTGATGTGCTTGACAGTATTGATAAATCTTTATCACCATCAGCAGGCCCTGGTATAGGCTTCCTTCCTTCTTTCAAAGCTTTCCTTATATCCGCGGCTTTCCACGCTGCATACTTCTGTTTCTGCTCAAGCTGTTAGAGCAAAGAATCATAAACATAAATACTAACCCAATCGGGCCAAGTGAATATTCTTAAAATCACTAATCAACCTTGCCCAGAGGTTCAATAAACCAAACCAAACCAAGCCTTCCCAGAGGTTCAATAGAATTCGAAAAAGGTTAACCATATGTGAAAATTATTTATGTAATCGAAAACTCACATCAGGCTGCAAGTCACCAAATTGATTACGAATCTCAAAAAAGATGCTTGCTGCATAAAATGTCTTTGCAGTATTCCTGTAAGAAAGCAACAATTTATTGCCCTCAAATAATTACTAAGAATCAACTTCAGAGAGAGAGAGAGAGAGGTAAACTAGATTTCAAAGAAGATCAGGACTTTTTTCTCTTCACAGGGTTATGATCATATATAACATGGAAAGATAAATGATAACCTAACAGTGTAAGCTGCATACTAATGCAATATCTTTTGCAAAACAGAAAAGCACAAGATGCATCTTGAGTAACAATGTAAATACAAGACACATTATGCTTTTAAAGGCATATAATAAAGACACAAAAATCTTGACATGTAGAGTATTCATAGGTTTTTCCTTTGTTTGGAAAGAAAGCAATAAAACTATAGTAGTGCACCTACTGAAGTATACTAGTTTTAGGACACTTGGCAAAAACACATAAATCTTGACATATAAAGAATCAAGGTGACAGACCGAAGGAGTGAGTTCTTAGTTTCGGACTTCGTAACAAAAAAATTCAGTTGAAGCATGATACATACGTCACAAACATAAATCGATCTCAAGGCACGGGGTGTGTTTTCTAAATGCATCTCACACAATGAGATGGAGACCTTGAGCCATCAGAAATTCTTTCAATCACAACTAGATGCATGCCTCAGGGCATGAGTTTAAAAATACCTTTCTAGAAAATTATCACTAAAAAAATGTATTTTTAAAAAAGAACACGCCGTACAAATCTGCTCTCCCAGCCCTATCTTGCTTGTCTGCCTTTGCAAAAACATTTGAGGCAAATCCCTCAAGGTGCAAATGGTCATCAGGCCCCAATTTCAGTGACTTCTTGTCCTGTAAAAGAACCAAACAGGGCAGATACTAATCATGAGAAGAGATGTACACAGCAAATGAATTTCAGACAAATGCTAATCAGAGCCTTAAATTATGTTTTACATTAGTAGCCAGCATTGGCAGAGGTTCAACTCCACAAAAACAAGACATTAATGTTGTGTTTGGATCATGGATAGAGATAGGAATTTGGAAAGGGAATTCATCCACCTTCTCGCTTTCTCTTTCCAAATTCCTACCTAAATTCATGATCCAAACAAAGCCCAAGTGTAAGCAAAATGTTATTACCATCACGAAATGCCCAACTTAGCCCAATAAATAACCCATGGTTTAACAACCCTCAAGACCAGAAATGTCAATGAAATAAGCAAATAGAAACATCTTCATATTCAAAGTGAGAAAAAGTTAGAAAGAAAAAAAACATAGGGTATGTTTGGTTTGAGTTTGGGAGATGAGTTTTAGAGATAAAAAGTACGAAAAGTTGTTTGGTTTGGTTTTTTTCAAAAGATGTTTTGGAAAATTAGTTTGAGAGAGAGTTTTGAAAAAAGTGATTGATTTGATGTGTATGAGAAAGAGATTTATTTGGAAAACTTGTAAACCAAACAAGTTTTGGAAAAAAAATTTGGAAAAATTTGTTTGATTTGATTACTTTTAAAAACTTATTTGTAGAGAATTTTTCCCAAAATTTTTTGAGAAACACAAACCAAACAAGGCCATAAAGCTCTATTTTATTGCTGTTGAAAAGATGATAAGAACCCAAATCATAGATTTTAATTATTTCAAGCTTCACTACAATGTTCTTTGCTCCCTTGAAATGAGTTTTTGCTTTACACAAGTATAGACACAAATTACTCAAATTCAAAACTTTACGCTGTGTTTGGTTTGAAGATTTGGAAAGAGAAAAGGAAAAGACATGTAAAACTAGGTGAAATGTAGGTATATTTTATTTACATTTCACTTATCTTTTCCTTTTCCCTTTCCAAAAATCATTTCCCAAATCCCCCAATCAAACACAGCATTAGTCTCTCACAGTCTGAGCATCTCCAATCCTTCACCATTTCTTTCATCGAATTTAAATTTAAATGAAAAAGTGTTCAATAATCATCTTCAATCCTTTTATCAAATATTCATCAAATCAAGGGAGTGTAATTTTTCCATCAAATTGAGAAGTCAACAAATTTGAATCCGATGAAAATTTAAAAAGATGAAGTATTGGAGATTTTTTTTTTTTATAATCAAATTTGATGAAAAATGAAATTTGGGATAAAAGGGGAATTTTTAAAAAGATTTTGACGAAAAAAATTGTAGTAGTTCATATCAAATCAAGTTTTTTACTCAAATTTGAAATCAAATTAAATGAAAAAATGGGTGAAGGGTTGGAGATGGTACAAGGAAAACATACACACATACATACATACATTTATAGAGCCTGTTCCACAAAACATATTTGCAGCTTAAAAAAATAATTTTTAAACTTATCTTGAGCTGAAAAACAAATAACTTAAAAACCTCAAATTATTACCAATATACTGCAAATAACTGGTTTCCAAATGGGGTTACTCAGTTTTTATTTCTCAGCAGAACCTAATCAATCATCAAATCCAAAATTTAAATCAGAAAAAGCAAACAGAAATCATACAAGAGCCATCAAAATCACTAAACTCTTCCGCTTGAAAATCACAACTACACTAGAAAACATATATCAAGAAAAATAAAATTGGGGGACCTTTTCAAGTTGATTCATGAGGGAAACAAGAAGTGCATTAGTGGTTTTAGTACGATCGCACGTTGGAATCTTCAACCCTCGTTGCATCGCACACAATCGACCTGAGATGAAGAGAAGGAAAATTCAACTCAAACGAGAAGAAATTAGGGTTTTAGAGTTACTTGATGGTAAAGATTTTGAATGTTTTCCACAGAGAGAGCGAGAGAAGCCTACAGTAGTAGGCGACGAGTGGTTCGTGTTTCTGCAACTCATCGGCGCGTTGAAGGTACGGTAGAAGAAGCTTTGCTGGCTCATTTTCGTTCGCCATTGTTTCAGTGTGAGAGAAAGAGAGCCGAGATCAAATTTTTTCAAATTAAAAACAAAAAAAAAATTAAATTACACTGACTTCACTCTGAGTTTGAAAAAAATTACAAATTTCTTAATTTTAATATAATTATAAAAGCTCTCTTTAAGTAAAGTTAAAAAATCTAAACTAAAAAATGATAGGAAGATATAAAGATATATAACATAGAATATATATTTCAATATAAAAGGTATGATAATATTATTATTTTTTCATTTATACCATTAACGAGCTTTTGGTAAAAATAGGAATCAAGCATTATATGAATTAAAACATTTAGAGAGTTTAGTATAATTACGTCAAATTTATAAAATTTATTATATATATTTTTTAAAATTTTAGAAGAGGTTAATGTAATTTATCCAAATTAAAATGGGAAAAATTAATCTAGGGTCCTTCTCTCACTTTTCGTAATGGAAGAGATTCACAAAATTATTTTTTGATGTCTAAGGTCCCTAAACATATCACAGAGAAATGGAAGAGATTCACAAAATTATTTTTTGATGTCTAAGGTCCCTAAACATATCACAGAGAAATTTGACCTTACCAAATCAAAACTCACCTCTCTCTCTCTAAACTTCTCCATTCTCAGTTCCGGCGCCACCGGTGACACACCTCATCCGTTCTCGCAGGCTCGCATCAATACTGCGCCAACATCACCATCACGTTGCTTGGGATCGTAAAGTTCAATTTGTAATACTGTTCCGGAACTCTCGATCGCTCGCGATTCCATTTCTCCGTTCTCAATTCGCCCAATTCACCTCTCAATTTACATTATACACATATCTTTACATATGTATATATAGATCGTGGTGGCTACAAAGACATGGATGATGATGATAAGGACAGAGTCGATCCAACGATTATCGAGTCGAGCTGGACATTCGGTGCTGACTCGGACAGCGTTTACTTCTTCAGCAACGATAGAGATAACAGTATACTGAGCGAATTTGGTTGAAATCTTCAACCCGAGTCGGTTGTTAAACAAAGCTTTGCATTTGTGTAGAAAATGAAGTCATGTATGAGGATCTGGTTTTGCATGGTATTTTGGAATAGAGAAGATGGCCAGTGACGCCATTTGCTGGGTTCTCCTCCTCCTGGTAAGAGACTAGTCATGTTTAAGGTTTGATTACTCAGATTTTCTTCAACGAGAAATTATTCGGTGGATTAAGCAAGCTCCTGGATTTTCTCTGGGTTGTGGAGTCCAGAGAAATTCTCTGGGTGAGAGAATCTTTGAAAATGTTTGTCTGAGAATTTCTCTGGGTCTAGGGAGTCCAGAGAAATTTTGAAATTTCTCTAGAATGAAATTTCTCTGCATCGAGTTTTCTCTGGATCAATGTTGAGGGACCTTAGACATTATGAAAATATTGAGTGTCCTTTATACTATAAAATGTTAATACCAGGGACCTTAAAAAAAATTCCCTATTAAAATGATGCTAAATATAAAAATGTTTTTACAATTAATAAAAAAATAAAAATAAAAAGAAATTTGGTGAGTTATTCAAGCATCCAACTTGTTGGGAGTGGTCCGAGGGGAGTCGTCAGAAGGGTTACTCAGGAGGATAATATTTGTCGAAGTGAGGTGGAGAGGGAATAATGAAAAATGATTGATGCAATATTTTGCAACGAAACCAATTTGAAGAAATAAAAATTTATTTTCAAAACAAACAAAACCACAAGTATGTTTCCTGAAAACTTTTGCAACAAAAACAATTTAAAGTATTTTGATTTTATTTTTATTTTTTAAGAAAAAGGAAAAAATAGCATATATATCACACTAGAATTACACATTGTTCAGTCTTCTGCTAAGGCTATTGTGGGTGTTGATTTCCGACCACACAACCAAAAGAGAAATTCAACTAAAGAGCACTGGAAGAATTGATTAAGCCCAAACAACCTGTCACAGAAAGATAAGAATCCGGTGATGGTTCATCCACCCAGGAGCACTCCGACGATCAAGTCAGTAATCAATAACTTTCAAAGATAACAAATAGTGCTTAACTCACTAGACAGAATATAAAAAGCATACCTTAGAACCACGAAAGTGCCTTACTTTTATAGTCTGCACTAACCTGATCCCTGTAGTAACCTAACTTCAACGGACTCTAGTTCAATGCTTATCCTGGACTACCAACCAGATAGAGATAAACTCCCTAAGAGGCTTATCTTTATCTAGACTAAGGTTCTCCCCCATTCTAGGACTCTTGTCCCTTATCCGTTCATCTCGGATTCCGGTATCTCCGTAGATAACCTCAGCCTGGTCGAGATAACCTCAGCGTCATAACCAAGATACGTGGCACCTCGGCTGGCACTTCGGTGCCACCTTGGCCACGTTTTCACAAAAATATATCTCCATAACTGCCCCCTAGGTTCTATTACCTTGTCATCTTGAGGTGATGGAACCTACTCCATTTGTCCACATAGTACGTCGGCTTACTCTAACCTTTATGGCCGATATCATTACACATCGACTTAATATGACCAAGATTCTGCAGTCCACTTGATCAACGACCAAGAACCAAGTTCTTCAGAACCGTTCCCATAGCCAAGGTTCTTGCTTCATTAAATCAAGAATTTCAAGAGTTCCATCTGCTCATGTGCCGTTACGCACGGTTTTCTCAACCATTTTATCCACGCGTCATTTTCTCATTGATTCGTACCTGACACGCGTCATCAGGTTGCGTTGCTTCTGCACACGCTGCCTGACAGACATGTAATCCAAGGCATATCATTTAAGCTTTGCCGCATTTTCGTGTTTTAACAAAACATCACATTCTCTCTCCGTCTCTTCACTTTTGCATTCTTTATTTTTCCCTTGTTTTCAAGTTTTTCTCCCTTTAAAGATTTTCTCTAAAAATCGCCATTGTTTTAAGTTTTCAAGCTCTGCAACCTGCCCTGCTCGTCCCCTTGGGCGAAGCAATCACTGTTCTGCACCATTCACTGTCATTGTCTGACTCCGATGACCTCATACCAGCGTCATTTTCTTCGATGTGTCGCTGTTTTAACCCTTTTCAGTCCTTAATTTATTTCAAAATTTTGTTGCATTATTGCGAATCTGTTCGTATTCTTGAATCTTTGTCTGTGTTTTGAATTTCATCATTCGCACATTGAGCATGTTTACTTGCAATTTGTGTTTGTCCAATCTGCCTCTAGGTCTTACACATGCACACACAAATTGCTCATACACTTGATGTTCTTGCAATTTGCCACTGCCCTTGGCCTGTGCACATCTGTACACACTTTATTCAGTGTTCTTGAATTTCTGTTTCTTTCCTAAGTCTAAATCAGGTTCTTTTTTCTGTTTTCTTGTTACATTTGCCATATTCTTGCCTTCAATTCTGTTTTTCCACATAGATTTAGGCTTGGGTTTTGATAGAAATTACTATCCTTAGGAAATTGGAACAAATTTCCCTAGATCTTGAAAAGCCCTTGCCCCAGTTTCTGTTTAGGGCTTTAGCTGAGGTCCGTTAAACCCATACCAACTATTTTCCTCTAAAATCTTACACCTTCTTCCTTTAGCCGACGCCATGGGTATGTTTAGGTGAAGGGTGGATACCCTAGCCAAACTAGAGTACTTTAGGACAGAGTTCTCTATCCCAGCCAATGTTCACCTTAGGCTGGCAGGGGATGAGGACTTCATCATGCTTAATGGGGACTCTATGCCTTTTCCCGTAGTGGCCTTCATAGAGCGTGGACTTAGGTTCCCTCTGAACATCCTTTTCTGCCAAGTCCTTCATTATTACAAACTTAACCCAATGTAGCTGGCCATTAACTCTTACAGAGTTATTAACGGTATAATTGCCCTAGCTAGCCGAGAGAATGCTAGGATAACACTAGCTGAATCTAGTACTTTTACACTATGTATGGCCTGAAATCCGAAAAAGGCTACATCTATTACCTCAAGCCGAGATCCACTGAGTACAAACTCATAGCCGACCTTCCAGACTCCAACAAACGTGCTGGAGATGATTATTTTATCATCTCGGGCAGCTGGGAGTTCCCATTTGATAATGATATCCACCTCTATCCTTTGAGCCGAACTGTGTTTAAAGAAGGTAATAATAAGAATCAAGTGTCACTTTACATGTTCTTAAGTCTTTTTTACTTTATTCCTCTATATGTTGTCTGTTTTTTACTTGCAACTCTTCTGCAGCCACCAAAAGACTTCCGAAAAACCTTTTATCCCAGCAAAGACTTCAAGAAGCTGTTGGGTTTGCCGGTTGACCAGCAGAAAGCCCTTCTGCTACTCAACTACATCACAATCTACAAATTTGCGCTGCCCAACGTCTCCAAGAAAAGCAAGTCTCCTCCTTCAGCAATAACTCCCCCTATCGCTTCATCACTACGGCCTAACCAAGCCTCAACTTCTGATCCAGCGGAGCAGCCATCAACATCTGCTCAACAACTGATTCCCCTACCCAGCGCCAATGCCGTCGCCGAGTTCCAATCTCTGTCCCTGCCGGTAGAACTCGTAACCGAAAACGCCAAAGTATTGAGGCGTTGGCTTACGATCCAGTCAACCCACCTACTGCACTACTAGCAATCCATTTCGGCACCAAAGTCACTGTCGCTGCTACCGCCAACGAGATGGGACACAATAAGGTTGTCACCGAAGACCTCTTGGCAGACATCCCTGGTGTTGTGATAGTTCAATCCTCCCCATCGCAATCCCAACCAAAGGCCAAGCTGAAGAGGGTGAAAAAGGCCAAAGCCAAGACAACAGTGACTCAGATCAACTCTGAGGATACTTTGCCTATATCCAAACTAGCCGAAGTTGATAGAAGCGCCGTCAAGAAGAGGCATGCTGAGGCTGATCCTTCTGAAACCGTTCAATCAAAGAAGCCGAGATCTGAGTCTACAACCACCTCGGGTTTACTTAAACCTGATGACCTCTGGGCCCCATCTATCACGATTAAGGATAAACCAGTCAGAGCCAACGATAGTGCTATTGACAGCATTGAGGTCAATATTGCCCTCTCAACTGTAATGCTCCTTCCCAATGACCTCAACCGTATGATCGAGGTCAACGAATATGAAAATTTCACTCTGATGGTGCAGCACTCCGTATTGGTAAATTCCCAACACTTGGTACTCTGTTTTTCAGTTCTTCATACTAAAAAAGTTTACTAACTTTTGTTCATTCTGCTTTTCCTGGGCGATCCAGCACACCCACTCCTTTGCGATGAAGGCTGAGGATTTGAAGAAGGAGCTAGTCCACAAGACCAAGGAGGCTGCTGGCTTGCTTAAATCCTTAAACAACGCCGAGGCCAAGATGGAAGTTCTGCTGGATCAGGCCAAGGCAGCCAAGTGAGCCCAAGATCAAGCTGGGGAAAAGACAGATGTTGCAGAGGCTGTTGTTGAGGTTCTCAAAGCTGAAATAAAAGAGACCGAAACAAAAACTGCCAAAGCTCAAGTAGAGCTCCGAGATGCTCTGGCCACAAAAGAGGCTGAAATCAAAACAACGGACGGGAAGGCTTATGCCGAAGAGGCAGCCGATGACCGCGAGGACTACAAAAAGCAAGTCAGATAGGCATGCAACAGGGGTTACACCCTTGGTTGGATGGCTGCTCTAAAAGAGCTGGCTGTCCCCGAGGACTCACCCGTCCGAGATGATAGCCGACTTGTCCTGCCATTCGCCCCCTCCAAGCCAATCTGCTAGTAAGGCTGAGGGGGAAGAAGAAGAAGAAGCCGAGGATGAAGCTGGTAATGAATGTTTTGCTAGGGCCAAGTCCCCAACTCTAAATGAGCAAGTCTTAGACTTGATTCAGGATGAGGAGGACGAAGTCTCTAAAAGTGCTTCTCCCAAGAAGAGCACGTCTGAGGTGCATACTGTTGAGAAGAGCCTTGATCAAACTCTTCTTGAGATTGACACCGAGATTCAAGCTGAGAAGACTGTTAAGAAAACTTCTTAATTGTCTGCCGAGGCCGCAACACAGCCAATCGGTGACGTCGAAAAGTCTATTTAGAAGCTTTTCCTTATAAGCTTTTACTTTTGGATAACTGTAATATTTTGTTTGAATAATGTTAGCGTTATATTTGGCCGATGTGCCCCTCTTGTCTTTGTAGATGAACGAGTAATCTCCTATGCCAGGCCGAAATGCCTTTTTATATCTGAACAAATTTCTTTTCTGAATGCAAGTCTTATATTTTCTTTCAAGTGTTAAATGTATGTCTTCTTTTCTTCTATGTATGTTTGTCATTCCATACTTACAATAATTTTGCATGTCTTCAAAGTATACTTTTATCTGTATAACTTCTTCAGAGTACAATACCTCGGACATATCCTCTTAATTGTTTATCTCGGCCTTACCTTAACACTTGAAAACTTTATAAAAATATTTTTACAAGTGTTTTTTTAAACTTGTCACTTTACTCTTACTCATCAAAACTTCTGTCTTTTATACTCCCCAAGTTGGGCAACCTGGTCATCTCGGCAAGTACGTATGTACTTCTTGCAATATTACCTCGGCTTAACTTCAACTTGTAAATTTTTCTAAAAATTTCAACAAGTGTTAAGTCAGCTCTAGCTTTTAAAAATTCCAACTCCTAAACACTTTAGTAATATAAACATAATCTAGCTTAGTACAAAAATAACATGAATCCTACAAAAGGTTTGTCAGGTCCTATTCCTTCTTACTACTATTCTATAATCTTTGAATGAGCAATAAAGAGTTCATGAGAATATAAACTACTCTCACATTAATCTTCGCACACCACTTCTCTACTTCTAAACAAGCTCGGACTTCAGCAACCAAAGCAGACAATGCAACAAAGGCGAACTTCTTCCATAAAATTTGATTTCCTTTGTTATCCATTCCAACCCATGCTGCTCCCGCCTTGGATGTATTTTCCTTCTATGCTCCATCAATGACAAACCTGTCATGTGGACACCAATTTACAGAATTAGATATTACAAATTAATTTTCAGAAGGATCACCACCCACATTTCTGCTGTCCAATGGCACATCATTAATAGTAAATATCCAAATTTGCTCAGTCACCACATGGAGAGAGTTAATATATCTCAATACATAAACAGGGTCTTCCACCCCATACTCAGATGTTGCTTTATTTCTGTCATGCCAAATTCCCCACAAAACCTAAATGGATTCGATGATTGCATCATCATCTGGCGCTTTTTAGAACCATTGCCCCAACCATTCATGAATCATACATTCCTCTTCGTCATCAAAATTAAGCCCAAGACCAGACCCCCTCCACACATGCCTAGAGAAAATACATTGAAAACAAAAATATTCTAATGGTTCCTCTTCCACACCCCACCTTGAACACACAGGGTCTAACAGAACGCCCCAACGCACAATAAGATTTTTAACAAATAAGATTCTATGTAAAAGCTTTCAAATAAAAAGAATTCATTTTGGAGGCACCTTTAATTTCCATAGCTTCTTCCAACACCCACTAGAGTCCCAAATACCCGAAAGATGCACCATCTGTCCCCCTTTCATATCTAGAAATAATCCAAACTAAATCGAATATTGTCCATCCTTAGTCAGCGTCCACACTAACTGATTTACTAACTTGGGAGAGATGTATATTCAGGTCTCGTTTGGGAACCCTTTCTTTTAATCAAAAAATCAAAAAGTTACTAAATTAGTTAAAAAGTCAATAACTCATACCAAAAAGTCAAAAATTCTCTTTTCTCTCTATTTTTTGCACATCTTTTCGTAAAAAGTCAAAAAATCATCCCACACATACTAATTTTTTTTAACTCATATTTTAACCTAGTCAAAAAATTACTAAATTAGTCTGTTCTCAAATGAAGCCTCAACATATGATTAACCATATGTTCTGGAAAAAAAGTCCGAACAAATAGGTCTCTCCACGAACTAATATTCTGATTAATAAGATGAGCAACTTTAATGCGGTGTATGGTTGAGAGATTTGAAGAGAGATTTAGAAAGGAAAATAAAACAGCTAAGTAAAATGTGAATAAATATACCTATATTTCACATAATTTCACACATTTTTTCCTTTTCCCTTTCCAAATCCCTCCCCTAAATCCCCCAACCAAATATAGCATAAAAGATCTAAAAAATCTACTCATCCCCCTTCCTACACCTCACTACAATGTCAATGATTTGCGACGACCTACATGATCCCCTTCAATAGGCTAGGATCTCAAATGAAAATATTTTATAAGAAACGTGCAGCCTTAAACACTAGCTAGCGACTAATGAAAGTGAGACTGACAAGTACCCTAAAATTGTTACCTTTAACCTCAACTTCAACAAAAAGACCAAATTCGAACTGACTTTAAAATGTAAATATCAAGTTATTCAATTTAAAACAATAAGAGCAAAAAAAAGATTTAAATCAAACTACAATATTTAAAAGTGTAATTTACCCTACTAGACATAGTACAATGACATATAGATGTTGCTTCACTTCTCTTGATAAATCTCACAATGGTATAAAAACCTAATACTTCGAACAAGACCCCGTGCATACAAACATAGATCTCAAGCAAAATGCTACAAAAGCAATATAAATAAAATAATAATTAAAAAAGAAAAACTTATGAATGCCAATACAACACACAAACAATCCCGTCTCGACTTTCCATCACTCACTGTTCAAACAAGTGTCCCTACTGCAGCAACTAAGTTAGTAATATAACAGTATTAATATCACAGGAGAGTTAAAACCTACGGATCGGATTCAATTGTGTCACGGTGAAGTTGGAACAGGCTCAGTGCCAGAAACATGGGAGGCAGCATCCTCTTTTGATATGGCAACATAGTTCACCGGAGCAACAGGCCTTGTATTGTCCCTCTTCCCATCCTTGCTTACAGACTTCCCACCGTTTTGATGAACATTAAGAGACAACCGTCGGTTGGGAGTCCCATTGGCACCTCCATTTGCACGTGGGCCCACCACCTTTTTGTTACCGAGACTCGGTCGACCAGGGCTCGGGCTTGGCCTTGAACCAAAGATGGATTCTTGTTCTGTGTTGAACTGTTCATGGAACTTTTTCTGGTCCTGTCAAGTCCAAAGATGCGAATCCATGTTTAGGATAAGAAAGATTTCCCAAACTAGCAACCAGCTAGCGCTTAGCTCAAACAAAATTGAGGCTGTGCCAGATGACTAATGCTCCATTTGTTTCAGCAGAAAACATTTTCTGATAGAGAACTTTTTCCAATGTTTGGTTACATCCTTGCAATTAATGTATTAGCAATTGTATTGGTGGTGGTGATAGTAGTGGGTGATGGTGGTAGTGGCGGTGCCGTAGTACAGGTGGAGGTGGTAGTAGTAGTGGTAGTGGCGGTATGGTAAGGGTAACGGTAGTGTAGTATGGTGGCATTGGTAAAACTTTAGTCAAAAAAATATTTTCCACTTCTCAAAAGTGGAAAAGATTATTCATAAAAATAAGCTTGTCTTTGTTAATCATGAAAAATGTTTTCCATTGATTTTTGTTTTTTGTTGTCCAAACACTATAAACTACAGAAAACATGATCCATCCAAACAAACAGAGGGCAATTATCACATGCACTATTTAAGTATGTAATCATCACTTGCAATCAATTTGGACTTACTCTCATCCTTCGCTTCTCTTCTTCTCTGTCATGCCTGAGCATTGCATATTCATCCAGCATTGCCAGTAGAGGAACACCGTCATAAGTAAATGATCCGCCACGATCTTCTTCCCACGCCCGAGTTTTGGCAACCAATGTGTCCACAAGAGCTACATGACACAAAGCCAATTAATAGCTGTTAATTTGTAATTACCCCAATAGTTGTTTGAATCTATTAGTTCAAAATTTCCATAAATGATATTTATCCCAATAAGCAAAAAATGGAAAAGGTTGTATCTTCTAGTTGAAACTCCATTACATAACCTTCATGACCTTTAAAATATGAGTAATTAAATGGTAGTCGATAAAAACTGAAACCATGACCACCATCGAAGGCCATTTACCTACTGATTTTTTGGGTAATGCATTACCTACTGACTTTACTTTAGACTGAACTCTGTTTATAGTTTTGGCAACCAATGTGTGTCCACAGAGCTACATGACATGAAAGCCAATTAATAGCTATTATTTACAACAGATCTTTGCATAAGACAACTAGCAATAGTTATTTGCATCTTCAAGTTCACAACTATTTCCACAAATTGTCGGAGTACATACACTAATACTAGTTCAAACTCCGTGACATAACCTTAATGGCCTTTAAAATATGAGTAATTAAAAATAAAGAGTAACCTATCAATAGGTCTTAATAGTAAGACTTAAAAATAAGTCCTAATACGATCGGCGCTAAAAATAATTTTTTGTAACGCTTTTTTACATGTCGCTAAAAATTGACAATTTGTGTCACAGTTTTTATAAATTGTCGCGAAACTTACAATTAGTGACATTTTTCTATGATGAATTTTTCAACCTGTCGCTAAAAGTTAAAAATTAGTGACTTTTTCTGACATCGCAAAAACTTAAAATTAGTGACATTTTTTGTCACAATTTTCAAACTATCGTTGAAAATTAACAATTAGTAACGTTTTTTAATAATGTATGATGAAAATATCATTAATTATCATAGGACCTATTGGACAATAAGTCCACTTAGTAGGACCTTCAATAAAAGGAAATGATTATTGAAACCAACCAACAGTGAAGCCCATTACCTACTGATTTGATGTCAAATTGAAGTCTGTTTGTGCATAAGAAACTATAAAAACCAAATTAAAACCTCTTCTACAAGCAAAAGTCATTTGTGATCCATACAATGGGTTTTAAAGAAGAGTGAACAGAATGATGAAGCCCTCAAAAGAAAATCACATTAATGTAAATCACAAGAGAGCTCTAAGACCAAGGTAATTTAATATAAACGTTGTAAAGAGAGAATTGCAAAAATAGAGATCCTAACATGTGAAAGTAAGCAAGCATAGCATACATATGTCACCTTTGATGTGCACGTGAAGTGCTGTACCAATATAAAATTGTATACGATGGTTGTCCTCAGATTCTGGACATACCTGGAATTTTGCTAACTAGAATACGGGCTTTTTCAGCCCGCTTGAGATTTAAGTGTGCACCTCTACTCGCGTTATACCTGTTATCATCCTGATTCATAGACATAATATCAGACATGGTAACATAAAGGGAAGACACTGCCACAAAGCATATTGTTTTGATGATTTACATACCCATTTCCAATGCAGAGATCAAATCTTCACAGATCAATAGGAAATGGTGGGATGTATGCATATTGTATACATACAAAGTTAGGAGAAACAAAATGACCAAATAAGAAGAATTTTGTGCTGGCAGTTGACATGATGAAATTAAAGAAAAGATTTGTTAGGCAAAAACAGATCAATGAACTATGTAAAGCATGTTAAATTGCAAGAGATTAACAGTTGATAATTAACAGAGAGGACCATAGATAACACAGAGAATCATGTCTGATCAATGCTGCAACAGAATGGTGCCAGTAGATGTAGAAAGAGAGCAGAAGGGTGCCCCCAGTTATTCACTACCAAGAAGAGGTATATAGATGGATCAGACAATTATAAATTTCATGCCCTCCCTTACCAAAAACTACTCCTTTTTTCCAATACTCATGCTTAGATTTATATTTCCTTCTTGTTCTGGATTCATTTTTACAATTTTCAATCTGGTTCCTTGACAACCAAATGATATGCAGAAGAAAATCACATAAGGAAGAAGAGGACTATATGCATTGGAATGTCCATGCATGCAACTTACTAATGTAATACACAGTTTGCATGCAATATCATGAACAGAACAATCTACTCATCAATGTATTTTTATGTATATCACAAACAGAACAATCCATGGTGTGGCCAATGGCTATCATATGATGGTTTGACAGGATTATTCTAACTAAGGGGGTGTTTGGCAAAGGCTTGTTTTTGGCTGTTTGGGCTAAAATTCACAAGATGACAAAATAGACTAAAATAGCCAATAAGACAAAATGTCACATCAAACCCAAAATCATTTCACTTTTTCTCTCACAAACATCACATCCAACTACAAAAAAATCCAACTATCTTTTCAAATACAAAAATTTTAGCCTACTAAAACAGCAACTTCCCAAACACCCACTAAATCCCATACATGTACAATACTTTGACAAGCAAGCAGAGGGTAAATTACAAAATAGCTATTGGAAACTTCTGGCACAAAACTTCCCAAAAAGTAACCCCCAAACCATAATATTGATATATATGGGCTATACTGTACCCAGTCAGTATGTCCAACTAACATTCATGTTGACAGGTAACAAAGAGATTAGGGGGGTATGAGTTCCAAGTGCATTATCAGAAGCATGACGAATCATAGTTTTAGCAAAAATGGGGCTAAGCCAATTACGTAATCAAAAATTTCTTTAACAATGAGACACTGGAATTAGTTGCATGACTGAATTGAAGGTGGGCAAAGAATATTGTTGTCTCAAGTTGGTGGAAGAAGAGTAATACCGCAGACAACACATGCTACACTTTCACTGAAAAACAGAAAAACAAACACACAAGGAGAAAGTGAAAGCAAAAATACCCTATTGTAGTCTTCAAGCCAACTCTCTTCTTCACAAGCTGACATCCATTTCTCAACCTTATCCAATATTTCTTTCCTGTTGCTGAGAGCCTCTTCCTTTGCGTTTACTATCTGGTTATCCATGTCAGCAAGTAATTCAGAAGGCTCAACATTCCCAGAATCAATCAGACCCATAATCTTCTCTCGAGCAGCCTCTGGATCAATCTCAATATGGGCGTGAGCAAAAATATCTTCAAGCTCAGCTTGCTTTTTGAAAGCAATTTCCTTCATCCTGCTAGCTTTTAGCTGATCAAGTCTTTCAACTTCCACCTCAGCCTTGACAACAAAAACCAAGTTAATCAATAAACAGCACGGTATATTAAACTAATTAAATTTCTGCGAGGTAGTGGACTTCAAGTACCTGTTCTATCAAATCCAGAGCAAGAGCCCCAGGGATGGTCACTTCATCAACCGAAGCCGATATGTTACAGGTAACATGATCAAACAAACTCCGGTCTTCTTCGGGCGTATCCATTAAGTTCCAAAGGTCAATTAGCTGAGTCGCTAACTCTTGAAGCTGTTGAGGCAAGATGCAAATTAGAAGACTATTCAGGTTGTTGGAACATATAGCAGATATAGGCAATGCTCAAGTAACATACGGTAGACAAATAACTAAATAACTTCAATCAATAAGTTGTCCTCGCTATATGCACCAATTCATGTTTTAACATAAGATAGTGCACGGAAGAGACATATATAAAGAAAGTAAAAGAAAAATGCTCAAATTTTAAAACAATGATGAATTGAAATAAAAACTTGTTAATTGGAGAAGTGGCAAGAAAGGCTAGCAGGATACATGGAGAATGGAAAAGATACTTTCTAAGAGATGGTGCTTAAGAAGTTACATAAAAAGCTCGTATATTCTAACAGCATGTAATATGCATGACAAAACAACAGCAGGCACACAGTCTAAAGCCTGTGATTCAAAGCAGCATATGTACACTACGTGCAGCAAAAGTGTAGGGGGAAAAAGTCCTTCAGGTTGTTTGGTTTCAGTTTTTTAAATTCAGTTTTCTGAATACTGATTTTTTTGTTTTTCGTGTTTTTTTTGTTTTTAGTGAATATTTTTAAAATTTTAAGCATTTTTTTTTACTTTTTTAGATGCACCTTACTTAGATATATCTAAAAAGTAAAATATTTGTGAAAAAAATATTTTAAAAAATTAATAAATACACAAAAATACGAAAAATATACTGATTTTTTGTATTTTTTTGGTATTTTTGGTATTTAGTGAATTTTTTAAAAAAAAATTTCACAAAAATTATATTTTTTAAGTGTATTTATGTTAGGTGTGTCTAAAAATTAAAAAAAAAATGCTTAAAACATTAAACAAATTCAGTAAAAACAAAAAAATACAAAAAAACAAAAAAGTAAAATTTTCTGAAATGTGTTTTCAAAAAACTGGAAACGAACATAGTGATTTTTTTTTCTTGAACTTCTCTTACAAGTATCAAGGGCTGAATTGTTAAAAATAAAAATAAAACAAACAAATACCTTATGCAACCTCTGCTTCTTATCTTCTTTTAGTGCTAAGACCGTCTTAGCAAGTCTAGATAGGGTGTCATTGCTAATGCTTTTGGATTGCACACCAGTTGAGTCATTTAAGCTTGGATGGACTTCAGTAACTGTACTGAAGAAGTCCATCCCCAGGACAGCACAGAGATCATGCACAGTACTTACAAATTCAAGGACTTTGTGCAATCTCTCACTCTGCCAGACCAAAGAAACAATCAACAATCATCCAGTGAGTGTTAGAAGATAGTCAAACTCCTATTAACTGAACAATTTTTTATGAGGTAAAGAATTTACCTTTTCCTTTTGCAGTTCTTGGAGTTGAGATTGAAACTCATCCAACTTCTTCAGTGATAGGTCAGTCTCATCAACTACAGGATTTCCCACCTGCTCGTTAGTCCCCATTATTTCTCCACATATCTTTTGTATCTGTGATTGTACATCAAAAAACTCATTTATCCTCTCCTCTTTCTGTTTCCACAGCTGTTCCAGTGCTGGTGCAATGGCCGCAAGTTGCTCCTTTATCGTTCCCGAAGTCTTCTCGGGCTGCAAAACAAGGCAACGAAAACTATGAGGACCCAGTTCAAAAACTCCCACAAAAGACTTGAGAAAGCTGTACTTATATCTACACGACATTAAGAACTTCTTTTATACTGTTCCACATTAAAGAAAAGTGGCTACTAACAATTCCTACAAAAGTTTTCTCCCCGAGAGCAGATAGAAGACTGGACAGTTCAACTTTGGCATCTGCCAAGGCCTGAAGAAGTTGTGACCTCGACTTTGCAGCCAGGTCAACCTTCCTCTTGTAGACATCCAAGCACTCCTGCTCTAACTGAAGAAGCATCTTGTCCCGTTCCTCATCACATTCCCCGACCTCATCCCAAATTTGCTGCATTAAAAACACGGATTACTTTACTATTAGCCAGTTATACCGTTCACAAATCACAACTTATTAGTTCTGCTTATAACAACAGAACAACTAACAAGATGTCTAATAAACTAAAACTGAACAGAATTCAGAAAATCAAGGAAATTTAAAATGGATTGCCTGCAATTGCTGCAGCAGAGAACCACAGGTAGTTTCACCAAGAAGAGGATTCTGTGCATCCACTTCCGCCATTCACGCTATTGCCAGAACCTACTCTGCACCACACATGGTATTCAAAAAGTCAATCTTAATTAATTGTCTCATCTCATATGTGCTTAGAAAATACAACTAAATAAATGGGAAAAGAAATAAAGAATATACAAATATAATTCAACGTGGATATGGTCACATTTGCTGATCTATTAGAGCAACCTAACTTCAAGCAGGACAAAAACAAAAACAAAACAAAACATTTTCCATTAAATAGGCGACATCATCAACACCATTTATCCTTTTAAATTTTGTGCAAAAACAATTTTAAAAAATTTGAAAACAACCCTTTTTTGGCTTCCAAAAAATTGGTCGTTTCCAGAAAAAAAATTCAAAATTTGTTTTCAGAAACAATTCACCAAACAAGTTTATTAATCTTTTAACTAAAAACGAAAACACAACCAAACATGCTCATACTTTCTCATGTAAAGATTCAAATCCATTTCAGATCTCAAACATTATTCTTAACTTGAATCAAGAGACACCGGACTTAAAGCCACACTACAGTAATATACTCATGTGCACCCAATCCCACTAAATTTACCAAGAAATAGCATTAAATCCAAAATTAAACTTCCATTAACAAAAAAAGCACCATTAAGCACAAGATCTCCGGGTTAACAACACAACAGTCATAGTTACAAGCAATTCACTTCACAATGTATAAAACCATAAAATATTCAACTGAATCTCCAAAACCCTCATTTTAAAGCAAATGCGTACCAATCCATAACCACAAACCTTACATTTAGTACAATCGAGTGAGTATGAACTTTCAAAACTCTCAGATCTCAAACTCAAAGTGCATTCTATACGAGATCACGGACAGAGCATTTTGACTGAAACGCAAAACCGAAAAAAAGCTGAATGGCAGAGAATGCTTACCGAGAGATCGTACTTGGAGTTAGGGTTTTCAGGTTTGTGGACTCAGATCTAAACAATTTTGGTCTCACAGTCAGTGTGTTTGGGTTTGGAACGAAGAGGAAGAAGAGACAGTGATTGTCGAGCAAGAAAAGGACAGAAAGGAAAAGAAAATTGAGATAGAAAATTGAGTGGGTGGGGTCGTTTTTATACGTATAATTGTCCGAGAGAAGATAGTCATCTTGTTAAGACCCTGTTTTTTGGTTTAATTACGACTATGACACTGTCAGAGTAGCCCATGTTACTGATGAGAAACTTAAGGAAGGTGGGTTTGCCTTGAAAGATGAAAGAAGGAATGAGAGTGTGGTTTGGAAACTCTTCTTTTTAGTTTGGATGTTATTAAATTAGTAAAAGAATTAATAATTTATATTAAAAAAATAAAAAAAAAAAATTATTTTTATATATTTTTCGTAAAAAATTAAAAAGTCATTCTAAATATATTAATTTTTTTAAACTTATATTTTAGTCAAATAGTCAAAAAATTATTTAAATTAACCTATTCCTAGATGAGGCCTGAGACAGAAATGGGCCACATCCATATTGTATTTATTTTAAGAGATGAAGAGAGAATTTAAAATATTTATAATTTTAATTATGTAGTCTATTTTAACTTATGAAGGGTAGAATTATAATTTTATTAGTAGCTAAAAATCAATTTCTCAAATGAAAAAAAAATGTAAAAAAGCCAGTTTTTGGCTTTTACTACAAATTAAAAAAAGTTGCTAAAAGCCAACTTCCCAAAATAGCACATTATAAGTCCTCTGAATTAGAATGGGCTTTGATATTGGGTTTGAGATGGAGGTCAAAGATTTGGTATTAAAAAATTAGTCCTCCAGTTTAGTTTTTTTTTATTTTTATATGATGTTTTTTTTTTAATATTAATGTTTAATTTTTTTGTATTTTTTGTTAAGTAAAAATCATTTTTATTTGTTTTATTATTTTATATTTCCTTCTTATAAAAATAATTTAACAATTCTACACTAACAACTATCATCAAAATAAATACAATTTTACTTAATCATCTCCCTTTTAATTTCCTCACTATCAATCCCCTCTATTCTACCTCTAAAAACAAACAGACACCAAGTGATTTTGGGGCGTTTGGCAACACCAATAATAAGTTATTTATTGATTTACTTTGGTTAAATTATCTCTTTATTTTTTTCATGCCTTTTCGTAATAACTAAAAAATTGAGCTTAGAGCATCTCCAATGGTTGTTGCTATAATATCATTGTTATTGCTATAATTTGACAATGAATAGTGTTATTTTACTAAATTATAGCAATGGTGCTCTAGTGGTCACTTGCTATTTTGGCAATTTTCAACCAACTTTCCCTCTTAGTTTGCAGGTGTTGTTTGGAAATAGGTTTTTTTGTGATTTTATTTTCGTTTATTTTTTGTCTTTTATGACCTTTTTTTTAACTATTTGTAAAAAAAAATTATATATTTATATTATTCCCAACTAGATAAATATAAAAAATTTAAAAAAAAAATTGGAAAATTAGAAGAAAAAAATTAAATATAATTCAATTTGAAAAATTACTTGGTTTTCTACTGTTTCAATTCTGTTTTTTCAACTAAATTTTGAGCCACAAATATGTTCACATTTACTGATGTGGCATGCTTAGCAATTGCTATTTTACTTGCCAAATTTGAGAACAGATATGGCATATGTCATCTTTGGCAAGTAAAATAATGAGCCATTGGAGACCCATTTTTTATTACTATTGCTAAATTATAACTTTGGCAAGTATTTTGAGAGTTCCATTGAAGATGCTCTTATAAGTCATACCCAAAACAGTAATGTTTCAACTTGTATTTTATTCGTTAAAGTAAGGATTATTTACATTAAGACCCTCTAAACTGTTGAGAAGTACCACTTTGACCCATAAACTATAAAATGATACAAGTGGACCCTCTAAATTATTGAAATTTATCACTTTCCCTCTAAATTATAAAACCATACAAATATCCCTGAATTATAAAAACGTACAAATTTATCATTAACGGAAGGGGTCAAAGTGAAACATGCTAATAGTTTAAGGAGCTTATTTGTATGTTTTTATAATTTATGAATAAAGTGATACTTCTCAATAGTTCAAGGAGTCCATTTATGTGCTTTTAAAATTTAGAGAGTCAAAGTAATACTTATCAATAGTTTATAAGTTTTTTATGTAAATAACCCTTAAATTAATGCAATTTATCACTTTCTATGTTAAATTTAATAGTAATGCTAAGGAACCAAATGTTTTATTAAAATTTGTATCAAATACTCGTGCACGAGTGTGAGACCCACATAGGTGTGGAATCCACTTTTACGTGAGAGGTTTAGTGAAAACGTTGATAAAACATTTGGAGTTTTTAACTTTTTTGTAAAAAGATAAATTACATTAAACTCCATTGAGGTTTAAAAATACAATTAATTTCATATTTTTAACACAATTAGATTAGCATTTCTTAAAGCGTTAATTTACACAACAGTTGAATCATTTTTCATCAATAATTCGTTAATCAAGAAAAAATTATGTTATTATATCTTATTTACTAATATGTATATTTATTTTTGTTTATTTAAATGCATACTTATTATTTGCATCAATAATGTTTCGTAGCTCGAAACATTTTGGCCCGAATGGCTCGACTATTCAAAACGACGTCGTTTTGAAATTTTTTTTTTTTTTTTTTTTTTTTCTTTTCTCTGTTCTTCTCTTCCGCCATGTTTTGTCTTTGAATAGACAGAAGAAAGAGGAGGAAGATAGAAGAAGAGAATGAGAAGACAAAGAGACAGACAAGACAAATGAGGGTGATTTGTTAGCTTTCCTAGATTTTTTATTTGGGTTTGATTTGGCTCTCTCTCTCTCTCTCTCTTCTTCACTCCAAAGGCCTTCTCATTCTCATTCTCTGTGTAATAACCCTGACCCGTAATTAGTTATTAATCAGTAATTAAGGATGTTAATTAAGTGAATAAAATAAATTACGGGATTATTATGTAAATTGCATGAGGTTTGGCTTTCTATCTGTCACTTGTAGAAATATCTGTTTAGAATTCCGCTTTGATATGAAAATTGAAAGCCTTATTGGTATCCGAAAACGAAATTGACTACACCGATGTGTTATTTGGAATTTTTAGAATCATTTGGCAGATTTTATTAAAAATTAATTCAGTCTGATTCATTAAGTTGCGTTTGGCTAGCTTAATAATCCAATTAATGCATTTTGACATTTTGAGCTCATTCCTTTTACCCCTTAGTGCAAAAATCTGAGAATACATTATAGAGTAAGAGTGAGACTCCATTTTAGAGAGAGAGTGTGTGGATTCAAGGAAGAGGTGAAGAATTTTGCTAGAGTAGCTCAAGTTTGGCAAGGATTTTGTGTAATTTAGGACTTTTGGTGAGCATCTAACCCATAATTCATGAAGAAGTTGTATTATAAAGATGCATTCATGGAGTTGTTAGGATCATTTGCATGTAATTTACATATGGTTGTGAAGAGGATGGAGGATTTGACTATACTTCCACTTGCATGTGTATATATATGTAGAGGTTGTCATTTGAGTTTGATTTTGAGCATCTAACTTATTTTGGGAGTCATTTGGTGCATGCATGTTAGAATCACCATGTTTAATCATTGAAATTCATGTTTTGAATTACATGGATGGAGTTGATAAGCTCAAATTTACTAATTTCATGAGTTTTGGAGAAAAGAATTGTGTGTTCTACATGCATTAAAGTTTTGGTTCTAATTTTGGTAAATTCATGGGTTTTGACTAAAAAGAATTGATGAAAATCATACATTCATGTTTATGAATAAGTTTTGCAAGTTTATGAACAAGTCATGCACGAATTTGCCATTGAAATTGCTTTTGGAGCTCAAAACCCTGTTTTGAAAAACCCAGAATTTTACAGTCCGCTCGAGTGAAGAAACCTACGCTCGAGCGGAGAATGCGAGCTCTCAGTATTTTTTATTCAGACATGAGCTCTCCACTCGAGCGACCACTTGGACGCTCGAGCGAACCCTTTGTATGTTGTCGATGCGCTCGAGCGTGAGAGTTGTAGCTCGAGCGTGGATTTCGACCAACCAGTTCTTTTTTCAAGTTTGCAGGTCGCTCGAGCAGAGTAAGTCACGCTCGAGCGTCCCCTCTCATTTTGCATGTCCGCTCAAGCGAGGAAGTCTACGCTCGAGCGGGGACCTTATTTTCAGAAAAAATTATCAAGTGTTCCAAGGCATGTTTTGGCATCCTCATTGCATCTTAGGCATTCCTAAGCCTTAATTAAGCCATATTTAAGGAGGCTGTAGGTTAGAAACATACTAAGGAATGAATGTACTAAGTTAAGGGAAGGCAAGTAGGGGTGTTTTAAGCAATGGGCTAAGAATTAACAAAGACCAACGTAACGTAAGCTAAGCCGTGTTGGCCACTTGAATGTGTAATGATAAGACATGCTTGTGTTATGTATTTTGTGATTGTAGGTCAAGACTCGGGGATTGATTGACCACCTACTGGAACCACTGTGAGTAACGTTATCGTAAAGATACGTTTATATGAAATTATGTTCCAAATGAAATGTGATAAGCTATGATTTCTGAAATGATATCTGTTTTCGTGAACGAATAGTCCATGTTTGAAATCTATTATGGCATCCATAGATAGTTCCAAGTCATGGGGGACGTCATGAAAATGTGGGTCCATGACATACAAGTAATTACGAGATCTCGTTAGCCACTTCATTGTGGTGATATGTGTTTAATCGGTATCCGGAACCGATTACTCTAGTTGGAAGACGTTCTGTGATGTGTTCTATAGGATGTACCATTATTACGTTCTGATATGAGAATGATTATGCTCTGGTCTGTTTTCTGCTTATGATATGTTCAGATTTCGTTCACTAAACCCCTTTACCTTAATGTTATTCATTGGTCTTTAGCTCATTGTGTGTATATATATGTATAGGTGAGCATTCTAGAGCCCGAGCCTGAAAGCTTTTGTCTGGATCTGTGTTCTGTTGTCAGCCAACCATTGTGCCTCACGTAGAGATTCCCGAAGCGTCCAGTGTTTAAGTTTTGTCTTTTCTGTAAATATAAGACTTGATTTGATGTCGTTGGCTGTACTTATAATACTGTAA